TTTGCGGAAATTATAATCTAAGATTTCATCATCTATTCTATTAAAACAGAAACACATTTAGTGCTTGCATCCAAACATTCCCAAAGTTTTTTTATAATATTTTATTTTATTTTTATATTTAATTTCTGAAACTTAGTTATTAATTTAGATATTCTTAGATTTCCTAAAATCTAGATCATCTTTAATTTAAATTTCAAATTATTAGAAATTTAATTAAATTTAGTTACAAAAATTTGCATTCAATTTAATTTAAATTCAAAAAATTCAAAAAAATTATAATTAAATTTTATTACGAAAATTTAGATAATAATTTTAATACTTTAGAATTTCTTAAATACAGAAAAGATTTAATTTAAAAATTTAATTTAAATAATATTTTTATAAAAATGCATAGTAAATAAATATTTTATCGTATTTTATCATCAACACTCGGTCTAAAATATCAAATATTTGAGATTAATAAATATTTATATTATACAATAATATGATCGAGCTGATTAGAGGTATATATATATATATATATATATATAAGGTCCATGAGTTAATTTATTAAAACATATAAGATATTAAGATGATTTGAGACAATTAAACTAACAAGTTAGCCTGTTTTTTTAATAGCACAAATAGTAAATAAATATTTTATTATAATTTTTCATAATCAATTGGTCCAAATATTCCATATTAGTAAATATTTATAGGGTTATACAATTATAATTATAATCTTATACGGGTTAGTTTGTCAAAACATATAAGATATTAAAAATGATTTAAGACAACTAAACGGATGGATTAGCAAATTCATAGATATATAGATTGTTTATGTGTAAATCTAAATTCACATAATAACAAAGTTTATAATTAACAATAAATCAATGTATACTTAATTAATGTATACTCTTATTGTACTAATATACAAAATTTACTGTTCAAAATTAAAATATGATAACAATTTCTTGATTTAAGAAAATAAATAACAAAAATAAATCATATCTAAACAAAAAAAATAAATGCAAACTTATATTAGAAATAAAAAATAAAACATTCCTGTGCGGACGCACTAGGTTAAAATCTAGTACTATCATTAAAATGGGAAACGAAGAAGATGATAAAGTGCCTAATCTATGTAGGTTACAACAAATCACAATTTACTTCAGTGGTCTCATATCTTTTTGGTTTCTATACAAAGACCAAACCAACCTAAATGAGAAACATAAAGCCTAAACTCTCTTTCACTGTGTTAAGTCAAAGTAACAATGCCTCTTTTCTGTTGGAATATTATAAGGCGCCATAAATATCGCTGTTGTTGAAGAAGCTGTCTTCTGAAAAATCGTGAGACAGCTCTGTAACCGATATATCTTCTGCCAAATGAAGGTTGTTGTTTGAGGCTGCTTTGAAGCTGTTGTTGCGGCTTGGAACTCGGCCTCCTCCTCCTGAGATGCTGGAAGTGGAGGCAGCTGGGTTTCTCTCTGCGTTACTGTTGCCACCACTTTGACCTGAAAAGGCTTGTTGCGGTTGCAAGGTTCCTCCGTTTTCAGACATCCCCTGCAACAGCTGGTTAAGCATCTGCTGCTCCTGATTGTTACCATGTGAATGCTGTGGTTGCAAATGAAGAGGAAGATTCTGCTGAAGCATGTTGGGAGCGCCGTTCATGGTGCGGTGCTGCTGTTGCATTTGGGGAGAGCTGGGAAATCCACCAGTTGCTACGTTCAGTCTCTGACGGGACGAAGAAGACGGGTTCTGGTTTGAGTTGGGGGTTGGGTTCTGACTCGGGAACCCCTCTTGTTTGCCTGTATTTGAGTTTTGGTTATTCATAGCATTTTGCCTCATAAGCATGTTTTGGTAGCTGGTCAGAGCTGCTGCAGCTTGAGCCGACCCATTCATAGCCCCACGACCAGCAACTTGATGGTGATTGTTGGAGTTGTTGTTGCCAGTTAGGCCATTCATCGTTCCTGGAGTCAACGCCATCTGAGCTTGAGCTGACCCATTCATAGACCCACTATTCCCCAACTGCTCCATCTCTTGCATTTTTTGCCTCTGGAGCTTCATTGTCTCCGTCTGTTCCAAAAGCCGTTTCAATCCCTCTGCATAAGGGACATGATAAGGCATCAAAACGTTTGCCTTCACTTAGAAACTCAATCACCAGATCAATTATAACATTTCAATAGTAGAGTTATATAAATCAGTATCATTCAAAAATGTTGTGGATGGGAATTGTAGATTTACCAACAGGGCCGATTTTGTGCTCGCTAGTGAAATTCATCAGATCTTTCATGCTCTTGACAACTTCAGATATCTGTCCTTCAAAATGGCTCACTGTTAGGACTTCCTAAGACTTCCGATACAAAAAGTAACAGCTCGGAAAGCAGCTAATGAGTACCTGTAGAGTTCTGATATATCTTTTAGGATAGCCAAGATCATTCAGCGACTGTAATTCCATGAACTTTGCCAGCTGCCGTCCCGCTCCCAAGACCCTGACACGCAAATTAGCACCCGGCAATAATGATATAGCAGTAAAAGAAAAAGCCAGAACATGGACAAAAACTGAATGGTCTGCATCCACAACGGACAATAAGAAAATATTGGAGTCTTATAGGCAACCAAGTGTTACGGATCAACTTACATGTTACTGTTTGATTGTAAATCCTGCTGAGAAACTCCCTCTGACCCACTCTCTGAGATCGTGCTCTGGCATTTCTGTGCAACCTGAAGCAACTGGTTCACCTGCATGACCGATAATAGGTATCAATAAACTTTCCAACACCATTGGAGCATGTCAAAACATCTGTTCAGAAATGATATAACAGAGTCTGTGCTCATGTTCATAGGAAACCAGAAGATCAGCACGTAGAGAATGATTATGTAAACAGAGTATTAGCTATCCTCAAGTTCATAAACAAGGGTTTAAGGAAACAGTTATAAATAATTAATGCAAATGCCTTGTCATTAGAGTAGGACCTGCGGAGCAATAAGTCTGCGAAGAAGAAGCTCTTCGTGCCGCCGAGCACAAAACTCCCAAGACAGTATCTAGAAAGAAGCAAAGTCAAGGTTAGCTAAGCATCACTACACTGGTTATCGCTTGTTTCTTTCTTTTTCATGTTCTGTGCATAGGCAGGGCAACAGAAACTTGGAAGAGAGTCACAATTCGAAAAATAGAGAATTGTCCTAGCTACCTTCAAATCTTGAGAGAATATGATGCGAAGATGGCCCTCACGGACAACACGAAACTGCTCATGTACAGATTCCTGAACTGCTTTTCTATATTCTAACATCATCAGTCCATTGGGAAATCTGTTTTCTCGTGGGTGATCCAGATATAAAAGCTCATCAATGATTCCACTAGCAAATTTGATTTCAATAAGTCTGGCAAGCACATCGAAAGTTGCCTCTGTGGATTTAACATGATAAGATGACAGTTTAGCAACTGTTTTGACTAAAATGTTTTCTAAAAGAATTATCAGAGCTTTAAATAGTAAAAAGAGAGCATTCAGAAGATGTAAGTTGCTTCATTAGTGCTTAAAGCGAAGTCACAGAAATACAAGTAAACACAAAGAATGAAACTTGCAACACTCTTACCAAATCCTTTTCCAGACTTGGTGCCGCAAAGATCACACTGCCACATATCCTGCAAATAAAATGGGAACATAGTGGGCTTATTAATTGAAAGTCAGTGTAATATGCAGATGCAGACATATGGGGAAAATAAAAAACCAATATCATACAAAGATCAGAACACACGCAGCTAAGAAAAGACTGACCGGAGCTGCCTGTTGAAACATGCCAAGCGCTTGGTGCCCAGAACTTTCGTACTGTGACAAGCACAGCCTTTGCTTTGCACGAGGTGAGAAGTATTCTGCCACAAATTTCCTCCAATAGGTAATGCAATTTTCCTGCGGAAGAAGTATCAGACTATCAGTGATGGAAAGAGATAAACTTGATGAAATTGTCCATAGATAGGTAATAGCTTACAGCAGGTCGTTGTTGAAGATGATACAAGTACATCATCAGTTTGCGCGCACAGACGCCAACTTCATAAGGACGTACATTAGGAGGGATGTGTTGAGTGCCTTGCTGCTGTAATTGCTGTCTCAACTGCTGCTGTTGCTGGAATTGGAGTCTCTGAGAAGGTGACATGGACTGAAGAATCTGCTGGTGTTGCCTCAGTCTCTGCTGCTGAAGTAAAGCTTGCAACTGGGGATTCCTTCCCGTGGGGTCCTGTCGCTGGATCAATTGCTGTAAGATCTGCTGCTGCAACAAGTCTTCTTGCTTCACTTCTAGTCTGGGTTTCTTATCAACATGGGAATAATTGTTGTCTGGAATTGAACCTTGTCCTGCTTGCTGCTGCTGAGACAAGTGTTGCATAGAAGCAGACCCATCAAGAACCAATGAACCCGGAATGTTAATGTTATTCGAGGAGAAAGACATTGCTGATGTTGGGATACGCATACTATTGACGCCTCCAAAAGTTATTGGTGCGGAAAATCCACAAAGTATTCAAACCCTTGCCTTGGTTATCTGATAGGAAAAAGAGAAATTCTCACTCTCTACGTAACTTAAGGAAGTGAGAAATGAGATTCAGGTGCAGATAAAAAGTATCCTATCAATAAACCTAAAACCAGAAAACCCATAAACAGAGAGAGAGAGAGATCGAAAGAGAAAGAAGGCAAGTTCACCTGCGAATCAGCGAAGGTGGATGCCTGGAGGAAGGAGTTCCGGCGGCAGCGAAGTCGGAGAAAATAGAAGAAATCGATGGAGATTTCCTCTAGAAGGAAAATGGAATAAATCAACAGGTTTCTAATTCCAATTAGCTACAGTATCTAAAGGGAAACGTAGTGATTCTAAAGCCTGTTGAATTGTGGTGAGATGGGAAGAAGATCGGCAACTGGAAGCATCGTTTGATTAGTCGGAAGAAACACGACCTTCAGATTAAAAGATACACCAATCTCAGCCGTTCAGTTACTTATTTTTTCGTTTCCTTATAAATTGCTGACGTCAGCGGATCCAAAAAAAAAACATGTTTATTCTCAAGTCTTCTATTCAAAGTTTCATCAGCTAACTGTAAAATCCCTAATTGAAGAGAGAATGGGAAGTAACCGTCCTAGGAATTTCCGGCGGCGCGGGGACGACGACGGCGCGGAAATCGACGGCAAGGATGTTTCCGCCGCGGCGAAATCCTCTTCAGCTCCTTCCTCTTCCAAACCTAAAAAACTCGCAGCCTCGGACCCGAAGAAGAAACTCCTCAGTTTTGCCGATGACGAGGAGGAAGAGGATGGACCTCTCAGTGTGGCGGTAAAACCCAAGAACAAGAGCGGTAGAGACCGAAGCAAATCTTCTTCGCGTCTTGGCATTTCAGGATCTTCTCACAGATTGAACTCTTCCACCATGGAATCCCGTCCCTCCTCTTATTCCTCCACCGCGACTCCGCTTTCTAACGTGCTTCCCCAGGCCGGCTCTTATACGAAAGAGGCGCTCCTCGAGCTCCAAAAGAACACACGGACGCTTCCGTATTCTCGTCCTAGTGCAAATACCGAGCCCAAGGTAGTGCTTAAGGGTTTAATCAAACCTCCACAGGAGCAGGAGCAGCAGAGCCTTAAGGATGTGGTTAAACAGGTCTCGGATTTGGACTTCGATGAGGAAAAGGAAGACGAGCGGCCTGAAGGTATGTTTTACGATCAGGCGACGATTGAAGCTATTCTAGCCACGAAGAGGCAGTCACGTACAGCACCAGCACCTGATTTCATATCACTAGATGGTAGTACAGCTAATCATTCTGCTGTTGAAGGGATTAGCGATGAGGAGGCGGATTTTCATGGAAGTCTCATCGGTGCGAGACAGCACAAAGGTAATGGGAAAAGTGTGCTTGATTTCGGTGATGAAAAGCCTACAGTTAAAGAATCCACGACAAGTAGTTATTATGAGGATGAGGACGAGGAAGATAAGTTGTGGGAGGAGGAGCAATTTAAGAAAGGTATTGGTAAAAGAATGGATGAAGGGTCTAATAGGACTGCAAATAGCAGTGGAATCGGCGTGCCTTTGCATCCACAGCAGAAACCGCAGATGTATGCTTATCATCCCGGGACACCACTTGCTTCAGTGCCCAATGTTACCATTGGTCCAGCTAGTAGTGTTGATACATTACCAATGTCACAACAAGCCGAGCTTGCCAAGAAAGCATTGCTGGACAATGTAAAGAGGCTTAAGGTATTTTTCTATGAACTAGGCTTCCTCTTATTTAGTAATCTGCTGCCTTCTCTTAGGGTTTGGTTAATATTACCGTATTTGTATGATGTTAATGTTATTCTAGTTGATTATTGGCTGACGTGAACTTTTAAACATAGCTCACCGTAGAGGCTTTCCTAGTGTCTCTTTGCTATTGACTAGTTATGAGACTGATTTGGTTATGGCTTATATTGAATTTGGTTTCTGATGAAGTGCATTTATTTTTAAATATTTGCCAGGAATCTCATGCTAAAACCTTATTATCGCTTACCAAGACAGATGAGAATTTAACTGCTTCGTTGATGAGTATCACAGCTCTTGAAAGTTCTCTATCCGCAGCTGGAGACAAGTATGTCTTCATGCAAAAACTCAGAGACTTCATCTCTGTTATATGCGACTTCATGCAGGTACGCTTAAATATAATGTTGTGTCTATGTTGCAGGGTTGTCTCTTTTTACTTTTGAAGAAAAACCATAGGCTACTGCTTTCTTAGTGCATCTTGATGTATCTTGCTTTCATCTCATTTGGCTCCATAAGATCATGAGACAAAAAGGAAAAATGAAAGTAATTAATATTAATTACATAGGTACTCTTGGCGTATATGTTCTTTGGACTTGTAGTTTGATTCCATCATAATTAAGACAAACGATTTCTGTTATATTAAATATAGCACTGGTTTTACGATTTATTACATTGCATATTACACAATGTCTTTCACTTTATGGATGATGTATACCCCTTACATATTTGTATCTGTTTCTTTCATTTCCATCTATAGAAATATATCAACTATGGTAAATGCTGCTGCTGGATTGCACCTAATTTCTGTTTTGAATTTTCTTTCGCAGGAAAAGGGTTCCTTCATAGAGGAAATTGAAGATCGGATGAAGGAACTTAATGAAAATCATGCTGCAGCTATTTTAGAAAGGAGAATTGCAGATAACGATGATGAAATGGTAGAACTAGGGGCCGCCGTGAAAGCAGCAATGGCAGTTCTAAACACACAAGGAAGCAGTACGTCAGTGATTGCTGCTGCCACAAGTGCTGCGTTGGCTGCCTCTGCTTCTATAAGACAGCAGATTCAACCAGTTAAGCTTGATGAATTGGGCAGAGACGAAAACCTTCAGAAGCGGAGGCAAGCGGAACAGAGGGCTGCAGCAAGGCAGAAAAGGCGAGCTCGATTTGAAAATAAGCGCGCATCGGCCATGGAGATTGATGGATCTTCTCTTAAAATAGAAGGAGAATCAAGCACTGATGAGAGTGACAGTGAGTCTTCAGCATACAAGGAACTCAAAGATAAATTACTTCAGTATGGTGATCAGGTCTTCAGTGATGCATCTGAGGAATATTCCCAGCTATCAAGGGTGAAGGAGAGATTTGAGAGGTGGAAGCGAGATTATTCATCTACTTATCGGGATGCTTACATGTCTTTGACAGTTCCTTCCATCTTTTCGCCTTATGTAAGATTGGAGCTGTTAAAATGGGATCCTCTTCATCAAGATGTGGATTTCTTTAACATGAATTGGTAAGCTATGCACGATTTCCATCTTTCCATATTGTCCAAAATTTCATTCCCAAAACACACTTCACTTATCCGAACTAGTAGGCATTTGTCTTTTAGCGTGTAAACTAAACCCATTGGTTATCTGGGATTTGTGGAAGTAATCTGACTCTTGATTTATGTCTCCAGGCATCAGTTGTTATTTGACTATGGGAAGCCAGAAGATGGGGATGATTTTGCACCAGATGATACTGATGCCAACCTTGTCCCTGAGCTAGTGGAAAAGGTTGCGATTCCTATTTTGCACCATCAGATAGTTCGTTGTTGGGATATACTTAGTACCCGGGAGACAAGGAATGCTGTTGCTGCTACAAGCTTGGTGACAAATTATGTGTTGTCTTCAAGCGAGGCCTTAGCAGAACTATTTGCTGCTATTCGTTCTCGTCTTGTTGAAGCCATAAAAGCTATTACGGTATGAATTTGAATTTGAATTTGTTACATCTCTTGCTCGTTTCCTGATAAATCTCGTTGACGCTGTTATAAGTAGTTTATACTGGACCGATAATATCTTCTGATTCTTTCTTTGTTTCCCCAGGTTCCGACATGGGATCCTCTGGTATTGAAGACTGTACCTAATGCTCCACAAGTTGCAGCATATAGGTTTGGGACATCAGTCCGTCTTATGAGAAATATATGCATGTGGAAAGACATCCTGGCGCTTCCAGTGTTGGAAAACTTGGCTCTGAGTGACCTTTTGTTTGGAAAAGTCCTACCTCATGTCAGAAGCATTGCGTCAAATATCCATGATGCTGTCACAAGAACTGAAAAGATTGTTGCTTCCTTGTCTGGAGTATGGACAGGACAAAGCGTCACAAGAACCCACAGGTAACATATGATTCTCACACACTGTAGATCTCATGTTTCATCTCTGTGAAACATCGTAGTCACATCTTGTGATGTTGCATATCGTTTCCCATTTCAGTTATAATCCGTCTGCATGAAAAAAGCACATGCCTCATATATATACTGAAACGTTTTATTTGACTGTGCAGTCGGCCGTTGCAACCTCTTGTGGATTGTATTCTGACACTTAAAAGAATTCTCGAGAAAAGGCTTGCCTCAGGACTGGACGATGCGGAAACCACAGGTCTTGCCCGCCGCTTAAAGAGAATACTAGTCGAGCTCCACGAACACGACCACGCCAGGGATATTGTTAGAACTTTCAATCTCAAGGAGGCTGTGTGATGAAAACTCTTATTGGTGGGAAACTGGAAAATTTTACTACGGTGGCTTAATTTTAGTATCCCCTGAGCTTATACAAACTTATATTAAGAATAGAAGTTAAATATCTGTATGAGTTTAGATTTTAGCAGAGTCCATTTTTCTAATAATATACGCCACAGCTTGTATCGTTGTGCAGTATTTTAGATGCAGTAAATTTCATTTCTTTTGTTGTTGGAATCAAAAAGTCTTTCTGCTATGAACAACTTGTGAACATGTCAAAGAACAGCAGGAAAAAAACCCTTTGGAGAAATCTTAGTATTGAAGTTGGTCTTTGAACAAATATCTTTAAGTAGTAGTAATAGAGTCATCTTCTTCATTTGAATCATCTTTGTCCGAAGAAGAATCAGCCGCTTTCTCAAATTCCACCATCTTTTCAAGTGACTCTATGTCTCCAGCTTCAGCAAGCGCGTGTATCCGCAGCTTCTCTGCGTCTTCGCTGAAAATTTTGTAGAGGTGGGAAAGTAAGGAACACTGCAAAAACATAAGAATTCTCTTATTCTATTTTTAGGAAGCTTCAATTTGAGAGTCAACTTACTCTGTAACTCCGAATATTTCTTTGACAATCAAGGAGTTGTCTTTCGAGCAGAAGTCAGGAAGCTGTTAGAAAAGAGAAAGAGAGTTAGAAAATCTATCAGAAAGACAAAACATTGTGTGCATATTTGATTTCATGACCAGATCATGATAGATGTAAGCAGATTTCTCTCAAATAGAAGTAATGTTTCCACATTCATTATCACCTCAGAAAGATAGTAAATTTTTCCAAAAAGAGCCTGGACGGCGAGTTTTCTCTTAAATCCCTTTTCTGTAAAACCTTGCATATTCATCACAACAGGACCTGCAAATACAAATATGCCAAGAGCTATAAGGAAGATAGATTATAACAATTAGAGAAGCTTACCCTATCCCATATTATAGGGTTTATCTACCTTTTTCTTTGACAATACGACGAGAGATTTCATTTAAAATCTCAGGAATCTGAGAGTCATTTAAACCAGAAGCTCGTCTGAGATGAATGAGATGAGCAACAAGGTCGGGGTTAAACGGTTTCTCATTCAAGGCATAGCGAATGTATTTCCGCAATATCTCCTCCATGTTAAACTCTGTCTGGATGCAGAAAAAACAATCAGCAATCTCGGTTTGAATGAATAAAAAAGATGAAGCAAGAATCAGTGATACATGTTCACACCTTTTCTTCAAGTGCCTTAAGCTCAGAGCTATGTATAGTGTCTTCTTTCTGTAACAGCTCATCTATAGATCGGCAAAGCATTGCATTCTGATTCACCTGAAGAGATTCAAAAACAACACACTGAATCAGTACTTTGTTCTAATAAAAGTATCACAAAGAGAGAGAGAGAGGGTGAAAATGGAAGAATCGAGACCAGTTTCTTGCGTTGGGCTTTAGGAGAAGAGAACTTCTTAACGGTTTTGACGAATGCAGTGACGAAAGTAACGCCGGCGTAAGCCAGAGGAACGGCGAGCATCCACGGCAATTTGCTACTTCCAACTCGGGGTCCTGGAATCGCCTGAGTCACCGATCCAGTGAACTCGACTAGGTCTAATGCCTTTTCCTGAATCCACAACATATCCTCCTCCACTTCCTCTTCTACTTCCTCCTCCTCGCTCGAATTCTTCTTCGCCGGCTGTTTTTTGTTCTCCGTCGCCGCCGCCGAGAAAATCTCCGATGGCTTTTTCGACGCCGAGGCGGAAGTAGAGAGGTGATTCAGTCTCGAAGGACAGAGTGAGGGTAAGGAGACGAAAAATGGTGTTCTGGGAGCGGAGCGAGGAAGAAGAAAGGGTTGGCCATTGTATTGACTTCGACTCTGGAGAAGAAGTCGAGATGAAGGTAGAAGGAGAGACGCCATTGTTGAAGCTTTTCGGTTGAAGTTACGGCTTCGGATGCGGCGGAGCTCTACAGAAGCCGCTTATCGGGTTCAACGACGCCGAAGGTGGAAAATGATGATATATATAATTCTGTTTAATGAGGCTTCGTAATGGGCTTATTTGAAGTCGGCCCATACTGTTTTACAAGATTAATTCGAGTTTTAAATTACAAAAAAGAGAAGAAAAGGACTTTTACTACCAAGAAAAAAAATGGAGTTCTCTATTGATGCCTGAGATCTCGTCTTTTATTTACCATAAAAGCAGAGATTTTCAATTATTTTCATGCAAATTCAGATAAACTTTCACTATTCAGATGGAAACGTCATGCTAGATGCATGAGCAAAAGCAATGCAAGGCACATGAATATACAATTAGAATCTTACAAGGAAAAGCTTTGCTTGCCTTGTCTGCATAATTTCTTTTTCTTTTTCCATTTTATAAATGTCAAAAGTAGATTTTTTTTTCCTTTTTTTTTGCTGGCATTCAAACTTAAAAGTAGACTAATCTACGGAATAATGTTTCAAATGCTGAGTTCTGAGACTAGCATATACAAGTTGAGCTTATGATAACCCTTCTTTTCTATGGATCAGGAAAGACTTTGACTACTGCAAACACAAATCTTATCTATTTCAAACACAAAATAACGTTTAAATTTTTATAGAAACAATAATAAGAAAAAAAATCATATTGTTTGAAACTTATAAAACACCATAATACAGTATTTTTGGAAAGTAGAAAGCAATTTGCAAATAAAAAAAATTTGCAAATAGCATACGTTCCTTCTGTCGAAGTTGAAGTTGTTCCGTGTATATTTTACGTTTACGTTTAGAATTAACAATTTCATTTTGTCTAAAATGACAAAAGTTGTGTGCTCAATTGGGAATAATATACACTATACGCGAACAAACAATCGAATCTTTATATTCAATTTTGCGGCATAAGAATCAGAGTTATTCTAATTTCTAAGTACATATAAACCTTTTGGAACATTCAAGGTCAAAAAGAACAAACGGAAGTTTCTACCTTATACATTATCAGGCCAGAACTCCCTAAAGAAGGCTCGTTCAAATTCCTTTTCCTGTAAATGTTTCTCGTGCTCTATCATCTTCCGCATTTTCTTGGAAAGTTTCTTGGTTTTCTTGGGGACTTCTTCATCCTGAAAGTCAGAGTAAGTACAATATAAGTTCTCTGCCTTAGAGACAAAGATGAGAGTCATGTGTGTGTGTGTGCACTAGAAACTATCAGCGTCTAGTCAGTGAAGATGCATATCTTTAAAACAGACCTGTTCGCTGTGTCTAGACTCTATAGCCTGAGGCTTTACCGCTTTTCTCTTGGTTGTTTTTTCAGCTCCCAGTCCTCGTTTGTTATTTTTCGGTTCTGTTTGTACAGGCACCAATATACCCTGCTTGGAAATAGAATAAATCGTTCAGAAAGACGAAAATACACAAATTACAGAAACTAGTACAAAGTGAACATGATTCCTAGAAACAACAACAAATTATGAAATCGACCAAGAAACCTAATATTCAGTACCCAAGTTTATATAAGCATGTACACGGTGATACTAAAATAAATCAAAACATCACTTTCTATCACAACCTAAGTGTGGCTTTGTTGGTGGTTGCGGAGAAAGATTTTTCAAAATGTAAACGAGGTTCACTTGAAGACTTTCAAGTAAAGCACAGCAAGATGAGACACAACATAGCAAGATTTTCAAAGTGTTATGGCGAAGGACACTGCATTAATAAATGCGACTCCGCAACTAGACAGAACCAGAAATGATACAAGGACATGCGAATATACCTGTTCAGAGATTCCAAGACCAGTGCCTTCCTTCCAGCCTTGCTTCTTTAAGAGCTGCATAATCCAATTTTACACAATTGGTCCTAGACTACTCAAATTAATTGAGAAAGATAATAAACAAACATGATAGATAGAACTAGCTAGGCATAAATACCTGAAACCCAATGTTGGAAGAACTGATAGCTGCCCATGAGCAGCTTGATCCAGAGGACTCACCCACAGCATTCGACACCTGAATTCAGCAACATCATTGTCATAAAAAAAAAAATTGATCAACGTTACGGTTACTTCTTTTAGACTATTCGTCACAATTAAAATTATTTGAAGCCAAATAATATCTAAACCCCTACCACTCAATGGTTAAAAACTACAAATAGCTGAAATGAAGAAGAAAAGCAGATCAATTTCATATCACTAAGAAATTAAAAAAAAAAAGCCAGCAATCAGAGGAGCAAAAACAGAATAAAATAGACGGAAGAAGAGTGAATTCAAATGCATATCACTTACTTTCTCACTGTTTTGATAAATTGTACCCTGAGACATTTCTGGTTTCTTTCTCCTTTGTATCTTTGGTTTCTCTGCTCCTAGCCCAAGTTTGTTATGTTTCTCCTGCGTTTCTACAGGCACCAGTATCCCCTGCTTGCAAGTAGGGCAGGTTTCAGAGAATGACATGATGAATATGATGGCTAAAAACAAGAAATCAAGTAGAAAGTGACCAGCAAAGCAGCAAATATACACACCCGAAAACCGGCTTCTTCTAAACAGCTCGAAAGTACACAAACACTTGTTGGTAATCTACTGAAACAACACTTCTAGAGCATATACAAGAAACAGTAACATGCCTGACAAGTGAAAAAGTAATCTTTAGTTTCCAGAATCAAAGAGCACACCTGTTTGCTGATTCCCAGACCAGTACCTTCCCTCCAACCTTGCTTCTTTAAGAGCTGAAACAACCCAATTGCACCATTAACTTAAGGCGCAACCAAACCACTAGGGAACAAGACAAAAGAAAACAACCATGAAACACAATCATCACTAGACAAAAGAAAACAAGACGCATCCAGAGATGATTTCTACCTGAAAACCAATATTACCAGAATCAATTGGAGCCAATGAACTTGTTGAATCCCAGGAGTCTCCCATAGCAAATCGAAACCTAAATACAACGAATCAACCATCAGAAAATCTTTGTCATGGATTGTAATCGCTTAAATATTAGGGCTATAAATTACGGCCAAACTCACGATACCTTATGTTGATTTCGAATTACAAGAGTACGATTCGCTCTCCGTCAAACCACCGCCTCTGCTTGTCGCCGGCCTGAGGTGGTTAAACGCCGATCCGGGAAAATTGAGAAAATAGTTTTTAAATGCAAGTTGTTCCCAAAAGTGTATATATATTTTTTACATAGAACATACCGGGCCGCTATATTTGAATGAGACCCAATAAAGGCCCATAAAACAAAGAAAATTTTACACGTCAAGAAGACGCGGACTAATCTGAACCAAACAGTTTATCTCGAGCTCGTCGGTCTCAGGTGCGCAGGGATTATAACTTCCGATTCGCCTTCCTCCTCTACTTCCATTCCAATCAATCAGTTTATCTCGAGCTCGTCGGTCTCTCTGTCCGAGTTTTCCGCGGAATATTCGTCTCCATGGTATGCAATCAGCTTCGCAGTACTCACTTTGATGATCTTCGTTTTCATTTCTAGGTTATGCATTTTTTGGTTCTTTCTTGATCGCTTTTGTTAGGGTTTTCGGAATTTGAGACGATTTCTTTTTTTTTTTTATTTTTGTTGCATTTGTTTTCAATTTTAGCTGAACAATTGCAAATTGCGACATCTTCTTTCAGTTAGATCTAGCGGGTTGTGATTGATTGGAATATGATTTGATCTGCTCATTTTTCTTCGAGATTCTCGGTTTTTGGGTTGATTCACCTCCTTTTGTTTTGGTTTCCGGATGAGATTTTATTTTTATATCACATAATCCGACACTTCAAGTCCTGTATTACCAAGTCCAGTGATTTAACAAGATCATTTGTTCTGATGTAATGTTACCATGAACTATTTTTCCTATATAACCTCTATGTTTTAATGATTTGATGACAGGCACCCGTGAGGGGGATTCTTGGCTTGCAGAGAGCAGTATCAATTTGGAAGGAAAGTAACAGATTGGCTCCAGCATTGAGATCATTCAGCACCCAAGCTGCTTCCACTTCTACCACTCCACAGCCACCTCCACCACCTCCTCCTCCGGAAAAGACTCATTTCGGTGGTCTCAAGGATGAAGATCGGATTTTTACCAACCTCTATGGTCTGCATGACCCATTCCTCAAAGGGGCGATGAAGAGAGGTGATTGGCATAGGACCAAAGATTTGGTACTCAAGGGTACTGATTGGATTGTCAATGAAATGAAAAAATCTGGTCTTCGTGGACGTGGTGGTGCTGGTTTCCCTTCTGGTCTTAAGTGGTCCTTTATGCCTAAAGTATCTGATGGACGTCCGTCCTATTTGGTTGTCAACGCTGATGAGAGTGAGCCTGGAACCTGTAAAGATAGGGAGATCATGCGTCATGACCCTCACAAATTGTTGGAAGGGTGTTTGATTGCTGGTGTCGGAATGAGAGCTAGTGCGGCGTACATTTACATCAGGGGTGAATATGTGAATGAACGTTTGAATCTTGAGAAGGCTAGAAGAGAAGCGTATGCAGCTGGTCTCTTGGGAAAGAATGCATGTGGTTCTGGTTATGATTTCGATGTTTATATCCACTACGGCGCGGGTGCTTACATTTGTGGTGAAGAGACTGCGCTTCTTGAAAGCCTTGAAGGGAAGCAAGGAAAACCTAGGTTGAAGCCTCCGTTCCCTGCTAATGCTGGTTTATATGGTTGTCCCACAACTGTTACCAATGTGGAAACAGTGGCTGTTTCTCCTACCATTTTAAGGCGTGGACCTGAGTGGTTTTCGAGTTTTGGTAGGAAGAACAACTCTGGGACAAAGCTGTTCTGTATATCAGGCCATGTGAACAAGCCGTGCACAGTCGAAGAGGAGATGAGTATACCTCTCAAGGAACTGATTGAGAGGCATTGTGGAGGTGTTAGGGGTGGATGGGACAACCTACTTGCTATCATTCCTGGAGGTTCCTCTGTCCCTTTGATTCCTAAGAACATATGCGAGGATGTGCTGATGGATTTTGATGCGCTCAAGGCTGTCCAATCAGGGTTAGGAACTGCAGCAGTCATTGTGATGGATAAATCAACCGATGTGGTGGATGCAATTGCGAGGCTCTCGTACTTCTACAAGCATGAGAGCTGTGGGCAGTGCACTCCTTGCAGAGAGGGAACAGGTTGGCTTTGGATGATCATGGAGAGAATGAAAGTTGGCAACGCAAAGCTGGAAGAGATTGATATGCTTCAGGAGGTAACCAAACAGATCGAAGGACACACAATCTGTGCACTGGGTGATGCAGCTGCATGGCCCGTGCAAGGTCTGATAAGACACTTTAGGCCGGAGCTCGAGAGAAGGATCAGGGAACGCGCTGAAAGGGAATTGCTACAGGTTGCTGCGTAAAATGCGTGTTAACCACAGGTTTGCATCTCCAGTCCTTGCTGTTTCATCCTCATCTCTTCTAATTTCTTGTTGCCCAGCTTTAGTTGATTGTTTCCGTAAAAAGGTAGAGTTTTGTATGTCAGCATTCGACGCTTTTAAGCCCTTTAGTTTGGTTGGTCATTCATGTTCTTGTACTTTTTGCAGGGCATTTGCTATTGCTCTCTATGGAAATAAAATCTGAAAGCACATTTATAGGGTTTTTGGGATGTGTAGCTGCTTCAGAAGGAGAAGGAAGGTAATGTATTTGTTTAAATGGTTAATGTCAAAACTTTATTCAAGTTGTATGAGAAAGAGCTCTATGTGCTCTTTTGCTTACTCTACTTTCTTCAATGTTTGCTTGTTTTTGTATGACTTATGAGAGCACATTTTGGGAACAAACCAAACAAAACCTTTTCGTGTTTAAAATAAAGGATGCTCCTTTTTTTTATTTTAAATAGTTAACATTCCAAATAAATTATAATGAATGGTTCTTTTTTTGGCATTTTGTGGAAAATATCTTTAGTATCAAGTTAAAAAGTCCAAAATGTTTTTTTGTAAGTAATGTATAATTAAATTGTAATTAGTCGCAATTGCTGTCATCTTAATCTATAAATAAAGAAATAAAGAAATAAATCTTTATGAATAGTTAATTGGCTAGAATCTAAATCTGTGTGACTAATCTCCCAAAACCAGAAGTGTACAAAAAGAGTAACCACCTAGAATTTGACGGTGTTTCCGGATTAATCTATAAATATATAAAAAATTGTAGGAAATAGGATATCTATTATATAAAAGTTAGGTTGTATCTCACAATCTTGACATATCAGTATCTATAGCATCTATTATTTTGACACATCAGATTTACAAAATAATTTATAATTTATTTCATTAATTTTTAATTTGTTTAGAAAACACCAAAATCATAAACCATTAAATACAATACAAAAAAACTTTTAGGAACAATAAACTTCTCATCTTGTTCTATTTTTTTATTGGGTTAAAATTCTTTTACTTCAATTTTAGTGAGAGAGAATAAACCATTATTTCTTCTTATTCTACTGATTATTGATGAAGATGGTCCAACAAAAAAAATCAAATGTAATTTGAGAAAACAAAAAAAGATCAACTGCATAATCTCCGGAAAGCTTAATGAAAATTATGGAACTAAAGGAGAATGATCATCTCTTTGTTTATAGCCAGCATTTGGATTACAAATCTTTTTAGTTGTATGTTGCTTTTAGATTATAAATCTTGATAAATTCTTGTTGTGTTGTAATCAAACTTATTTGTACGCTCAAAAGTCCAAATAATATCCATTTAAAAGGACTCAAGAAAGTGAATACAACATAATTAGAAAAAAAATATATTTTTAGTTGTAATGACTAATGATGACTAAAAAATTTTTGTTTTGTAAAAAGTCGCATTTCTCTCATGCAACAAATTATTAGGAAGTACTTGTCAAATTTACCAATACGTCTCTCTCATGCATAAAACTTTGTAATTTTAGACATAAAAGCCAAAATTTGTAACCAAATGAAGGGACTAATAAATCCTATTAACTTAAAAAATTTGAAATAATACAACTAAAATCACGGAAGTAAGTAATTATTTTAGAAACAAATTTAAATAAAATAAAAATTCTCATAACTGTAGAGTTTGGATTTTTAAATTATTTTTTCGTATTCTAATATTCGAATTAAAATGGAGAAAAGAAAAAGAAAAAGATAAATGTACAGACTTGTGAACTGATGGGACAAGTAGCAAAGGGGACCGGTCTGATTGGATTTTTTGGTGGATATTTATGGATAAGACGTCAACATCTTCCCTAACTTATTTGTCCACCTCTCCACTTTATTTCTCTTTTCCAATTTCTTTCTTAATCGATAATTCGTAATAAATAGTAATATTTACGAGATCAAAAGCTTTATAAAATGTAAGAATCAAACGAACTTACATTCTTCATAAAATGTAAAAGTCTCACTGTACACTTTTTGTATACTTCTGGTTTTGGGAGATTAATCACACAAATTTAGATTCTAGCCAATTAACTATTCATAAATCACATATTGTTTAATCCAGAAAAGATAATTTTATATTGAAAAAAGAGTCATTTTTAGTTAAAAATTTTAAAAGAGACTTTTATATATGAGCTTCAGTTTTTTTTTTAATTTTCACCGAAATATTGTCAACACAATACTAATAATAAACTAAGTCTAATTGAACAATTTTATAAATAGTTTGTAATTTTTTAAGGCTTTGTGATATAAAAAAAAAACATGACAGTACAAATAATTACTATTTATCAATGATTGATTGCCTAAAGACCCCAAATGTCACCAAAATAAAATATTGGCACATGCCAAGGTATCATGAAAGTAATATAAAAAGAGAGGAAAACCCTAACATGTATGTAATTCACATTATGTCCAAAATTGACGGCCGTCCCTTATTTTAATCTAGTGAAAATAAATAAGACAAGAGAAAATAATAAAAAGAAAATAACAGCGGACCTGAGCTGTGAAAATTGTTGCTATCTATGCGTGGGCTCTTATGGTTAACACTGTTTCATTTTTTTTTGTTTGAACTTCCTTTAACAATGGCGTTTTGACCTCTCTCCTCTTTCAGTCTTCTGGGTTTTTTCCATCCCTCTCTCCTTCAACTTGTTGCAATCCCTACCAACCCAATAACCCCCCTAATTTCTCCTTCTTACAAAGTTGCAATCTTTTTTTTCCTGCCAATATCCTCATATTCTGCGTTTCAGTCTCCCTGTTGCTTTAGCTCACGCATATTTCTTCGTGCTTCTATCTCATAAGAGAGAAATTCCCCTCTTTGTGTGCTCTGTCTTTAGTTCCTCATAGAGTACGAGACAGATATATAGAGGGAAAAGAGATTCCCTTTCCGATTCGTCTCCTTATATAATCCCCCGGGATTTTCTCTCGATTTCCGTAGGCAGTTCTAATTTGAAGTCATAGGGTCAGTGATACTTGGAAGATCTGAGTTCTTCGTGTGTTTCTCTCAGCTTTGGTTACTTCGGATTCTATTAAGTTTGTATTTCTGGTGATAGGTGATTAGTTACGAGTTTGTGGAACTCTAAAGGTACGAATTTTGCAGAAATCTGGTTTGGTATCCCAGATTTTTGAGAGAGAATAGGGTCAATTCTATCGAATTTTGGGTGGTTTAAGTTGGAAAAATGACTGTGGAGGAAGCTAGTGATGGTTCTGCGTGGAGTAGAGAGGATGATATTGCGTTCGAGAGAGCTCTTGCGAATTATACCGATGAATCCGAGCAACGGTGGGAGAAGATTGCTGCAGATGTTCCAGGAAAAAGTGTTGAACAGATTAAAGAACATTACGAGCTTTTAGTTGAAGATGTTAGTAGGATTGAATCAGGATGTGTGCCACTTCCTGCCTATGGTTCTCCTGAAGGATCAAATGGCCATGCTTGTGATGAAGGAGGAAGTAGTAAGAAAGGAGGAAATAGTCACGCGGGCGAGTCTAACCAAGGAAGTAAATCAAAGTCAGATCAAGAACGACGAAAGGGTATTGCGTGGACAGAGGATGAACACAGGTGACCTTTGTTTATTTATGCTCACTAATCAGTTTGTGCTTCTTCTCATTCATTTAGTATTCTTTCGAAATTTGGTTTATTGCTGTATCTGTGCTCCTTTGTGTTCTAGAACATTAATCTTTATCGCTCTAGGTGACAAACTTAGGTACCCTTGGATGTCAATTTTTGTGATTCTTTAGGAAAGTTTGATTTTTCGAGGTCATATTGGTTCTTCTCATAAGCAAGGCCTTAACAGGAACTCTTAGGTTCTTGGTCTCCCCTATTGAGAAAGTGGAAGGATTGATTTTGGGGGATTTACCGTAGGTAACTCTAGAGAGTGCTTTGAGGGAAAACTGAAAAGTTTCTAAATTCTTTTGATTTCGTGTACTAGTTTCAGAAGGCTCTGGTTTTATTGAATTTATAACTTGGTATGGGACAGAGAAAGTTGTTTTCATTAATTCTCTTTTACCCTCCTGTCCTAGCTGCTAATATCATTACATCCACCATGTGAGAGATGATGGGGGAGATGCTATCTAAACCCTGGGACCATTTTGACCATCTTTTGCACCACTTGTTGAAGCTAGATGCTGTTTATCATGCTGAAACCTTGAGAAAAGGATTGTTAGTCTGTCCACCTCCGTTATTGGAGAACCCCACTTTTCTTTTAAAAAAGGGACAAGAAAGTCTTACTTTAAAGCTTAGTCTTCGTTTTACTCTCTTGAGGGCGTAAAGATTTTGGGATATAAGTTGGGTAAGATAAGCGTAGAACTAGAATTGAGTATATTGGTAAGATCAGTGGCATAAAATTGATTACAGGATTGCTTTTTCACTTGATAAAAAGTTGGAAGTTGATGCAACAGTGAAGTTTATCTTCCTTGCTTAAATGGTTTGCTGTAAAAGTTTAGTTTTTACTAATTTGCTGATTAGACGTAGATGGCAGAAACAAGACAAAACCGTTAATGTGTTATCTGCTATTCGTTTTAGACTGGTTCCGTTAGGAGGCTTCTGTGTGCTTTCATTTTTGTTACTATGGCCCGGAAGATTCTGCCTTTTTGGTTATGGAATGATTCTGATGAACTAATAATAGTCTTTGTATTTTCTATGTTACAGGTTATTTCTTCTTGGTTTGGATAAGTACGGGAAAGGTGATTGGCGTAGTATCTCTCGTAACTTTGTGGTTACAAGAACTCCTACCCAAGTCGCGAGCCACGCTCAAAAGTATTTCATTCGTCTAAACTCAATGAACAAAGACAGAAGACGATCAAGCATTCACGACATAACTAGTGTTGGCAACGCAGATGTCTCAACACCACAAGGACCAATCACTGGTCAGAACAACAACAACAGCAACAACAACAACAACAACACCACCGGCTCTGCTGCAGTTGCTGGAGGAGGAAACAAATCAGCCAAGCAAGCCGCCTCTCAACCACCACCAGGACCTCCTATGTATGGCACACCCACCATAGGTCAACCGGTCGGTGGACCATTGGTCTCAGCAGTTGGAACACCAGTGAACCTTCCAGCTCCACCTCACATGGCTTATGGAGTCCATGCTGCTCCAGCCCCTGGCTCAGTGGTTCCTGGTGCACCAATGAACTTGGGTCAAATGCCGTACACCATGCCGCGTACACCTACGGCCCATAGGTAACCCGAAAACACTTGCTCTTCGTTTTTTTTTAGGTGTAAGAAAGATGTGTAAAGGATTTAGTGAATATTCAAGCTTGTTCCTGGAGTGAGTTTTTTTTTTTATTATTACTTAGTTTGTGGGGAATTTTTATGAGGTCCGAATAAGATATTAAAGATCATATGATTAGTTTCAGACACGAGAAGCAAACATGATTTCTTTTTATATGTGAACACAATAAAGCATATGTACCGACATTTAAAAACAAGCTAGGCAAGGCTACATCTTTACATGGCTTAACCTCTTAATAACTTTGTTGTGTAATGTGTAATGTTTCTGTTTGGTTCTACCGGAGATTGTTGTATACCAATAAAATTCGATATAAAATTAAGAATATAAGAATTAATTAATGTGAAGACACCAAAATCGCATTAATACAATTCAGCCATTGTTTCGGGACAGTGAAGCAAAACAAAATCTCTACTACCATATGCATAGTTGCTCATGCTGAACTGCAGAATCAAAGTAACTCTTCTCTGGTTTTATTCTCCGGAAGATTTCATCAAGAACGTGATATATCTCAGAAGATCTTGGGTGTGATTTATCTTCCACAGTAAAGTTATGAACTTCAACACCTGTTTCCACAAGATAGCTATACCCAGCAGCCTTTGTCATCGTTTCCTTCTTCATCATCTTCCTCATCCTCAAAACCCCATCCCACTTCTTATTCGCAGCGTAGATATTCGACATGATCACATAGTTACCTGGATTTGAAGGTTCAAGCTTGAACAGTGCTTCGCTTGCTATCTCTGCTATCTCAACATTGCCATGGAAACTACAAGCACCCAAAAGGGTTCCCCAAACGACAGCATCTGGCTTCATCGGCATTGTTTTGATGAGATTATAGGCTTCTTGCAGCTTCCCAACACGCCCCAAGAGATCAATCATGCATCCGTAGTGCTCTAGCTTTGGGGAAATCTTGTGAACTTGCTCCATGGACTTGAACAATTCTTTGCCTTTCACCACCATCCCACCATGAACACAAGCTAGCAGCAACCCAACAAATGTCACTGCATCAGGTTTTTCTCCTTCTCGCTGAAGTACCAACAGAAAAACATAGTGTAAAAACTCTTATCAAAACAAAGGAATCAACATGCATTGAACTGAGGAAAGAAAAGAAAACGCTCACCAACATTTGGGCATAAAGCTCAAGAGCTTCGTCGTGTTTCCCGTGAGTTGCTAGGCCACTGACCATGGAGTTCCATGAGCACAAATTCCTCTGGTTTCCGATTTCATCGAATATCCGTTTAGCTACATCAATCATCCCACATTTTGAGTACATCTCCAGTGTAGCATTACTCACGTAAATGTTATCGAAGAAGCCGTTCTCTCTAGCATAGCCTTCTAATCTTCGGCCAATATCCAATGCCCCGAGATTCCCACAAGCCGGAAGAACACTAGCTACAGTAATATGGTTCGGTTTAACGGTTTTGTTACTCTCCATACACAAAAACATCGATAAGGCCTTAGAGTAATTCCCGTTCTGAGAAAACCCAGAAATAACGGTGGTCCACGAGATTACGTTCTTACAAGGCATTGAATCAAACAATTCCATCGCCGCCTTCATATCACCTTGCCTGTTGTAAACCGTGATCATCGCATTCCAAACTGCTAAATCTCGGTTAGAAATTTCGTCGAACACCCGGCGCGCACAACGCAATGCTCCTAGCTTCGCATATTCAGTGATCAGAGCCGTGCAGCAGAAGGAATCAGACTCGAACCCAGATCTGAAAAACTGCGAATGAAACATACGTAAAGTTCGAACTGAAGAAATCGAAGCAGAAGCGGCGAAAATGAAATTGAAAGTGTGGTGATTTGGTCGGAGGCCATTGAAGGAGAGGAGCCTGAAGAGGACGACAGATTCATGGGGCTGGTCATGAACAGAGTAAGCTTGAATTAGCTTATTGTAGAGGAAGATACAAGGGTTTCGGTGAAGATCGAAGAGCCTTCGGGCATAAGCAAGATTAGGAATCCGAAGCAATCGTTGAAGAGATCTTTGGTTTCGTCTACGCCAGTTTTGAGACATCGCGCGTGGAGTTGTTTGATATGATTCATTCCCACGCGCCTACCCTTCGCGCGGGTTAGTGACGCGTCGTAATTAGTGAATATTTTTGGGTATTATTGGTCTTATCGTGACGTTATGTATGGGCTCGTAAAATATTTGAAGTCTCCGGCCCATATAATGAAGATATCTGTCAACAATTTTGAAACATATTTTTGGTACTTTCAAAAAATTATAAGAATTTTTTCTATGATACAAATTGAATACGGATGGATGGATCTCATCTAATATAGAACCTATCTTCAGTGTTTCATAATTTACAAAAATATCTCCATATTTTATCTCCCAAATGTTCATTTTGTAAACTACTCTTGTTAAATGGTATATTTAGATATCATACCAGCAGCATAAGAAGAAAATGTCACTTGGAGTACAGATCTGGCATGTGATGTCAAATTTATGAAGGAAAATAATGTAGCATAGAAAATAATCTAAGCATATTCTATATACTCTGATTCTGTATACTAAAATATATTAAAAAAAAAACAAGAATTATAATTTATAACATGTTCGAAAATATCAAATCTATAAATAGTGTCTATTGTTCTTTGATTATGAACATTCACATAATATTTAACAAAAAAAAATCACATAATAAAACTATGGATTTCACTAAGAAAGTTTTGATCGTATTTGCTCTCATCATTATGTTGTTGGGTATCTATTCTATTCATTGTCGTCAAAGTTTTAAACCCATGATGCCTTGTAAGATTTTGTTATATCTGTAATTCACTACTGAAAAAAATTGTTTTATTCTTTCTATAGGGTTTGGAGAAGGACGTTATCAATGTTTCGACACAAAACCATGTCTGCAAGGGATGGTGAAATGCATTGAATTCTGCTCCTCAATGGGGACTGCAAATGGACAATGTAATAATGAAAACCTATGTTGCTGCATTTATTAATGTTGTTTACATTGTAGTTGTAATGCCAAAAGATTAATATCTTTGTTTCTTTCTCAAATCAAATATAGTCCATACCAAAATGGAAAAAATAAAAATAGTTTGATTATCTAAAACTAAAAGATTAGATATTCTGATCGTGCATCATCATAAACATCGTCTGCATGGTTTTGTTTCTCTATATAATAATCTCAGTGGCGTCGAGCTTATCGGTTTTAGTAAATTCATTTCCGTAGCCAACAATTCTTTGGCTTTGGTTCCCCAACAAATGACATCTAATAAATCGGAAATGAAAGAGTGTAATTTATCTTATATCCAAAGGTGGAAGGGTAAATACAATCGATCCTGTTTCCTTCATGTCCAAATTTAGCTAAAAATGGACCACCAAACTTGATTTATCTTCGAGTTGTATTTATCCGCCGAATTGGATAACGCAAACAATAATATAATTTAATATCGTCCAGAAAAGATAACCTACAACATAATTCCTTGTGGATATTATCAGCATTAACTAACTTCTAAGTCAGAAAAAAAAAATCAAAATCAAAATTGTTTAGAAAGAACAAAACCAAAAAGCGTTTATTAGTTTGTTTTCTTGTCATCTTCTTGGTCAGTGATCTTCTTCGTATCCGCAGACTCATCCTCACCTCCAAAACCAAACTCGTTGACACGTGTTTTGTCCACAGGATAAACCCATCTCTGGTACAAGTATATCAAGAATATCACATCTGCAACAACACCAAAATTGGATCATCATCAAATTTTGTCAATTCCAAAACTGTCTTATAAGACACGAAGCAACAACAATCTCAGGGATAGATTGACTTGTAATTACCATCTCGGAAGACAGAAAGGCGATGCAGCATTGGCATTTTGATGACAAAAGCAAAGAGATCGTCAATGATGGTGTTAAGGAACTTATATGTCATTTGCCTCCATGGTAAATGTGCTACTGACTTGAGCTTATAGTTGATGAACAATTGAGGACACATCATTATGAAACCTGCAAAAACACAACACACATTGGTTTCAACTCAAACAAAATCAATCACAAGCTAGTACTGAGGTCGTGTAAGAGAATTTTGAAGGCTTTTTTTACCAAACATGTAGACGCAGCTCGTTAATGAAGATAGGATCCATGAGTACCAGCTCTTGTGGCGTTCATAGGCGAGTGAATATATGGAGAATCCCGCGACAAGGAGGAGAAGCACATATGATAAGAATTTAATGGCGATATCATCATACTCCTTAGTCTTGTTGCTTGCATAGGATTCACGATCGTGGAACCTCAATCTTGGAATCATTCCACTTCGATCAACCTGGGAAATTTAAATGTTTGCCACGGTTTTATGCAAAGAAAAATATCAGATGAAAATGTGACACGATGATCTTTTTGATTGATGTTAACCAGATTGTATGTGATATTAGATGTACCTCTATCCGCATGGCTTTCCCTATTTTCCAGAACTCGATGCAGACGCCAACTCCAGAACTAGCCAATATCATCCATGAAGTGTCGTTGTCAAGCAGGTAGAGGAAGATGATTAACTGACAGATAAAGTTCAGTACAACAGACTTTGCAGACAGTCCTTCCATAGATTTGTTCTTGTTCCAAAACTGGATATCTGCAGGGAAAGCATCAGATAATTAGAAAACTAAATTTCAAGAAGCATTTTAGGATAGTAGATTTGTTCTTGTTCTATTTGGCGCTTACCATTTTTGAATGCAAGGAAGTCAAATACAGAATGCAGCATCGAAACAAACATTGTGACGCCCAACAGATAGGGATTTCCTTCCAAAAATACCCTCTGCAAGTAAATTATATATTAACCATAAAAAAAAAATCACGTTCAAATCGAATTAAAACACAAACACATTACTTACATCTCTAGTTAAAGTCGTTAGATTCACATCTTAGTATATAATAAGACATATGAAGCTAACTGAGCACAAAGGACCAGAATTACCTTTAGTTCGTCAGATTCACCATCAAGCATGCTTCCATAGCTACGATGAATCTGGAAAGACTGATCAATCTGCTGAAATAGCTGCCACTTTGTCATGCTTATGGGGCTTACTTCTAAGTTAAGTGGTAGTTCTGAGACTGTCTCATTGATTGCAATCAACTTGTCCCTCAGCAGCCAAAACTCATTGAAGAAAACTGTAGGGTAGTAGTTAACTGTAGTCGGTTCTACCTGTAAGTCTGCCAATGAAGTTGAGGAAAGCAAATAGAAAAACGGGCAAGTAGACACTCACGTTTCAGTTCCTGAGAATTTTGAATTTTTATACGAGTTTAAACCAACTTATACTAAAATGGCATGGCAGATGAAACATGCATTGAACTCATGGCTAGTGCCTTCAAATGTTAGAGAAACATGCCCATAGTTGTCAAAAAAAAAGAATAATAATATGCACGCCATCCTTGGACAAATGGAAGGATACAAGGAGCAATGTTTGGTGGTACACCATGCTGTGGATAGCTGGAAGGGAATGGAAAACAATTAGCACACGTCTTTTAAAAATATCATTGAGTGAGCCCAAAAGAAAATTATCTATGCCATAAATCCATTATTCATCTACCACTTATCAGAACCAACTTACCGAGTAAAGTCATCGACTAGGTTAATTGTGACATTTGGTTTCCAGTAGGATATCCATTCCACAGGGCCCTCATCCTTGAGATCCGAGTCATGACCATCATCCTCCTGCGAAGTCTGCTTTGTGTTAGTTCATAAGAGCATAAGACAGGCTACATAACAGGCCAAATAATACATAAAAACCATATGCAGATTTTTTCCATAGATGCAGACCTCAGCTTCTGCATTGGATTCAGCAGAGTCATTGGGATTTCCCAACAGACTCTTCTTCTTATCTGCTTTTCGCTTTGGCAAGTAAGTCGCAACAGCTGAAATAGGGAAAAGAGTCGTCCAATTTAGAGACTACATACACCAAACTACCAACAACTGTTAAAAAGGGTCGTCGTTCGTCTAGGAAAGGGAAGGCTTACGGTGTGTTCTGCCAAAACTATTAAGAGGTTGGTATTCAGGATCGCTAGGATCTATAGGATAACCAGATCGAGCAAAGAAGACATGAGCATACAAACTTCCATTATTCTTCAGTGCCTGAACAACAGATATCTTAACTAAATAGAGCCTACATATTAATAGCGAAGGAAGTATGTGAAGCAAACCAAATAACCTATTACCTCGGATGGATAATACTTCATTGACAAGGTCCTAGTGCTCTCTGGCTTCCACACAGCATAAGGTATGTTTGTCTCGTGCCAAACAAGCGCATCATCATTGCCAAAGTCACTGAATTTATCATGCTCCGAGAGATAAAACCACATATCCTGAAGTAAAAAAGAATGGTTACCATTTAGAATCATATTGAAACAGCATTCTTAAATCATCACCAAATCCAACTTTTGCTTTTCAAATAAATCATAGAGTAAAGCATGAAACCCATCCAAGAAGTTGAGGAATTAGAATCGTACGCAACCACAGCAAAACCCTAAACCGCCCAGAAGTGGGAGAAAAAAAACTGTGCCAAGACAAATTCTGTGATTCGACCCCAAACTAAACGTATTTTTGTTTCAAGCGAGAAGGCGATAGAAATCAATCGAATTGCAGAAATCCAATTAATCAGAAGATTACCAAAGGTTCTCCTTTCTGAAAGAGATTGGACATAAGCTGAGATGGTTGAGAAGGATTCGCAGGTTTTTGTTTCGGAGAAAAGAACTTAGAAGCAAAGTAGCAGAAGACGGCGATTCTAATGATTCCGGTAATCGTCTGCCCAAATCCACCAGCTTGTCGTTGCTGCTGCTGCGGCTGGCCATCGCCGACCGCCGCTGTTTCACCTGCCGGTGAAGCCATATTCGCAGAAACTTGTGCTTTCGTCAATCGTCACTGTCGAATCAAAGCTGAGAGATGTAGCTTTACAGTACTTGATGTGAAAAAGCAGAGTCGAGGAGAGAGATATTTATGGGCGTTTTTTTTTTTCTTCTAATTATTCAAAAAGAATAACGTATTTGCATGTTAGGACCTAATAAAATTGTTATATTCTTACTTATCCCGATAGCTTTAACTATAATCAGAACAACCCCTCTAATTATTTAGTCCACTTCACTCAGCTAAAAATCTCGCTTGCTTTTATGCGGAGACGGAGACTGAACGAAATTCCATTACTCCATTGCTTGATGCAATAAGGAACTGATAAAGATTGTCTTTTTTTTTGTTGGTTCTCTCAATGTCTGTCACATGTGGTCAACGCTTATATCGTTCTTGCCCATCCGGTGTTTGTGGAAATGTCTGATCCAAATTCCGTGACGGGTTAAACGGCCGTTGCTAAGATATTTACGGAAAATATGGAAGTGCTACGGCAATTTGTTCAGAATTTTCGATTTTCTTCTGGTTTTGGAATTGATCACAGAGTTTTTTCGGATGTTGTCAAAGCTTGCGCTTCAGTGTCTGAGCTTACATCAGGGAGGGCTCTGCACGGTACCGTGGCAAAGCTTGGTCATATGGCCTGCAATGAGGTTTCAAAGTCAGTTCTTAACATGTATGCGAAATGCAGGAGAATAGATGATTGCCAGAAGCTGTTCAGGCAAATGAACAGTGTCGATCCTGTTGTTTGGAATATTCTCCTGACTGGACTTTCGAATTCTTGTGCTCATGAGACGATGAGGTTTTTCAAAGCAATGCACTTTGCGGATGAACCTAAGCCCAGCTCCGTTACCTTTGCGATTGTTCTTCCTGTGTGTGTTCGCCTTGGGAATTCATACAATGGCAAGATTTTGCATTCTTATATCATTAAAATCGGGTTAGACGAAGATACACTTGTGGGGAATGCTCTGGTTTCCATGTATGCCAAATGCGGGATTGTCTTCCCTGATGCGTACACTGTGTTTGATAGTATAGCTGATAAAGATGTTGTCTCATGGAACGCGTTAATTGCAGGGTTTTCTGAGAACAATATGAAGTCCGATGCTCTTAGATTGTTTTCTCTGATGCTCAAGGAACCTATAGAGCCGAATTATGCAACAATTGCAAATATTTTGCCAGTTTGTGCTTCTATGGACAAGAACATTGCATATGGATGTGGTAGGCAGATTCATGGTTATGTTGTGCAGAGGTCTTGGTTGCAAACTCATGTTAATGTATGCAATTCTCTTGTGAGTTTCTATTTGAGAGTCGGACGGATAGGAGAAGCAGCCTCAATGTTTACGAGGATGGGTTCCAAAGATCTGGTTTCATGGAATGTTGTCATAGCCGGTTATGCATCAAATTGTGAGTGGTTTAAAGCCTTGCAGTTATTTCAAATTTTGGTGCATAAGGGGGATGTTTCTCCTGATTCGGTAACTATTGTCAGCATCCTTCCTGTCTGTGCGCAGTTAAGTAACTTGACCATTGGCAAAGAGATCCACAGTTATATTTTGCGCCATTCTTACCTCTTGGAGGATACATCAGTTGGGAATGCTCTCATTAGTTTCTATGCAAGACTTGGTGACACAAGGGCAGCGTATTGGGCCTTTTCGCTGATATCCAAGAAGGATATAGTATCTTGGAATGCTATACTTGATGTCTTTGCAGACAGTCCAAAACATTCTCAGTTTATGAACCTCTTGCGCCACTTATTTGATGAAGCAGTAATTCTTGACTCTGTTACTATTTTAAGCATAGTCAAATTCTGCACAAATGTACTGGGAGTTGGTAAAGTAAAAGAAGTTCATGGGTACTCAGTTAAGGCCGGTCTTTTAGACGGTGAAAAGGAACCCATGCTTGGCAATGCATTGCTTGATGCATATGCCAAATGTGGTAATGTAGAATATGCTCATAAGATTTTTCAAGGTCTATCAAAGAGGAAAACTTTGGTTACCTATAACTCAATGTTATCAGGATATGTCAATAGTGGAAGTCATGATGACGCTCAGATTCTGTTCCGTGAGATGTCTACTACTGATCTCACCACTTGGAGTTTAATGGTTCGTATCTATGCTGAAAGTTGTTGTCCTAGTGAAGCCATTGATGTTTTCCATGAGATACAAGCTAGAGGAATGAGGCCTAACACTGTGACTATCATGAATTTCCTTCCTGTTTGTGCGCAGATAGCCTCTCTGCATCTAGTAAGACAATGCCATGGATACATTATTAGAGGCGGGCTTGGAGATATCCGCCTGCAGGGGACTCTACTAGATGTATATGCAAAATGTGGCAGCTTGAAGAATGCGTATTCTGTTTTCCAGTCAGATGCTCATAGAGATCTGGTTATGTTCACTGCTATGATAGCTGGATATGCTGTACACGGTATGGGTGAGGAAGCACTTATGATCTACTCTCATATGATGGACTTGGGCATTAAGCCCGATCATGTCATCATAACTACTATGTTGACTGCATGCTGTCATGCTGGATTAATACAGGATGGATTGCGAATATTTGACTCGATAAAAACGGTTTACGGTATGAAACCTACAATGGAACAGTATGCTTCGGTTGTAGATCTACTTTCTCGTGGGGGTCGACTTGATGATGCATATTCTTTCATCACTCAGATGCCAGTTGAACCTAATGGGAATATATGGGGAACACTGTTAAGGGCGTGTACAACCTATAGTAGGATGGATCTGGGGCGCTCAGTTGCAGATCTTCTTTTGCAAGCTGAATCTGAAGACACTGGGAACTACATTCTAATGTCGAACATGTATGCTGCAGATGGGAAATGGGAAGTCGTGAAGGAGTTGAGAAACCTAATGAAGAAAAAGAAAATGATAAAGCCAGCCGGATGTAGCTGGCTAGAAGTGGATGGGGAAATGAATGTCTTTATGTCTGGAAATTGTTCTCACCCTCGAAGAAACAGTATTTCCGACTTACTACATGCTCTATATCTTCAGATGAAAGAACCAGTGACGTTTTAATCGATGAAGATTGTGAAACGCTGCAAAAAGCAAAACGCTGCAGAAATGTTACAGAAACAAGTCTTGATTGAGATAAAGCAATTGAACAGTCTTTCTCTTTCAATGATTTTGTTGTGACACGCTACATGTACATGATCTTTGAGATAGTAGGCAGAGAACAAGCTTATGATTAATCTGTTGAGTTTATGGTCTGCCACTTGAATTGGGAGATGTTAAAGGAAACAAAGTAAGCAATTCTGGTTCTGTATACCCTGGTTTAGACCTTGGCGATGGATGTAAGTAAAAGCGTCTTTCTTTAATGGCTTTCTCCTCTTCTTCAATGTTTGTTGTACAACTATCTGGTTCTCCTTTCTCCCCTTCTATCAATGACAAGTTAGAGAACAATGAAGAAGGGGTGCCCACTGGACTTGTTAAAAGGTTGGTATTACCAGATTTAGATGATGGTGTCGTACCAGTGGGCTTAAAGCTTAGAGGAGGTTTGACAATTTCAAGCTTTGGCCTCATACACTGCCTTCTCTCGTGGAGCTTAGAAGTCGGGCGCTTTTGTATGGCGGTTTTTATAACTGTTGCTTCTGGTACTGCTGTAGCATTGCTCTCTGATGGACCTGTCAAGCGCTGCACGATTTCTCTGAAAGTGTTGGTGTCAGTTTGGACAAATGTAGTGACGGGCTTGCAAGTTGCAACATTCTGACTTCCTTGGTTATTCATATGTAAGTTTTTCTCTGACAGAACAGGCTTTGATTTACACCTGTTTTTTTGGCCTCTGACCTGTGACAATGGTGCCGTTAGTGCAGTTGATCAGAAAACTGAAAAAATATATCAAATTTTAAAAAAAGGTGCCGTTGCAGAATTTAGTCCCGTCTAGAGAACCAATGAATGTCAATTCGTGTAAGGAGTTCAGAAATGAAACTGATGGAAGGTAAAAAATATTCAAAAACAAAAGTCTTCTTCTAAATTTAATCTCAGTCATCTTTCATTGAGAATTCCATCGTCATAATTTTTCAAAACAAGGAACATAAATAGCTACAGATACAAAATAAGAGGCAGTCGTGCACTCAAACCTTACCATTTAAAAAAGACCACTAGATTGTTATATGTAAATATCTGTGAGAGAAAAAAAAAATTGGCTTTTCCTGAATTTGCTTTAACTTGTTGTATACTCAAAAATCTATATCAAAGTTTGGTGCTATTACTAATTGTAGGAATGAAAATGAACAGGGCTTTTCATGTCCTAAATCTGACTTCTTTCATCATCTAAAGGTGGTTACTTTTCATATGATGAGAGAACTGTTTATAGAAGTTCTACATACGATTTACGGTTTGATAACCAAAGCTAATGCCTGATATCATTTGTGTTTCTGTTCTATGACTCCCTACAGGAATCACAGGAAATATTTAAAATAAAAAAGACAGACACATACCTGAAGAGCAAGCCGAGGAAGCAAGTGAAGGCGAATGTGAATGTGAATGCTGGTTTCTGAAGCCAAATCAAGAATTAGGAACTTAAAACAGAAGAAGAGAACAAGGGAGAGAGAGAGAGAACTAAAAGGAGATATAAAGACTGTTGTTGGTCTAATGGTCACAGCTCAGAACTTGTTCATGTACCAGAAAAGAGAAGAAAATGAAGAAGAGGAAAAAAAGGAGCAGAATATGGAGGAAAGAGGAAAAAAAGACTCTTTTATCCCTTTATTCTTAACCGTTTTCGGGTTTGGGTTTATGTCACTTTTTTCTTTTCTTTTTCTTTTAGAAATTTGTTTGGTCAAACATCAGAATGACAAATTGTGATGAGTTTATTTCATGTTGTCGTGAAGGAATGGAGAAAGGAAGTTAAAGAAGGAAGAAATGCATGCCGTTTCGGTTAAGGAGATAGGGAGAGAGAGACGTCACAGCAACCTCTCCACCCCAATATATAAACCAAACAACGGTTTTTGTTTTTTCGTTTTTGTTATGTTTTTTTTTTATGGGCTTTATGGGCTGTGTCTCTGTGGAATCTGATGAGATATTTAACTGAACTCATAACAGTTCCTCAACTGCCTTAACTGACTCTGTTCTTCCTCTGTGGATATTTGGTTGACTCCTTTCAAGGTTATGGCCATAAAGAACTTTAATCACTGGCATAGTCAAAATATAGGAGATAACAATCTTTACCTTGCAAGCTGCGAAATTGTTGTAATTTTGTTTTTTCTTATCTTTTCGACTTTTAAGGAATTCATAATATAGAGTTAGGTCCTTTCTGAAAAGTTTAATATTTTTAGGTGACACTTTGATTTTTTTTTAGAATTGTATATAGGTATTAGAATGCGCTATAATTCCGTCAATTGATCTTGAAGTCAAACCAAAAAAACTAATATGAACACATAAAAATAAATATTAGTTTTTTATTAATTTATGAAAAAAAAAATTAACAGTAAAAATCTATGGAAATTTATTAACTGATTCCGGATTTGACTTGATTACAATCATCATAATGAACAACAAAGATAAAATACTTGCACATGGGACAACCAACTAACAAAATCGATTTAGTTACGGGTCGACTCAAAATCGAACCGGATACTGCTTTTGCACAACACAACACAACATAACAGTTGTTTTATAGCCGTTTCAGATCTTTCAGATCTTACCCTGTAAAGAGACCGAACATTATCGCTCCCTAACTATATTTTATTTTTACTAATCACTATGCATATGTATATTACAAGGGAATTATAACTCATGTTGTGATTCCTACAAATGTAATCATTTTGTTGATACCTTTGACTATGCTAAGGTTGCTCTTTTGCCCTTTGCTTCTCTTGACTACAAGCAAAATCAGTTTTTGATGTTTGTTAGTAATCAACTTATGGGTATGTATAAAAGGAAGGGCATTAGGGAGGAGAGAAGAGAGAGATACCGATTTTCTGGAGTCCAGAAACTGGCTATATATGTCATAAAGCTTTTGTTTCTCGGTTTCGGAAACCGATGGTTTCGTTTTAGAAGCGATCGACTTCAGAAGAGGATCAGTTATAATTGGAGTTGTTCCGGTCTCGGGTTTATCTTCTCTGTTCAGAAAGTCATGAACAGCTCCAAGCTGCGCATCTGAGAGAAGAGCTTGAAGATCAGCTCCACTAAAGCCTTCGGTCATCTGAGCTATAGGATCTAGGTCGATATCATCAGCCATCGGAAGCTGCAGATATGTGCACAGACTTTTTTTCTGTCAATTTAACTTGTAACAAATATCGATGCCCCAAATCTACATAGAGGATTCTAGTTTATATGATTGTTCAGATATGTAACATTAAGGGTTTCAAGAAAAAATTATCAGCAGAAATGATGAAAGTACTAACCTTTCTAGAAAGAACTGTAAGAATCTCTAATCGCTCTGGTGGGGATGGGAAGTCACACATAAGAAGACGATCAAGCCGGCCAGGCCTTAGGAGTGCAGGATCAAGTAGATCTGGTCTACTGTTAATTGGAAAACCATTATCAAGTCATACATCTATCTTTTGTATGTAATGAAGACATAAAGCGCGGACTAAGAACAGGGTTCAACTTTCATGCCTCTTATATAATGTGGAATTAGTATCAACTGTTATATCAGTAGAATTCACCGCTTGCTGTAGATTGTATGAATGCATCGAACACTATATATATATATGATATGGAAAATATAGACGTATTCTGGTGTGCATACCTCGTTGCAGCAAATACAAAGACCCCGGTTAGAACTTCAACTCCATCCAGTTCTGTCAGGAACTGCGCAAAATAAATAAATGAAATGAGAATATGAGATGTTTGAAATTTACGAAGATTGAATATGCCGACTTTGAAGTAACTTACTTGATTAACAACTCGATCAGTTACTCCGGTATTGTCATGTCCTCTCTTGGGAGCAATTGAATCGAATTCATCGAAAAAGAGTAGGCATGGTGCTGCGGCTGCTGCCTTTGAAAATATATCACGGACCTGAGATATGGATGTTTGTCGTTATTGGATATGTGGAACCACAAGGGTAACATTCTTCAAATTTTGAGACACGAAAAAAATGGCAGAAAGCTGTCTAAAAACTCTTTCTATAGCCATTTTTCATTCAGGTTTCTTTACCTATCTATTGTGTAAGACTTAAGTGACCAGTAACCACTACGCAGGATAATCCAACAGTAAAGATAAAGCATGCGCTACTGAAGACATAAAAAAGTAGATGATCATCTCAAGAGGTTCTTGAAGATGCAAAACAAAGAAAAGTGTCATTCTTACAGCTTGTTCAGAAGCACCGATGTATTTATTTAATAGCTCAGGCCCCTTCACTGAAATAAACCGTAGGGAACACGCTGCCGCAGCTGCACCAACTATGTGTGTCTTCCCACAACCGGGTGGACCATATAAGAGAACATTTGATCTCAAACGCAGAGGAGACTTTGCAAAGATTTTCGGAAATCTGGATGGCAGCTCAATCATCTGGACATGGCAAAGAGCAAATAAGTTGGATTTCCACAGCTAATTCTCTAAATAACTACTGATCATTCGAACTGTAGTTGTTAGCATAACTAGCAACTTTACGTCATCTAGCACAGTGGAATTATTTCCGTCAGATTAATTCCCAGATAACTCAACTTATATTAACTCAGGCATTAATAGAAAGTATTGTTTCCCACTAAAGCAAAAGTAAATTCAGTAAGGGAACTTCGAACGATATACACATATGCTAGCAGATAAAACCAAATAGATGCAGGTTGACGATTCTTCATGTTTACAATTAGGAAATCAATATCGGCCAAATTTCCTACCCACACTATTTAGACATCACAGGGGCAACAAAATCAGATCTGGCAAGCGACATGCTTATATACCTCTTTAATAGCATTTTTAATATCAGTCACACCTCCAACATCTTCCCACCCCGAACGGCCGCCTTCAGAAGCAGATTTTGTGATGTCACGCATGGCAACAGGCACAAATTCATGCATAGCTCGAGTAAAGTCTTCTTCGACCAAAGTATATTTGGATAAATTGGATTCACAAGGTAAATGCCGGCCAATGGCAGCATGAACAGCTCTATCAACTAAAATTTCCTGGAAAAAGAGTATCCAACGATAGCGCACTGTAAATTAACGGGCAGAAGGATAATCAAAAGAAAAAGAAATAAAAAAAGAGCCTCGAGCAGCCATGGGCATGAACCCAAATCAAAACGAAAGAGCAAGCTTGAACCCAGAACATATATCACATGACAATCACAGATAGTAATAGCTCTACGGTCTGCAACATTTCTTTCAAATATCTTTTCTGCTCACGGCACAACATCACATCTTAAAAGCATATCGAAAACTTTAAATACCAGGTCATACGCATCATATCCTTCACATTTTCCAGCTAACTCGAGCAATATGTCTTCCGAACACTCTAATAGGCGTTTTTGTATCTCATGTTTCAGTATGGCCCCACGTTCAGAGGTAGCAGGAGCAACCAGTTGCACATGGAAGTCAAATCTCCCTGAAAGTATCATATGAATCAATTTACGTGAAAACAGGTCGAGGTACTAGTATAACAAGTTTGTACCTGATGAGCTCAATGTCTGCGGAATTTGTTCTAGAGACTGTACGGAAGCAACAAATGCAAGTGGACCAATTCCACAAGAGGAATTCCTGTATTGCTGTTGAGTGAACGAACATACAACTGTTAACTAAGTGGATATAACACTTGAAACAGTGAACTGTTAGACCTGATATTTTTGAGGAGTTCATACCCCATAATCATCTATAATATCTGTCAGGAATTTTGTAAGCATCGTGATCGCATTCGACGCTTGAGTTCCTTCGGTATCTGAAGATGATGAGATAATGCTATCAAGATCATCTAAAATAATGACAGATGGTGCATGTTCCAAGCCTTCAGCTATAACACCAGAAAGGACTTGATGGATGTGTTGAACCTTCTCCAAGGCAAGTGCAGAACAGGATACCAAAATCCTGCACAAGGAAAATCAACACTTAGTCACATTTGTACAAGACTGATTCTCTCGAAGATAGATGATGTTGGTTGGAGTAGATCAGTACAGGCAAACGTAAACTATAACCACTCACACATGTGCCAACAAGTCTTTTTGTTCTTCAAAGTACTTTGCAGCAGCTCTTGCTAAAATTGTCTTTCCTGAACCCTATCAGCCAGAAGATCACGAAGAGGTCATTTCAAACATTAGGAATAACAGGAAACTATGATAAGACTGGAGCCAGGGAAACAATGATTCCCGGTTGTGAAAAGAACAGATCTAAAGCTTTAATATAAACACCCTGATACTTATGCCTTGTCAAAGGGATAGCTTTGGAGTGGGTAACGTAATAATGTTAATCGAGAGATAGAATCAATTGAGAACTAAAAACAAGTAAATCCAAGGGGCAAAATTGCACTAAAATCATTATGGAGGGATACCAAATGGAACAACAAAAATGTGAAGGGGAACTCACAGGAGGCCCGTATATGAGAATATGTCCAGGTGAAGGGATACTGAACTTGCTAAACCACATTCCAGCTTCCGGAGACAACAACACGGTCATCCCTACATATCACAGTAGTTGGCTTTAGGAGCAGATCTGTTCATAAACATTTTCCAGATCCGATAAAATACGCATGTTAAAATCAACCACATGTGAAGATTGCACAAAAGACAGATGATCAAGCAGTTTTAGTTGAGGTCAAAAATTTGCTTTGTGGACATTTTATATGTAACTAAAACGTATGCAATAACAAAAACTAACACAGACTGAAACAAACATTCAAGCAAAATCTATGATATCAGAAAGCATGACACAAGGCCTATCCATATTTGACTTATTTAGTTTTTTTTTTTTATCTGCAACCACATATTTATCTCTCTGCATAACATAAAGGGCCACCATGACATTACATTCAAGCAATATGATGCTAAGAGAGAAAAACCTACTCTTGATAACATCCAACACAATTGAGCCCATCCACGCTAAGGAAGATAGATCTGTGGAAACACCTTTATTGCAGTGTCTTTCTTTAGCAGAGGAGAAAAATATAGGTTCACCAAGATTCATCTTCTCAAGCACCGGCTCAATATGCCCCACATTGTCCCTCTTCTCACTTCTATCCAAGGTAAGCTCATACACAGCAAATTTATCACCAAGCGAAGGCTCGTCAGAGACTTTCATTACGTACAAAATTTCTAAAGGAACATTTTTATCCTTCTTCCTATTTTCCAAACGATCATTAACAAGAGGCTGCCCATCTCTGGGCTTATAAGATTCGAGCCCTCTCACTTCAAAATGGAACAACGTTTCTCTTCCTACAATCAACGAACTAACATCAACGCCTGTGAGTGAAGCAATAGCATCAAGTTGTGCCAATGACCACAGGCGAGTAAGGCGTTCCAATCCTTTCCTATTCTTAAGTTGATAGGCATTATCTTGTTCTTCCTTAATATGCAACTCCTCAGATGAAAGAGCCGTAAGAACCTTATCATGCACAGACCAGTCCAGAACATCCACATTGGTGGTCAGGCCAGAACGTGGATGACTGCTTTTTCTATTAAAACTATGATTGCCAAGCATATCAGTACCTCTGTCAAGCACCTTTTCCTTTTCAGAAATCTTGAAGACGCACGACGAAAGTGACAGAGCAGGAATTTCTTTGTTCACATTCACATTGCATCCCCTTAAGTAAACCCCTACATAGAAGTCATAACTCTTACTCAGACATTGATGTTTTTGTGGTAAAAAAAGCTCAGTTGAGAATGGAAAAATGCAAAATGGTGCATTCTATAACTTTTGGATTAAAAAAAATGCATGTCAACTCTCAAAAGCCTTACAAGTTTACTTCCTGACAGTTACAGCAATAACGTATGATATTCTAGTGTCCCATACTGTGGATAGCCAGAAGAATGACGTTAACTCAGTCTTTCCGTACATTACAAAGACCAAGCTGAACAGAATCAACATATAGACAAGCTAATTACACCAACATCAAAATTTTGGACGTACATCAAAACAAAAGCATCTGTATGTTTAAGCAAAATTTACTCACATGAGTGAAGGCCTGCTCCTAGATAGAGACGAAGAGACTCGACCATCATTAGATGTCCTTTAGCAGCTAAATCTGAAAATACAAGACGAAGAATTGCTCGACGAGGCTCTTTCTTCGCGCTAGGAGTGCCATTCTCCACCACCTTCGAAGCTTCGCTGCTTTTCATATTTAAGGCTTCGTCCTTCTTCGCACTACCTTTCAAAGGTATTCTAGGGGATACCGAAATCATTTGAAGAGATTCTAGCGAATATTTCTTGGCAGTTTCTGGATGAATATAGGCAATGGAAGTGAGGGCTACCCTTACATCAAATCCTTTGACATCAGCTTCATGAAAGGCTGATCTAGTGGTATTTTGTACACGTAACAGGATTTTCTCATTGTTGCATTCTTTATCCGAAGCAAAAGCATCAGAACCATTTTTCGCGTTGAGATTTCTTTCACGTCTCTTAGGAGCCACAGCCACTTCAGTTCCTGTCACAAGTTGTACTGAAAACGAGCCACCAGTCAAAACATTTCACTCATCAACAAAATTGTCATGACTGTAAGCATAAGAGACTAGTAATCATGGTCTGACCGATCCATTTGGTATCCCAGGGAAGCTAAGTTAAAGAAAAAGAAACTAGAAAAGTATGGTAACAAAAGTGCGGAACAGAGATGGTCTTACCCACCCCTTTTGGTGGAAATGTTGAGACCACAGCGAATCTTATAACAGTTCGGTCATGCAACCACAAAGGGAATTTCATGGTCTCGTGAAGAATCCTCACCTGAAATACGTGTTTCGTAAGTTCCCTCAGCAGACCATTGGCGAACTGATTATGCCAGTGCCTTACTAACTTGCAATAAGATCCAAATATTTTGGAATGATGATACGAACAGAGGCACGATGATGAAGTTTACTATCCAATACCTGACTAAGTATAGCTGACTCGGCAAGTTCTGCATTGAGCTCGAGAATTTCCCAATCATCTTCAGTCTCCGGTTCCACTGTTACTAAAGTAGCCTTCGGCACATTGGAAAGAACTCGAACATGAACAACTGTACCATCCGGCAACGAAATGCTTTCCGCAAATACTCTAGCGACCTTAATGGAGTAAACAAAATTGAAAACGCAGGGGAAAAGAAGAGTATCAGGCCTCCAAAGACAGAAACGATATCTAAATTTGAATTAACGGGATCAAAGAGAGAGAGACCTCGATCGCAGAAGAGGAGGAGCTAGAGCCGGACCAAGCAACTGGCCAACGGCGGTCACCGGAGCGTAGCTCGAAAGGGAGAAGTGGAGGGAGAGGAGCTGAGCTAGTGGATTGAAGCGTTTGGAGTATATGATGAGGTAGTGAGACGAAACAGTCGACGCCGGCGACAGTACGAACCACCGCTTCCGTTTCCATCGCGCCGGAGAAAATGATTTGCCGATTGCCAGACGTGTATTCCCCAAGCTTTATCTTCTTTGTCAAACCGAGCCGGTCACTTATTTTTGTTTTGGGCTTCGTAATCTCTGTTTAGGCTTTTATAATTTAAAATTGGGCCTTTCAAATTTGTATTTGGGCTTTTTAAAAGCTGTACTTAGAGCATGTTCATCAAGACTTCTTAGCAATTTTGGGCCCGAAATCATAGGTGTTTTAGATTAAAAAGAAAAGAAAAAAACTTTATTATCTGTGAACCGATCCTTAACTAAGGGCTGCAAGAGGCAGGTTCATACGCCACGTGTAGCCTGGGTATTGGGCATAACTTTTTTGTTTTACCATCTCTCATATCTTTTTTCTGGACCATTTTTTGTTTTTGGCCGATGATTTTTGTCGACCATTTTTCTTGATTTTTGTCTGGGATTGAAATTGTGGATATGCGATTGCTGAAGAGAAGAATTAGTGGAGAGAAGATTATGATGATGAATCCATGGAATCGAAGTTCTAAGGATTCAAATTCGCCAGGAAATTTCCGTTGGGGTTTGGATTGAGAAGCGTTCTCAGAAAAAACGACGACGCAAGCTGGTCGAGATTTCACACTGTAGATATCGAGCAGACATCGCCGCGAATCCAAACCACCACAGTCGCAGTCGAAAGCGCCGTCGTCGATGTCGAGAAAACCGACATTAAAAAGCCGCCGTCGTCATGTTTTGCTGGTTATCATTTCTTGTATCTGCGCTTTGCTTGATTTGATCTTGTTCAAATCTGTTTTTGCAGGGGAATCTGTATTTACAATCCTTGATTAATCTCGCTTCTGTTGTCTTCTGTCTTCTTAACTTATTTTTAATCTGATGCTTTTAACAGCTCCTGCTTTGGTTACCACTGGCCTCTCTAAGCTCGGTTACAACTATGTTAATATCGGTAATGACTCTAATGCAGTTTATTACCATTCAGTGTGATTGTTTGATAGTAAAACTTCTCTGGAGATATTGTGAAAACATGATTGAAATTTTTGTTTTGTTTCGTATATGATTGCTGAGCTGAAATTGCTCGTGACGACAAGGTATTATCACCAATGCTGTATATTATATATTACAGGCTCTTCTTTTACTTGGTTGTGACATAAAAGAATATGACCAAAGAAACAATGGAGATCGTCGCAAATAATGGGGTCATTGCTTCAAATTTTTTTTTTTTTTTTAAGAATTCTATGATGGGGTTCACTATTGGAAGATAAAAACATGATATGTTCTTAACTTTTCAGTAATCCAAAATTTAGTATTATAAAATTGTTATGAACCCTAAAGAGGAGTTCTTTGATGGAGATGCTCTTATGTTCTTACTTTCTTCTTTGGATTAAAGCTACTACCATACTCAAATCATGTTTATGGAACTATTTGTTGGATTCAGAGATTTTACATTTAGGGTCTAATCTGAAATAGCAAAATCCAGAAAAATCATGCGTAAAATAATCTTTTGTTCCATGGGTCTTCTATCAAAAACAAAAAATACATCTAATGAGAGCATGATATGTATTCACAATTTCACATAAAATAATTCAAATACAAAACAATAGATAGGACACTAAACAACAACCAGCTATAAATCAATCCACAAAATGAAAATTTTTTAATTTTCACTATCCATCATTTAGAGAATCCAACTATAAATTAGAACCATAAATTAAGTCCATACGGATAGAGAAATGTATCACCAAAAAGATAATCAGAAGAAAACAAAAATGAGACATCTAAAAGATACAAACCAAAGTAAATAACAAAACGAAAGACTTGTTGAGTAGAATTTTAGAGACGAGACAATTGAGAAAGATTAATGGGGTAACAATCGGATTTGGAGCCATTAAAGGCTCTAAGAGCAATAATGAGATTAAAAGCTTGTGTTGGATGAAAAGCATCCCAGAACACGTGTCGATCTCTGAAAGCACATGGTACCGCTAGTGGCAAACACGTAATTTCTCCCCTGTTCCTCCCTACTCCACAACATCCTCTATCCGTCACTTCGAATCCTACAAAACATCAAATTAAATCATTAATTCCAAAGACAGTTTATATATATACATGAAAAAACAAAGCAAAAAGCCAAACAACAATTCATAAAAACGTTATTTAAATGAAGAGTAAGATAGTTAACCGTAAGCAAAGGGGTTGGTGAGGATATCAACGGCGGCACCATAGGTATTGCCATAGACAAAGACGGCGTCGCGGGCGGTTATGTTGTCGGAATTGAGACGATCCACGAGAGACTTGAGGCGGTCGTTGAAAAGCTGAGCCATCTCATTAACCTCCTCTACACATTCACCCGGCGGAACCGCCCTAGCTGCTAGTTGGTCCGGTATGCATCCCAGTGGACCCACTCCAGCTAACACGAATTTCCTAAAACCCTTTCCATACAATTCCTACACCAACATATAACTCGAAGTTATAGCATGATCAGTGTTCTTGTAATAATAATCTCTGCCACATTGAATATAAACACATATGTATATATATATTTACGTTTTAAAAAACACACGTACGTAATTTAAGGGTTGAGTAATAATTAATGAACTTACAAGGAGATGAGAGGTGAAATTGGAGAGAAGGAGGTCGGCGAAAGAAGGAGGGTCGTAAATGGAGCTGGTGAGGAAAAGCGAAGGTTTCAAGTAATTGTTAATGTAGTCATTGTTCCCCAATGAAACCACCACCAATGACTTTGCCATGTACTCTTTTACTGACTCTATCCCTCTACTTATCTCCATTAATGTCTTCTCGAAGTTCTCCACTTGTCTTCTCATGCTGAATCTCTCTCCCTTCATGCATGCAGTCAACCCTCCATTTAATTTATTAATGTTTTTTTTTACGGAGGCTATTAAATATAAAATACTCATGTGCATGTCTCACAAGCAAATGTCGCATTAGTGAGAACTGATTTCTAATCTTCATGCACCCAATCAAAGTCATTCGATATTAAATACATTTCGTGATTCGATTCTATTGGTTGAGTGAGGACTGTTTCCGTTTAGGGTTTAGTCATAAAATTTAATAAAAATATACGTCAAATACACACACCAAACAAAAAAAAAATCAGACGAAAATTATTTGTTTTTTTTTTGAGATATGATGAAGATAAGAAAAGTGCGTACAAGATGGCGACCGGTTTCTTCTAAGATTCCTCCGGCAGCGGAGGCATAGTTCACTCCCCGGAGAATGTCAACTCCTCCGTCTACTGTTTCAATATACGCCGGTATATCCGGCAGCCCTATCAACTCTCCTGCATGCACTCATCCACCCCCATTAGTTATTTAATATTTTCTCATTTTATATAAAAGAATGATTGATTAGGTATTCCAAATTGTTCATTTTAACACAAAAAGGGTAATTATTGTTTCTTAAAATTTTACATCATTGATTGACTCCCAATATCCACATGCATGTAGAGAGAAACCACATATGCATTAGTATTTTTGTTTATACTAGTATTTATGAAAATATCACCTTAATTAATTTTACTAGAATGGTTAAAGGTAGTAAGGTACACAACTATCGATCTGCTTCATTATATTCAAGCAAATCTTAATAACAATAGTATATATATAGGCACGCAGATATATCTATAGATATATACATATATGTATATGTATAAGACGAATGTACCAATGAAATCGACGATGGTTTTGCCGTTAGAGAAGCGACCGGTGGGTTGACCACCGTCAAAATCGATGCCATAAGGGAGATAGTTGGACCTAGCTAGCGAATTCAAGCGGTTATTGTTTCCATTGTCCACCAATGAGTCTCCGAACACAAACATAGCCGGAAACATTGCCGGCTCCGGCGAATCATCTCCGGATGCTATCACTACGACGGCGAGTACCACTACTACAACGAACCATGGAACAGGTATTAATGATTGTATTGTGAAAGACATCATCAAGTCTTTTTCAAATCTAAAATTTTTGTGTTCAAGGAAATGTAACACTCTCATGAGACTAGTGCATGCATGCTCGCTTGATATATATATATATATATATACATATATATATATATATAATATGATAATGAATTTGGTGGTATCAGTGAATTTAATGAGCACTGTTGTCTGTTGACTTTATTACAATAAAAAGAAAAGGCAGCCAAGACAAGCAGTATATAGTCGACACGTTGAGCTCGACGTCAGTCACATAATGAAAACCTTATTGGCTTTCTCTCATATCTCAACCTGGAGACGCCCTAGAAACTATATTGCTTTTATTTTCTCATTAATTTATAGTGTTTAAGTCTTAATAACATTCTCTTTGGTTATGGTTAATTAAACTGAAATATTCTAGATATGCTTCTCTCGATCGAAGCAGAAATACCTTCTCCAAACCAATTCGCAAATTTATGGGGTTTCCCTCTTTGAAGATCAACAACGTACCAGAAGATCTATTATCTAACATATATTTCAAATTGTTTATAATTCTAGGTATTTATTTTCTAAAATTGATAGAAATCCGGAAAGTATAGTACAACCTAGAGGCTAGAGTAATAGATAAGAAACATGAGTCAATGTAGAAAATATTCAGCACGAGAAAAAAATAATTTTACACACGGAAACGTAAAATTGACACGGACATGCGATTGGCTGATCTGATCTGAATTTATTGTCTTCATTCTTCCGATTTTAGGTTCTGTGGTCATATGCCTCAATCTTTTTGTTAATCGTGTTATTATTTAATTTATCACTTACTGGACCGACCGAGTCGGCATGGTTTGGCGGGTTAGGCCCATATGAGCTTGTTCTAATTTTACTTATTTGCTTTAGAGAAAATGGCCTTAAATAATGAAATTTAAAGATAGTGAACGACACGAGAGATTCAATTAATATGAGGGTAAAAATCACAATACACAAAACCTAAAAATTGCAGTGTAAGTGCACGGCCTGTGAGGAGAACGAGATTTGAACATTTGTCCCAAATCAAACCAGCAAGCAAGCAACGAATGAGAAAGGAAAAAAATAAAAAAGTTACTCAAAGAGGCGCAAGATAAACGGTGCAAAAGTCTAAGACCAGTCTGCCATATTTACTTTCCGGCAGATAAATTTCCATCAAGGGTTTGCTCTGAATCAGCTTCAATTGGTAAAAAATCTTTGCTCTGAATCAGCTTCAATTGGTAAAAAATCTGTCCTTTCCATTTGCGTGTTCATTTTAGGGCTCCATTGTAGTTCTGGTGATACAAATTCTCGGTTTTCTCTATAGGTTCATTGTGTAAGATTCCCAAGTATCAGGTGCAATCCGGAGCAAGTGAATTTTGAGGAGGTTAGTGAATTTTGGAGTGATGAGTGGTGTTCCGAAGAGATCTCACGAAGAGGGTGTTACTCATCCATCATCTTCATCAGCAAAATACCCTCACGAGGATTCAGGATCTTACCCTAAATCCACGCATGCGCCTGTAACTCCACCACCGGCTCAGATTCATCAGCAACACCACCACCATCAACAACCTCATCAGCATCTCCAGTCTCAATCTCAATCTCACCTTCTCACGCTTCCTCATTCCCATTCTCATCCACCACTTGCTGCTGCTTCTGCTTCTGCGTATGAGGTCGGATCGGTTAAGGGTCCGAGAAGTGAGCCTAGAGATGGAGAGAGACGCTCTCCGCTGCAACTCGTGTATCGGTCTCCATCGCTGCCAGCGACGGTTTCTTCTAGTGATCCCCATTTGGCACACACTCCTGTGCTCTTGGACCAGAGAGATGGTACTAAGGATGTCAGGGAAACTAGGGTTGAGAATAGAGAAAACAGGAGTGATGGGAGAGAGATTCAGGGTCCTAAGAGTGATAGGGATGCCAAGTTTGAGAGACTAGGCGATGATTTTAGTGGAAAAGGTAATACCGGAAGCTATGCTAGGAATGATGGGAGAGAGACATATGGTGAGGGGAAAAGGGAGATTCAAGTTCCTAAGAGTGATAGGGACGCTAAGCCTGAGCGTCTAGGCGATGATTTTAGTGGAAAGAGTAGTACTGGAAGCTATACTAGGGATACAAAGTTTGATAGGGAGAGTCAGATTTACAATGAAAAAAATGCTGAGATTAAGATGGAAAAGGACGGGCATGCTCACTCGGCTTGGAAAGACCAGAAGGATTACCATAGAGGGAAGAGAGCTGAAGGTTCGAGCGCAAATGTGGATCCGTGGGTTGCATCCCGTGGTAATTCTCAAGGCTCAACTGAGGCCGGAGTAAAAGATTTCTCGACGCCTGTGGAGGGAGCACATTTAGATGGGCGTGAGACCGTTGGAGAAAACAAGGTTGATCCGAAAAGCGAAGATAGATTTAAGGACAAAGACAAGAAAAGAAAAGACTTGAAGCATCGAGAATGGGGAGACCGAGACAAGGATAGGAATGACCGCAGAGGATCCCTGCTTGTTGGCAGTGTCGTGAGCGAACCCAAAGAGATTGGAAGAGAAGAAAGAGAAACCGATAGGTGGGAACGAGAGAGGATGGAGCAGAAAGATCGAGAGAGGAATAAGGAGAAAGAGAAAGATCATGTAAAGAGAGAGCCACGTACTGAGAAAGAGGTATTGCAGAACGAGAAAGAGTTGGGAGAAGGACCTACCAAACCTGCAGAACAGGAATATGTGGCACCAGAGCAGAAGAAGCTGAATGAACCGGAGGGTTGGGAAAAAGATGAAAGAGAATCAAAGGATAAAAGGAGAGAGAGGGATGGTGATTCCGAAACAGAAAGAGCTGAAAAGCGCAGCAGAATCAGTGAAAAAGAATCTGAAGATGGGTGTTTGGAGGGTGAAGGAGCTGCGGAGAGGGAAAAAGACGCCTTTAATTATGGAGTTCAGCAACGGAAGAGGATGCTGAGACCTAGAGGCAGTCCACAAACCACAAACCGCGACCGTGTCCGTTCACGGAGTCAGGAGAACGAAGGGTGAGTCTCTCTGTCTTACACATTAATCTTAGACTCCGTCTAAGTATTAGCCTCTCATATCTTAGCAAAATCATTAATATTTTTTACCATTTAGAAAGACATGCCAGGATTGGTTAAAATTTGAACCTACATTTAGTATAATCTGCGGGTGATAAGACATTTTACGGGCGATAATTGTTGAAATATCTTATTACAGTACCATTATTGTTTTTTTCACGCAAGAGATAAAAAAGCCTTTTAGGAAATTATGCACCCATAATTGTATTTTGTAGTGTCACTTTATCTCTTTAGACCCAAATTTGTAGTTCCTCTGGATATTCTTCCCTACCGCCTCCTTTTCTCTCTGTATTAAGATTATCTTCTCCTGTATTTCTTTTTATCATGTAAGTTAGTTATTGGCCAAGTCCTTAACTTTATTCAATCACTGCTTGCCTTTTAACATATCATCCATGTTTGATTGTGTTTATTTTGCAGGGTACAAGGTAATCACTCGTTTCGATATCCTCGAGAAAGGATAGAGTTGCACTGCTTGGAAAACAATAGTAAAAAAATCGGTTAAATTGCATTCGTTTTTACATGTGCATTGATAATGGTTATCTACGAAACACATCTACTTGATAACCAATTTATATCACCCTTCGTAGATTTGACTTTAGGTCGTAGTTCGTTACTCTCACAGTAGAATGTCAAATACAAAAAGATTGGACCAAAAAGTCGGTTTCATCCTCAATGCTACATCAGATTTGGGCTGCTTATTGCTTATATCTCCGTGTTTTTCAGGATTGGTCTAAGGTTTAGGTCAACTAAACATTATCAAGTGTTTGCTACTTTTAATCTTCTACAATTTTATACTTCTGCTGTTATGCGAAAGAAATTTGCAGTTTATAATTTAGTTAACAGCCTGTTGAATTTATTCTACTGAAGATTCAGGCAAGTCAGAGGTGTCGATTGTTGTTTACAAAGTTGGGGAATGTATGCAAGAACTGATAAAGTTGTGGAAGGAATATGAAGCTTCTCAGCCTGACAAAAGTGGCGATTTTGCAAGTAATGGCCCCACTCTTGAAGTTCGGATTCCAGCTGAGCATGTAACTGCTACTAATCGCCAAGTAAGACGAAGATACATCAAAAGCTTTTTCATAATCTCTATTATTGTTTTTCCTTGTGTGGTGTGGTTTCTGATATAGCTATGGTTCCAATCTGTATCTCTGTTTAAGCTCAATTGATATACAATGCCTCGGGTAACGCAGCTCTTTAGAGCATCCCTTATCTGTTGGCTCCTGAGACATTTGGCTTCTGTTTATGCAGGTAAGAGGTGGCCAGCTATGGGGAACAGATATATACACAGATGATTCCGATCTTGTTGCTGGTACGTATCGTAAAGATTCTTTGCAATTGATGCCTTGGTTCGGTCCTAACATCACACTGATTCTCGTCTATTTGTCTTCTAGTTCTCATGCATACAGGTTACTGTCGTCCCACAGCTTCACCTCCTCCACCGACTATGCAAGAGTTGCGCACAACCATCAGAGTCTTACCGTCACAAGATTGTAAGTTAGCTTTTCTCTATCTGCTTTTATTCCCCTTTTATAATTTAGTTTTCCATATTTATGTGCAAAACTTCATACTATATTGAGCTCCTCTCTGTGTTATATTAAGAGAGAACTTTTATCCAAACTTATTTAATCGATATATTTGTCAGACTATACCTCCAAGCTGAGGAACAATGTCCGCTCTCGAGCATGGGGAGCTGGAATCGGATGCAGTTACAGAGTTGAGCGGTGCTATATACTCAAGGTAATTTGACATCTGTTCGTTAATTGACCATTTTGTTTTCTTGACAATCTTTGCTCAGTATGTGCCTAATATCCAGTTTAGAAAGTAAATTAGTGTTCAATTACTTATGAAATTTCTGATGTTATGATTCCAGAAAGGAGGTGGTACTATTGAACTCGAACCCTCTCTTACACATTCCTCAACTGTTGAGCCAACACTTGCACCAATGGCGGTTGAGAGATCTATGACCACCAGAGCTGCAGCTTCGGTACTTGACTTCCAGTTTCGAAATTTCTGAATCTCATGTCACTTGGATTTTAGAATTTGATCAGAGTAATATTAACAGATGGCATATTGGCTCACATAGTGTGGCCATATTTGACTTTCAAGCACTGATGACTTGTTTATCGTTTTGTAGAATGCTCTGCGGCAACAAAGGTTTGTTCGAGAAGTAACAATACAATACAACCTCTGCAATGAACCTTGGTAACTCTCTGGAGATTTTCGCCAAATGTTTAAAGAAATGTTCACTGAGTTTCCTAATCTTTATCATCCAGAAGGAATCAGGTTTTACTCACGCAACGATTTACTCTTTTGCAGGATCAAATATAGCATAAGCATTGTCGCAGATAAGGGTCTCAAGAAGCCTCTTTTCACCTCTGCACGCTTGAAGAAAGGAGAAGTTTTGTACCTAGAAACACATTCGTGCAGGTATTCGAAAATCATATAAAAAACACCTGTTCTTTTTTTTTTTTAACCGAGATTAGCGAGATCGTAGAAGCTGAGTCTAATCTTTGTATGCAAATAGGTATGAGCTCTGTTTTGCGGGTGAGAAGACTATCAAAGCAATCCAAGCCTCACAACAACACTCATCCCAAGAAGCTATGGAGATCGACAACAATAACAAGTCACAGAACCATCTTCCTCATCTAACAAACGGTGACAAAACAGATTCAGACAACAGTTTAATCGATGTATTCCGTTGGTCGCGCTGTAAGAAACCTCTCCCGCAGAAGCTTATGCGGTCTATCGGGTTTCCACTCCCACCAGATCATATCGAGGTTACCATTTTTTTTCCGATTCTACTCTTGTTTGGACCTAAAATCTATTGGATTTTGATTAGTAAACAATTGATGAATGTTTATGGGTTTTTTGGAATTGAGAACAGGTGTTGGCGGAGAATCTTGATTGGGAAGATGTACAGTGGTCTCAGACTGGTGTTTGGATTGCTGGAAAAGAGTACACACTTGCTCGTGTCCATTTCTTGTCTCCCAACTAGAAACAATTCATCGTTTACTCTTTTTTTCCCCTCTTACTTATGAAAACGTTAATTTGTCTCTCTTTATTTTATTTTTATTTATTACTAAAGAGATACAGTTTCTTTGGCTTGTCTTGTCTTGTGTTCTTCTTTTTCTTGTTTTTCTTCTGTAAAATATATTTAATGTATTCAAGTTAAATGGTTTGATTGTTGATTTAGTATGATAAGAGCAATATAGTCGTTCAAAAAAAAAGTATGATAAGAGCAATATAGATAATCCCCCTTGTTCTTTTTCTTCTTCTTGGTTTCCATTTTATCTAATTAATTGTTCTTTTTAATTACGGTCTTCATAAAAAAAACAATTAAAGGTAAAAAATTTGGAGTCAGAAAATTTCTGATAAAAGTATGATTCTGACTCCTGATTAAATTGACGCAAACAAAAAAAAAAATGCTGAAAGACTGAGTGACGATTAAATTCTTCTCTCTCTCACAAATTCTTCTAAGCAAGCAAGTTAGCTTCTTCGATCTTCCTCGTCTTGTTTTCGTTTCTGAATGTAAGTTTTTCTCTTATTTTTTTTCGAAAGTTTGTGTTTTTTCACAAAATTGATCGGAATCAAGTTAAACACTTGTTGCTCCCATCTTTTTTTTAGATTAGGAATCGAATCGTTGCATTTGGGTAGGAGCCCTAATTTCAAGGCCATGACTCATGAGCAATAATCGCTCAGTTTTCTCAGAACGGAGACTTTCTTGTTCAAAATTAGATTCTGAGCTAGGTCTTGTACTGAGCTTAGAGGTTCGCTCATTCTCTGATTCTCTTGCGTTGCGTTTGGGTTGAACAAGCTGTTTTTTTTGTGTGGTGTGTGTATGTGTTTTCCTATTGAAGAATGTCTGCTGATCTTGGTGATGATGAACCTTCCTCTGCTTCTGGAGATGAAGTAAACGTCATTGATGGACACAACAAGCGCATGCCTCCAACACCTTCTGCTTCTGGACCAGCCCGCAAGAGAGGTCGCAAGGCTTGTGGTGATGCCATAGTTGAAGCCATGCTAGAAATCGCAGCAGCTTCCAAAATGAGAGCAGCAGCTTTGACTAAGAACGGTGACAGATTCTCTATCAGCAAATGCATCAAAGCTCTGGACGACTTACAAGGTGTTGATCAACCTACCTATTTTCTTGCGCTGGATTTGTTTGAGAACCCGAGTTCCCGGGAAATTTTCATCTCTTTGAAATATGAGAAACGATTGAAGTGGCTACAGGGAAAATGTAGAGCTAAAGAATAGCTAGTTTTTTTTCTGTTTCTGTTTCTCTTCTGTATGTTATATAGTTCATAAAAATTTGATCTTTTTGAAATGGTATCGTTGATTTAGCGAGATGCGTCAGTTACTCATGTATGATCACTGTTAGAAACTTTGATCATAGTGACATTGTGGAATTACTTTGTCATCTTTGGCTATACTTTCAGATTCGTCCACTAGTAGCATCGATTTTGACATAGAATTGGATGAGATGGAATTAGTTGCTGCAGCTGCTGGTTACTTGTACTACCACAGTCGAGTAAATCAACCTCAGAGTAATTCGTCTCCTACAATCTGTACATACTTGAAAGACTTGCTAGAAGGAACCGCTGAGAATTGCAGGGAAGTGCTTCGGATGGATAAACATCTGTTTCATAAACTATCTGAAACTCTTCGGTCGAAAGGCCTGCTGCGAGATACTCCCACTGTTTTGATAGAAGACCAGGTTGCTATATTCTTAAGCATCATTGGTCATAATCAGCGAATCAGAGTAATACAAGAGAGGTTTCAGCTTTCTTGTGAAACCATTAGCCGCCATTTTAACAATGTGCTAAAGGCAATTAAGTCGTTGTCACGCGGGTTTTTCGAGCCACCACCTGTGGAAACGCCTATAGAGATAGTCAAGAGCAAAAGGCTTTATCCATATTTCAAGGTAATGAAAGAATATATCATCATCAAAAACTCTAGGTTTAAGTATGTGATGCAATAATGTTCTTCATCTTGCTTTGTTTATATACCCTCTCCCTCAGGATTGTATCGGAGTTATAGATGGCTTGCAAATTCTTGCTAACCTTCCTGTAAAAGACCAGTCACGGTTTCAGAACAAGAAAGGCATACTTACTCAGAATGTGCTTGCAGCTTGCACTTTTGATTTGCAGTTTGTATTTGTATACCCGGGATGGGAAGGCTCTGTTGAAGATTCACGCATCTTAAGAGCTGTTCTAGATGATCCAAGCCAGAATTTCCCACAACCTCCCAAAGGTTTTAACTTTCTTCTACATACAGAATATCCCTTGAGATTTTGTACAAGTTCCATTTCAGTAGAATGACATACCCTTTTTCCCAGGAAAATACTATCTTGTCGACAGTGACTACACAAACACAGAAGGATTCATCGCTCCGTACCCTGGAACTAGGTACCGTCTCCACGAGTTTCGTGGCGCAAGCCAAATGCCACAGAACGCGCATGATCTTTTCAATCATCGGCACATGTGTCTAAGTAACATCATCCAAAGATCATTCAGCATTCTGAAAACTCGGTTTCCTATCTTGAAATCCGCGCCTCCTTACACGTTTCATGTCCAGAGGGATCTGGTGATTGTGACTTGTGCTCTGCATAACTTCATTAAAAGGGAAAACGGGATTCATGACTGGCTCTTTGCTGCCGATGGTGAAGATGCTGCTCCAGTGGAGGAACCGCATGGACAAGAAGATGAAGAAATAGAGTTGCTGCACTTGGATTCTACGCCTATGGAGCTTGTTGCTGATTCTCTACGAGACTCCATTGCATTTAGTATGTGGGATGACTTCATGAACAAGTGGGAAGAATGGTAATCAGTTACCTAAGTGGAATCATTGTGTTACTTAGTTAGATCAATTTATTGGAGGGCATTTTGGTAGTTACATGAATGTTCTAATGAGTTTTTGTTGTGGTCGCTATAGTTGAGTTGGAACATAAATTCTCTATGGATGTAATAAGATATGTTCCCCTAATGAAACCAAATTTTAGTTTTGTTTAAAATAATTTAACTTCTTTCCTAGAAAGTTAAACGATGTACTAAAGATGTAATTGTTTTTAAAACGACATTTATAATGCAATAGAGTAAAATGGATCTCAATAGACTTTATTTTGATAAGTAAAAAGATTGGTTTTTCTCTACATGAATGGATTTTCCACAATGTTTTATAACAAAAAAAGAACAGAGGGCCATTATTATTTTTTGCTCTTTTTTTCCTATACTGAAATTGATTGAATACATATATTTTAATCAGCTACAGCAGACTTACATGATAACTCTCAATCGTTCAAAGACTATCTCTAAAATTGTGGAGCTGGAAAGGCCAGGGGAAAAAAGAAGAGCCAACAAAATTATTTACCAAAAACTTATTTGTTAAACAAAAACCCTTTTTTCTTGCCCTTCTTTCTCTGCACAGCCTGCAACGAAATTAGCAAAACAAATCCATCAATCAATACTTCTCAAAAAGCTAATCTTTGTATGATTAGTTGCCCTAATGATATACTTCGTTAGAAAAGAAACGAATCAGCGAATATATAATCAAAGAAGATAACTGATTTAACTCCCACAAACGTTACCTTCTTAATAAATAATCTGAGGGTGAGCACAATTGTATCTCTTGAGCTGCCAAATTCAACACAAAAACAGAAGATTTGCTGCTTAATACAAGAAAACGAAAACTTCAATGAAGACTTGGAACACATTAAACAACTCCATCTAGAAAGTAAACACAAGCAAAATATGCAATTTCTTCAGACTCAGTTTAGACTCATTGATGATTCTTACTGAATTTAGAGAAAAAGGGTCTCGATTCACTTTCATACATTTTCATCGTTTTCATAGACAAATTTCTGCATTCACACGACGTAGGAGTTTTGATCTACTCTACATCATACTGTCATACAAAGAAAGATAAGTCCTACTTACCAGCTAAGATCTGGTGCATCGTTATCCACCCGAAAGAGATGCTCCACGCCATCAGGACCAATAATCACGAAATCCGCAGGCTGATCAAAGGGAATCATAACCTAAAACAAAAATAGAAAGATAATAGTATTAGTCCATTTTTCAAAGCTAGTTACCTTCAGTATGTTTATATAATGCAGCCCGCATTGAATTTATAAGAAAAAGGAACAAATAAGGCAAGACTCTTACAGCGGTGGAAGAGGAGAACTTTTCTGTAATTACAGGATCATTACTAGGTTTGATGCTGTAGCCTTCTTTCTTAATAGACAAAGTAGCTGCTTCCCATATATCCATATAACCAATCTGTTTTAGAAGAGAGATCACATAGTAAAAAAAATCACACCCCCAAGTGAGAGAAGAACGTAGAGGTATGTGAGGGAGCATTTTAAGAAAGTCGAAGTGCACATTTAAGTATTGTAGACGATGAGAATTGTCATACCGAATAGGAGACCTTGAATAAAGCATGACTGTTATAAAGGCTCTTCTCTATATGGCTCTGCATCTCTGGGTCTGTGTAAATAAAAGAGGAATACAATTACCAGATAACTCCAGAATAATGGTGCAATAATCCCGACAGTATCTAAGAACAATAACTGCAACGTAAGATTAACGAGAAATTGTCTTATAATTTTACAGTAAAGCTTATGTCAAAAGGAGCTAGGATTGAGTTATCCAACAAACTGAAAAACAGCCAGAAGAAACCAATACTGAATCATAAACTGACAAGTTATGTAATTTCGATTTCTTTAACTCTTCCGGCTAAAAACAAAAACAGGTCTCTCAGTAGTGCTTCTGGATAATGGATCGAACAAGAAATGGATTTAGTTTTGTTAAGATCACGAGCGACCAATTCTTTTATAAGTTGAAGCATAAACTTACGACAAGTAATCTTGCAATTCTCATTGGCAAAGACCCTCACAAGCTCCCCCTAGAATCACAAAAAGAAAAAGATGAATAATACTAATCACATGTAAAACTGAAAACCAGTCGGGTAACCAAATGGTTCTCACATTTAGCAGAATTATAAAATTCACAAAAATATTTAAACTAATGGATGATCAAACTTCTACAAAACACCTGAGTCCAAATCCATGTTTTCCACAGAAAAGCGAATTGAAAGCTTCTCAAAGTAAATCCTCATTCAGCAGAAAAGATTTAAGAAATTAAACCTTGCGGTTCTTGTCGTCCAAGGGGTGAACTTCAATAGCAAGGTATAAATCAACATCATCGGCAGTGACAAGATAATTTGGCTTCTTTGCTCCTACGTTTGGATATTGTCAACAATTGAGCTCTTATCGCCATATATAATTATAAGGGGACAAAAAAAAAAACGAAAGATAGTCTTTGAGTATAAATCAAAACGGTAGTAGGGGGAAAATGTGTACCCTCAATGTAATTCACTGATCCGTCTTCCAGATGCCGCACCCACTGAAATTTTCAAGAAGGGAAGATATATATCAAACATGAAAATGTGAAATATGACATAAACCGAGTAAATAATACAGCCTTCAATTTAGCATGCACCTCAAAATTACATTTTGTCGTTCCATTGATGGAGTGACCAGAAGCCTGAAGCTCCCGTCCAGGAAAAGGTTCTCCAGATATCTGTAGGTCTGCTATAGCTGGCAACGGATCATCATCTGCAGCTGCAAGGAGTAATTCAAAATCTTTTAAGATAAAGTGAAAGACTGATGAAATTGGAAATATGCCACTAATATTAGAAACCATTACCCTCGGAAAATGAAGAAGATGGTTCTTCAAGAACTGGGGCCAAAATGGGGTAATTTGAGGGGCTTGGATCATCAAACCCAGATACATAATTCGCATTTTCCAACGTTTTATTTGTATCTGCTTGTACTTCTGCATATGCATCATCCATAAAAGTATTGCTGAGAGGCTCACGAAACTGAACACGGTTATTTGGTCCATGAGATTCACCTTGATTAAGAGCTGGTTGCACTGGCGTCTGAAAGGCTCGTGACCTGCTGGAACAAAAGACACATTTGAACATCTAATAATTTCAACACTACAACCAAAAGCACTCATTCTTCATTAACTGCATTGCATAAAGCTCAGGTGAGGACTGAGAAAATATTACTATGCTACAAAGTGAACTATTTAATGGCCATATAGATCAGTAACACGAGGAATGTCCGAGAGTAGCTATGAGTCAATAAATGTATAATTGACAGGAAAGCTTAACAATATGAAAATGCCTGGTATCTGCATACAGCTTAGGCCAGCCCATTACCCAAAAATCACACTATTCTTTGTTTTCTGCATTATACTTATATATATATATATATATTCCTTCTTTTCGCCATTCATTATTAGCAGTAAAGTTAGTGCATTAATACCTCTCAGGACCATCAAGATGGTAATTACTCACAGCTGAGGCACCACGCCCATCTTGATGTTGGTGTTCTGGATCTGTCTAATAGAAATAAAAGAAGGAATAATGGATTCAAGTCACTTAAGCACATTGATATTACACAAAGGATTATGAACTTACTGAGTATCTCGAACCCACACCAACAGGGTGATATGGTGACAGAGGCGACGCATTTGAGTGGTTTACATCTGACTGCCAAGGTGCTAATTGGTACTCTGTCTCCTTTAGCTTTGTCTAGTAACAGACAAGGAAAGGATCAGAACGAATCACTTTATAACAAATTAGTAGGCAATATCTCCAGCATCAATAGTAGGAGCAACAGTAATTATAAATTAAATAAACGCTGAAATTTGATGCTAGCAAACCCCATACCCGCATATCATACCTCAGTTAGATGGAGCTTCTCCTGCAGATGCCTAAACAAAACCTGAATACGAATGAAACATAGATGTAAACATCAATCACAAGTTTTGTCGGGAAATAGATACAATAAAAAGTTCACTCCAATAACAAGGAACCAAGGAGTGGCTTCAGTTCTCTGTCGAATGTGCTCAATAGTTACTCCGGAGACTTTTTTACATCACTTTTTAGTATTATATTTTAGCTTTATGAATTTCAAGCGCGGTGAAGCTGAAACTTTTCCAGCCAAAATAAAGAGCAACCACCAAAACTACTATCTAACAGTATATAGTTTTCTAAGATAGACGATCTAAAGTACAAACAAAACTATTAATAAAAGATAACAACTTGAGATTTTGGATCTAACCTTCACATTGCTAACAATAGACTGAGAATCAGAGAGCTGTGGATGCAGCGAATATTCCGATAGAAGAGGCAACAAGTACGATACAAATGTCGATCTCTCCTGCTCTGCAGCCTGGTAGAGAGAAAAGGACTTTTTCATTAGATGTATAAATAAAACTGAGGTGCCAAAGACACATCCGATTTTGACAATTAAACCATAAAAATGATTGGTAAAAACTGATGGAAACTGAGGATAACTAATGGATTAGAATACCATGGTTCTAGAGTCAAAAATAACAACCAGATAAAAGTAGAAACGATGATCAACAATACATATGCTAAAAAACAGACAATTATTGTCGCATATCCAAAGATACAAGATGATAATACCTGTAAGGCATATGTTAGGCGTATATTTTCCTCAATGATCTCTTGTCTGTATGAGAGAGCCTTTGATGCAGCATCAACAAGGTCTTGCTGTTGTTGATCAAATGCCTGTCGCAAGAAGAAGGATAAATGAGCCTCTATATGGTTACGAGAACAAGAAAACAAAAGTTGATACAAGAAAGGTAGACAGATGTCCAAATAAATAGAAAAAAAAAGCTCACCAAACGCATGTGCGCGATACGCTTCTCCAAAACATATTTTTCATTGCGTATTTGGGCTTCCTAAAAACAGGTCAAAAGGTTAGTCAGACAATGTAGTGTAAAGTCAACCAAACATACATAAAAAGCTAGAGATTCACCTTGACAGAATAATCAGCAAGATATTTTCGTAACCGCACAATCTCTTGTTCCTGTTCTTGGACCTTGTGAATGAGCTCCTGATACATACATAATCAGGGAAACATTTTCTCACTTTCACTAGAGACGGAAAACAAGACTTTGTAAGAGTGACTGAAACCTGCTTCCATGCATTCCCCGTATTATTTACATCACCTACGGGCATCAACTCATGAGTAGACGAGTTGATTTGTGAGTCACGATCTCCTTCCAATAGTGGTCTAAACAAAGGAAAATCAGATAATGAATGACGAGAATACACTGTGGTGATGCAACTATGGCTAAACGATGAGATTAACATAAAACTGCAGCAACAGGCAAGTATTAGTTAGAGGTCAAGTACCTCATAGGAGAGAGCGATATTGTAGATGGCGAAGAAGACACATGAGAGGCTTCCCCACCACCTACACCTCCTCTTACATTTCCGTTAGTCATGATTCCATCAGAATGGTCTTCAGAACGATTACTCACAGTAGGTGCCTCTCCATTTGGATGCCTATGCTGGTGAACAACTAGCATACCTGATGAATCAGCACCCGAAGCATTGATCATGCCCTTCTTCCGATCAACTGGACTAACACCAGCGGCCGACTGGTGAATCGGGGAAGACCCGCTAGTAGTAGCATTCGAGTGATCTCCTAGATCAGATGTTTGAGGCAAGGATTCACCTGATTTCTAAGAAAGGTAGAGAACAAAGGCAAACTAGTATGTAAACCACAGATTTACGTAGGGAAGATCCTTGAGAATCACTAAGGACCAGAAGCAATGAATTTTTTATCCTTTTACCAGAAAATGCAAAAACAATAGCTACTTACATATTTGGCAAGCTCCAGATATCTTCTCTGAAGTTCAGACTTTAAGAGGTTATTCTCCTCCACCTGGTCAGAGAAATATATAAAACAATAAGAGACGCTCAAGATGACCAAGAAAATCCATTCTGGTGGACGCAAATCACACTGTGTCCAAATCATTCCTCAGTGTAATTAAAACTGATTTAGATCAAACCACCCATTGTGCAGCAATAAATGTAAACCCCGATATATTCATTTCCATTCCCTAGCATTGGTTAGAGGAACTCGACCTGCATCTTTTGCAGCCTTATCTAAACTTACACAAAACCTTAGACGAGAACTAAAAGTGATGAAATGAAGTGACTGAGAAAGTAGTAAAAGTTCTCTCATTTCAAAACAATTTCAGAAATACAGAGAGGGAGAAGCTAAATATGAAGACAGACCTGCTGCTTGATTGTGGCTTCTGCGGCTTCAACAGCTTTAATGACCTGAAACAAGCTATCGTTTTTAAGATCGTTTTCATGGGATTCTCTCAGTTCCAGTCCTGAAAACCTCTCGGCAAGTCTTTCCCCATGGCCGTTGTCCATTTTTCAATCCCCGAAGCTCACGAAATCCGAAAATGGAACCCTCGAGAAACTGAACAGAAAACGGCTCTAATTTCCGCCTACTCTCAAAATCTCATCTAGGTTTTCTGGTAACCAATCACCATTTAGGTATTACCCGAAGAGACACCTTCGAGATTTCAACAGTACTGAGAAGAAGAAACAAATTCGAAAAAGAAAAGAAATTGAAAACGAGCTTGGAGATTAAGAAAGAATGGTATGATATTATGATTGGGAACGAATGATGAGGATGAGTTTCGAATCATACGAGAAAATATAAACAGCGATAATAGAAGCTCTTTCCTTCTTCTTCTTCGAGCAAACTCTCTCAGTTTTTCTTCTGGAGTTGTGACCTCAGAAATGGGTTTCTCGTTTTTTTTTTTTTTGTTCGTTCCAATTCTAATTATTAAAGTTGTTTTTTTTTTCTCTTTGACAGTGTTTATTAGAGATATAATATTCAGCACTCATTGTCTTAAATAACTTAATATGATTGCTACACCATTTAGTTTGTTATTAGTATTTCTGCAATCACACAGTAACTAACCACAGTTCGGATTCTTCTCTCGTAATATTATAAAAATATACAGTACAATACAATAATATCTCTTTCTAATTTTCTTTTGTATACATGTGTACCTTTGTTACAAAAACAAATATTACACACAAGCTTATTTGAAAAGGAAACAACTAACTTTTAACAAAAAGGGGAACAACCAGGTACCTTCGCTGTATTAATTATTAGGCAAAATTCAGATATATAAATATTAGATTTTGCTTTTTATTTGAAAATAAACACGATCATTTTACATGTAAAATAGAGAAAACAAATACTTCTGTAAATCCAAGCAAAAAGGAAAACAATAAAATCATATGTTACACATCTCACAAGCATTGGTTTAATTTCATAAACAATATCTCCTTCTCTGTTCCATGATTTTGCCAACAAGATTTATTATAATATATACACAAGATTCTGCAGAAGCAGTGACCAGTGAGTGATAAAATAAATAAATAAAAACTGTTCATCTCAAGGAGTCTTAGCTTAATTAAGATCGTATTACTGCTAAACCGAATAGCTTTACACCTTTTTCTTTATTTGTTGTTTACTTAAATTAAATCATATCTCTTTTAGCGACAAAAAAAATCTCTTTTATATAAAAAGCCCACTGAATATAAAGCCCAAATTCATTGGACAACAAAAGTGTTTGTTTTTTCCCACCCTTCTTCTTCTTCTTCTTCAACCTTACGCCGCTATTCAAATTCAAGGTTTTTCCGAGGTTTTTGTCGATCTCAAACCTCTGATTCCATGGAAGAAGTTGAGAAAGTAGAGGAATTCGAAGAGCAGAGAGGTGTCAGAGAAGAAGAAAAAGTAGTAGAAGAAGAAGAGCCACATAAGAGTTTCGAGGAGCTCGGGCTTGATTCTCGTCTCATTCGTGCCCTAAGTAAAAAGGGTATAGAGAAACCCACTCTTATTCAGCAAACAGCCATTCCTTATATTCTGGTAATGATAAAAATCTCTACTTTCCTGTTAAAAAAGGTCGTGGCTTTCTAGAGTCTCTTTTTATGTCGTTGCTCATTGAATTGGAGTTGATTTTTACTGTATGTGTTCTTATAGAAAGGAAAAGATGTAGTTGCTAGGGCTAAGACGGGCTCAGGTAAGACCTTAGCATACCTTCTGCCATTGCTCCATTACCTATTTTCAGTTTCTGGGAGCAAGAAGAAGCTTGCTCCTTCTGCATTTGTTCTCGTTCCCTCTCGAGAATTATGCCAGCAGGTATGCTCTCGACGATTGTTTTCGTATTTTGCATAGATTTCGATAATCCATTGGGAAGTTTTTGATTTTGTTTGGATTGGAAAATAAAGGTCTACACAGAGGTTGCTTCGCTTATCGAGTTGTGTCGTGTTCAGCTGAAAGCAGTGCAGTTGACTAGTAGCATGCCTGCATCTGATATGGTTAGTGTTACATTTTTCACCATGACAAATAAATCTTCATATCGTAGTAACAACCGATTTTTGTTATCTTTGCTTAAAAAAAAATGTTTTCTTTGAATTTTTTTCCCAATTGCAGCGTAACGCATTGGCCGGACTGCCGGAGATTCTTGTCACCACACCTGCTTGTATTCCAAAATGTTTTGCCGAAGGAGTTTTAGATCCCGCAGCTATCAGTGACTCTCTTGAAATTTTGGTTCTTGATGAGGTTTGATAGATGTTTTCCTTTGAATTTTTGAGCTTCAATTATTTACAGTGGTGATGAGAGTTAGAGGCTATTTCAACGTTTCGAGAGTTCAATTATTTTGTTAAGAGATAGATCGTGTGTTCTTTTTATTCCTCTCATTGAAGAGATGTTGATATATCTTTTTTATCAGGCAGATCTTTTGTTGTCATATGGATATGAAGATAATCTAAGGTCGATAACTTCAATAGTCCCAACACGTTGCCGGCGCCTTCTTATGTCTGCTACCACGAGGTAACACATCTTTCTGGCTAATAATAATTCTTGTTAAGTTAAGCTCACATTTTCCTCTGAGCTTGTCTTAAATGGTTGAATCGTTTTTTTTGGAAAATGTCAGTTCTGATGTTGAAAATTTGAAGAAATTTTTGAGTCTGCACAACCCGGTCGTTTTGACCTTGCAAGAAGGTGCTGACAAGGAAGAGCCCGTCCCAAGCAATGTTCAGCAGTTTTGGGTATGGTTTGGTCGCTTAGATTTGTGTAAATCAATTTTGCGGATGATGTTTGGTTTTTAAGGTCACAGATGTGGGTCTGATTGATAATGGTGATTCGTGTGGTTTCTTGTCTTAGATTTCTTGCAGTGCTCAGGATAAACTGCTCCACATTCTTGCTCTCCTGAAGCTAGAGGTGGTTCAAAAGAAAATTCTGATATTCATCAATACGATTGACATGGGTTTCAAGCTGAAACTATTCGTGGAAAAGGTCAGTTTTGGTCACCTGTATGAGCATTCCGATTTATAATACTGTACTCATTTCTTCATCTCTGTGTGTGATTTGATGGAATCTACGGTACCATCCTGTAGTAATAATAATACTGAATTAATTTTGGTTTTTGTTTCTGCCAGTTTGGAATAAAGTCTGCTATTTTAAACGGGGAATTACCTCAGAATTCTCGGCTTCATATCCTTGAGGTACATCAACAAGTCACACACTTGTATACAATTTCTCTGGAAGTAGCTGCATTTCATATTTAAATCAATGTATGTTTGTACAGCAATTCAATGCAGGTCTTTTTGATTATTTAATTGCGACGGATGATAATAACCAAACCAAAGAAAAGGAAGAGGCTAAAGGTGAAGACAACAAGGAGAATAAAAAGAACAAAAGGCGCGGCAAGCCAAAGCTGGACGCTGAGTTTGGTGTAGTTAGGGGAATTGATTTCAAAAAAGTTCACACGGTAGGCTACTTGACTTTCCCCACAAGGATTTTCTCTTCTTTTCTTGCAATCATCTGGTGTTTTTGGTTCTTAATAGCGTTTCCTTTTTTTCCAGTGTTTTAGATTCTTCTTAACATTTCCTTGCAACTCTTTTTATGCACAGGTCATAAACTATGATATGCCTCTCGAGAATCTCGAGCTCAGGATTTAAGAAATGAGATAATCAACTCCGAAAAGTAAAGCAAGAATTTCAGATAACTGTTGTGTTGTTTAAGTCTCTGATTTTTTTCTCTTTTCGTCTTCTTCTTAACATCTCTCTATTTCTTTTACAGATTAAAGTCTCATTTCGAAGCTAATCCAAGAGACTTAGATCTACTGAAACGATGATAAGCTTCTGAGTAAGACTGCGCCTGCACCACATCTAAGGGACATCCCCGAGTATTTATTGGACCCAAAGACTCAAGAAGCAAGCAAGATGGTGAAGCTAGCCAGAGCCGCGATGGGCAATAACAGTAGGAGATCCGGTGCTCGCAACAACACAAACAAGAAACGATCAAGAAAATTCGGAGACCCACTCAAAACCTTCAACGTCAATGTAAAAACATAAGCTGACTCTCTCTCTCTCTCTCTCTCTCTTTTTCTATGCTTTTGTGTATCCGAGCTAACTTTTTTCTCTGCTGTTTGATTTCTTCAATCAACCAGGGATCTAATAAGAGAGGACATGGTGGCGGCATTGGCCAGAAGAAGGATGGTAAAGGATCTAACGACGGCTCCACCAAACACAAGAAACAGAAGACAGTCTAGAGTCTATGTTTTATTTGCTGATTGTGTAACCAAATTTTGACTAAGTTATGATCACACAAAAGAAAGGAGTCTTAACTTAAGATAGTATTACTGCTAAACCTAATAGCTTATTAGCTTCACACCTTGTTTACTTAAATGAAGGAGTAAAACCTACTGCAATTTAAAGACAAATACAGACAATAAAAGATGATTTTGAAACCACTTTTTCACTGGATCTACTTATCTCGTCTTCCACTACTGCATTGGCTAAACTCGACTAAGAACATCGGTTAGTAAAACTGCAGATTCCAGGCTCTGTCCTACCATCCAAACCTTGAAGTTTTTGGAGAAGTACTCTGCGTCGTTCCAAGCTTTGAGTAGCGCTAGAGAGAAAGGTCCCTGTATATGACCCTGAGGATCTTTGTATAACCAGTTTAACTTCTCTTTATCATAAGACAGAACCTGAACATCTTCAACTCTAGGGTCTACAGTCTCTCCATCATTGTTGTCCTCTTCATCATCATCGCTCAGTTCTATTATCTCTGATGGGTTTGGTCGAGCTTGAGTTCCGTTGTTATGATTACTTACAGTTACACTTGTCTGAAGCTGAGGAACATTAGACTCTTTAGTCGGCATCTCTTCTCCAATGGTGCCATTTTCCGGTTGCTCTACATCTCCATGGAGATATTCATCACCTGTAATTGAGAAGAATCCAGATTGGGATCAATGCCAAAACATCGCATTCTCTTTAACGGATGCTATAAAATACAGCAAACCATTAGCAGAACAACCAGTTGATGCAAATCAATCTCGAATCTGTAAAAGATCCCTACGTCAGTTTCTCTATCAAAACCAGCATAGCCACAAAGGAGCATAATTTGCTCGCTTTTTTTTTTTCAGATTCTGCCAAAGCAAGAAAAAAAAAATAAAGGAAAGAGAACAGTAGCGTAGAAGATGGCAACAATGAACCATGATGGTAAGATGCAACGCAGTGAAACAAGTAACCCTATATATAGTATGTTATGACGCACCTGCAGAAGCAGTCCATGTTGGCAATCTCCCGTTTAAGTCCATATCATAAGACGCAATTCCCGGAGTTGTGCTGGGGTTAGATATCAGAAAACCACTAAACTGTTGATCTTCTCCACCAAAGAGGTTTCGGACTTCTGGAGTTTCTTGGATGCTCGAGATTGGAGATTCACTCAATTGTTGTTCACTGTCAGCCTCGGGGGACGCTTCAGGGTCTGGTACAAGTTCCTCTCCAATAACTTCCGGAACTTGGTACAATAGCCGGGACTGTTCTTCTGGATTTTCAAGAAGCTCCCTTTTTTCCAGATACTCAGACAGCGTAACAACTCATGAAATCAAGAATAACAATTAACAAAGACGTTTTTTTGTTCCAAATCTCACTATCACTTTCTCCGAATGCTATGTATTCATTTAAAAGTAATATATATATATTCATAAAAAAGGATATTCTCTTCGCCATCCCTTCTCATTGGCCCGACGAATAAGCCTCTCTAACAATACAAGTTCTCTTCCGAGCCACTAAAAAGTTCAGTCACCAAAAGTTGACAGTCAGTCAAGAGATACAGGATCACGAGTCGCTTTTTCAGCTTAAAACACAGTTAAAAGTTGATCATCTTAATGTGACCATGGTAGTCATGCTCAAAAGCGAGATAAATAAGAGATACAGAAATGAAGCAAGAGATGAAGTTAGCAAGCATACGTGTTTTGTCAGATCTTCATGTAAACTTCGAGCCTTTTCTTCCATCTCCACCTAGCCAAAGGTTCAAATGAATCTTGATCAAACAGCTACAAAAACACAATCTAAAACGCTATAGACAGAAATGTGAGCAAGTTGTTGGGACAGATGTCAGATAAGTGCAAATCTTTAATAGAGCGTTGCAAATAATGCCTAAATAGGTATCTTCTCCTTCTTAACAGAAAAATAAACTTACAATTGTGGGCCTCTTAAGAGAACCGTTCTTTATTCTCTGATGCAAATCTTCACATTCCTCCTGCAATTTGTTTTACACAAAAGCTATGATATATAAATCATAGACTATAAAGGCTAGAATGGACGTTGGTCAAAAAAATTAATAATGAAAGATAGTACATCTAGATAACTAGAGAAAAGAAACCCAATAGCCGGATGAAAATTTGAGGAATGAACATTATTTCTAAGTAAATTACCTGGGAGAAATTATCATCAGATAGCACAGAGATAGAAACGTCTGTTATATAATTTGTAACCTGAAGAAGAAAATCGTCAGTCCCGGGTTCCTTCTTCACGCCTAGATAACAGACAACAACAAAAGTACAAAAAGAGCTCAACTTTCGACAACAGAACAGAGGTTCTTAAGCAAACAGGCATAATCGTAGAGGTGTGATTATCTTGTCCATAGAAATCACGGACGACGCCGACACAATCACAACATCAATATAGACTTGCAGAAAATTACCTGTCACCTGAACAAGCTGATAAGGGTTCTTCTGAAGATAATCATTGGGGTCAGACTTGATCCTCACAAAACTTGCCAGCATTTTACTCTCAAAGGTATCAGGAGACTTCACCAGTTCCTGGACTAAACTCTTTCTCAAGTAGAGAAGCTTGATATTATCAGTCACAATTGCAGCAAAAGTGCCATTAGGTTTCTGAACAACCTTTCTTGTCCGGTTAGCTATCTTGTCAGAGGGAGAAATGATCTGCGGTTCATCCTCGAAGAGGAAATCAAATTCTGAATCATCCTGGTTCTCTTGATAATGCTTTTCCAGCAGGTCATAGACTTTGATTCTCAATATCGTCTTAGTCCCAAAAAGCGAGATCAACTTATGGTCGCATGCAACTCTCTTCTTATTTGATGGATCTAAGAGGCCATTCTCTGAGATATACCTTGCAATAGTATCACTAACCTCAAATCTGGAGATCTTGTGTGTTGTATCTTTACCAAGGGATTGGAGAAACTCAATGAGTTGTCTCGAGCCCCATCCTACAAATTGGAATCGTTTGGGTCTCGCTTTCCTTTTCCTCGAACCAGTCGAATAGACATTACCCTCCTCAACCCAGGTTATATCCCCCATTACACCCGCTTCAACCCCAAAAAAAAAGGTTCTCTCTTTAAGCCTCTAAAAATACAATATAACCTATTCGACTAGAACCAGTGCCGAATCAAGCTCAAGAAAACTCTAAACCCTACAACGGAAGGCGAAGCACATATTATTCCTGATTCTCACTTCCAGAAGGCAAACAAAACTCGTCGCGTCGAAGAAATTTCCATTTGAGTATTTGACAAGTGTAAGAAATCCCAAATGGAAAGAGATAGAGAGTAAAAACTGCAACTTTGACTAATCTACGATGTGGAAGGAACCCACCGACGAATCGCCTAAATTACTCGCTTGAGAAGAAAATGAGGGAAAGCACAAAAACCCGGCGGAGAAAAAGATCGGAGAGAGCTCAGATTCTCCGGGGACCTTTCATATAGAATCACCACATCATTCCCCTTTTCCGGTTTCTGTTTATTAGTTAAGTCAAGTTTTTATATTCGTAAATGGAGCTACCAAAAAGAAAGAAAAAGAAAAAAAAAAGTTACAAACATCAGCAATATCTAAACAATTTACATCAGCAAAATCTACGTAATTATTTTTTTATGACAAACCATATAAGCAACAAATTGTGTATATTCATTTACTAAACTATATATATTCAGGAGATTTGAAAATGTAAAAACATTGTAGAATTAAATTTAACCCGCGTTATATAGTTGGCGCGAAACTTTTTTTTAAATAAAATTGTTTTGAGATTTAAGAATTTTTTTTATCTTAATTTTATAATATATTTAACTTTTAATTATATATATAAAGATGTCAAATTAAACTAATCTGTTTATTTAATCTATTTAAAATTTTTTAAAAATTTTGTTTTGGCTAATCCAAAAACATATATAATCCTGAATACATAACTTTGCACTATTTAATGATTCTAATTTTTGTGGTCAGTCCAAAATCTCTTACAAAAGTTAATTTTTTTGTGTCTAACTATTTATAAATTAGAAATATACTTTTCAACTTTTATTTTTATATATATTCAAGTAAAATATAAAAAAATTATAATGAAAAGTAAAATAAAATTTTGAATATATATGAATTGCTATTATTTTATATATATATATATATAAATAATAATTAAAAACCTAAATAAGAAATAGTCTCTTTAATGAAAAATATATACTTTCCAAATTTTCTTACATAATTTTAAAAAATAATTATATCATTTCTTATTTCAACTATATTTTTTTATTTATAATAGCATTTCATGTAATAACTTACACATTTAAATTTATTTTTAAAATGTCATTTAAATAATAGTATAGAGATTGATATCTACATCTGGATTTATAGGTCTATTAAAAAAATAGTTTAGTATATGATATTAAATTAAGTAAAGAGATCTCTGCATATACAGTATACTTAATTATCAATTTAGAAAATAATATGGACATGAATGGTAGATGAATAAATTCTAGAATGAAATTAAACGATAAACACGAATAATATTGGAGAACAAATGAAAATTATGAAAAAGCTAGTGATACTTTTCCTTTCTACTTTTTTCCCCCACTAATATTAATATATCAGAAAGCAAGCTAAAATATATAGAGCATCTCCATGTGCTACGCCATTTTTTTAATTCAAAATGAAGTTAAAATCTAACTTCAATGCATTGTTCCATTATTTAACTAAAAAAAAAAAAGAATAGTTACATTAGCAAACAAACACTAAATTTATATATATTTGGAAAACTGAATCAGGAGATTACATTTTGTCAACTAGATAAATTATTCAGACAGGGAAAGCTGCAAAATGGACAGTGAATATCATTTGACTGTTGCAGTCGGTAGATATGAACATCAATTCCCGCAAGCCTTCAGGAACTGGGGAACTAGTTTCTGCCCAAAAAAACATCAAATGTTTCTAGAAAAACTATTCCTCACATGTTTACCAAAATAAAAACTGTTCTATATGGTCGCACCGACATTAGGGAGCTGTACGTAGAACTTGCATTGAAAACTGTATCGTAAAGTTTCAAATACTGAAAGCAGAGAATCCGAGGGTTACCATGCGAATATCTTGATGAGAATGTGAAGGTGTTGGTACAAAAACTTTGCATTTATTTTCGACGAAACAGAATAAGCTGGAATCGAGCAATTTGATGTTAATTAATGTGATGTATTATTATTGATTTGTGAGCTGTTTGACTTTCGGATATTGATGAGCTGACTTCGAGCATACCACTCAGGTTCCATGCCGGATCAAACTTCTCTATTTTCCATCAGTCGATGCATTTTGAGTCATCGTTCCATGGCTTAGGGTTCCGAGTAGGCTTATCGCCTCCTTAAGTCCCAAGCTTTCTCTATATTAGGGCTTATCGCCTCCAATTAAGTCCTTCGAGCCAACTAAAATTAATCGGATAAAAATATAAGAGAAGAAGAAAATTATCAAAGTTACATAAAAACAAACCCATCCAAATTTTAAAAGAAAACAAAATCCGAATCGGAATCAGCTTCGGGAATTCAAACCATTGCATTGCATGGTAATTCAGTTTTTATTTTGTTTTTAATATATGTTGAAAAATGGATTTTTAAAACACTTAAAAGAATCAGTTTTAGTAGGATTGCAAAATATGATTACTCCATTTTGGAGTTTAAAATTTAAAAGAGGCTTGAAGAAGGTCTTGGATACTTTTCAAGCTTATATCATCTCCAAGCTTACTGTTGAATCCATTAAAATAAGAATGAACATGTTTATAATAGTTTTGAACACATAAAATCACAAAACAAAAAGAGCCTTTAAGATTTATTAATCTTTAATAACTTTGGATTTCTTCTTGGAAGATTTATCACCAGATGCAACAGCAATATACTCCTCTGCATTCACACTCGCGTGTGTCTTCTTCTGCTTCTTCAACTCTTTTGTCTTGCTCTGCAAAACCACAAATCGTCAAGAACAAAAACCAGCTCAGTGCCAGTTCCCCTCGATTTGAACCACTGAACAGCAAGAAGACATACAGATATCATTACCTTCAAGGATTTTGTTAACTCGGTTATATCTTTCTTGCCCTCCTCAGATTTGTTTGAGTTGTTGCTGTTCTGCATAGGTTCCTGCAAGAACCAGTCCAAGGAGTAGTCTTAGAAACTTTTAGAACAAAGGAGAGACGCGATTTAGATATTTGTGACAACCAAGGCAGAAGAGAGACCTCAGGTGGGAGGAATGAGGCATCTCTCTGTCTTTTCTTCTCTGTACTCTTCTCTGTCTGTTTCTCTTGCTTCTCCTGCCACTTTTTCTCTGACTTCTTTTTGTCACTCAACCAGTGCTCTCCAGACTCCAGTTGATAATCAATCTGGAAAACAATCACACAACAAGGTCAAAACCATGCATTAACATGGAAGGATTTAGAGGAAAAGGAAACCCAAAGACGATTAACATTATCATCAAAAGCTGAAACTAGAAGAATAATTTGCGTAAGAAGCAAGTTTTCTTGCCTTTCTAGGCATTTGAGGAGGAGGGAATGGTGTGTATGACTTCTCCTTCTTGCTTTTAGGCTTCTTTTGCTGAACATTCTTCCTGAAAAATCAATTTTGAAACAGATAGATGCGCTCGTGAGTTACTGAAATATCAAGAGAGATCACTCGATTAACTCATCAAGAATAAAAAGACGGCCCGTACTTCTTGAATTTAGGAAGAAACCTATCCCAGCTTTCGGTTGCAAGCGCTGGATCCTTTTCCAGTTCCTTTCTCATCATGAGATTCTGCAGAACCAAGTGCGGAAACATATGAACCAATTTGACACAGTCTAAAGACAAATCCAAAACACCTTCCCACGAAAGTACAAGTGACAGAATTTTTTTTGATACACACCTTTATATGATATACAGGATGCATTATATTCTGTACGCACTCTTCCACAATCTTTCTGACTTGTTTGAGACCTTTAAAAGAACCCATTGCGGCTACCGTACTTCCCTATTAGATGCAGATAAACCCCAAGGAACAAAGAAAATATCAAAAACCCAAAGAGAAAATTAACGTACCACAGTAGTAAAACATTTGCAAAAGAAACACAATTACCTGAACTAAAATGTAACAGTTGGTTAATATTTCCAGCGCCTGCAAGCAGCCAAAATCATTAAGCCTCAAAGAAAAACGCAAACAAAAAGTATTCGGGATCGTGCATAAGAATACAATAGTTTCACACAACCTCTTAAGCATTACACTACTAGCATCACTAAGACTATCTCTAAATATGTCCATTAATCATAGGACAAAGTACCAGATAGTTTACACACCTTCAAGGTAGAAGAATTAGGACCCACAAGCCGCTGCCTTCTTTTAACAAATCTTTCCTGAAAAGATAGTCTGTATTAGGACCCCGTGACAATGCATGCCAGATGCATATGAAAATTAAACATATTCGCCAAATGCATGCTGAAGCAATTTAACAGGAAGTCATCAAGTATTCCATGTTTATACTAGAATTTGTGGCCAGAGTTAAAAAGGTGGTCTTTTGATATACCAAAATGTATTCACTTAGCTTAGGCCTAATACTGAAACTAAGATTGCCTTTGTACCTTATTCCGAACCAAGTTTCCGATCTTGATGATATCACATTGCATTTCATCTTCCAGAATCTTAATCGCCTGTAATGTAAGTGATGAAAATCCATTAAGCAGCATACACCCAATATATCAGAAAAATTAAGACTTCAAACTAAATAGAAGACAGGATTACGATTCAAGCTGAGCTTCTGATGTGTGGCACAGAATATACCTGAGGAGCAGGGACACTTCTCGATAGAAGCTGGATCAAATCCCTAGCTTTGACAATGATATACGGATCTCTTGTCTTTCTCGTCGTCGAAACAGTCATAGAACCTTCAACCTACCATATGCAATAACCAAAGTCCAAACAGATCAAATGAAAAACCCCAAAAAAGGCCAAATCAACGAAACAAATCCTAATTTATTTTAAGCGGCGAACGCACCAGGTTGAGTTTGCAGGCGACGCCGTATTCTTTGAGAGCGGATTCGACTCTGGGCCAAGAATCCTGAAGATACTGCTCTCTGTATCGAGGAAATAGTGTGGAGAATGAGCTCACTTCGAGCATACCGGTCGGATTCCATGCCGGATCGAACTTCTCGATTGTCCAACGGTCGATGTTTGGGTCATCGTCCCATGGCTTCGGCTTGTTGTGTTTACCTTTTTTCCTCACCTTGTTTTCCAGTTTCTGCTCATCATGCTGAAGCTCCTCCATCTCCGCCATTGACGACATCAGTTAATACCCTAGAGACGGCGGCGATGCTTTTTGCTTATATTAGGGTTTACCGCCACTTTAAGTCGGACGAAAAATAAGAGGAGAAGAAATATTATGAAAGTTAAAGGAAAAACAAAAACAGATAAACAAACCGGTCCAAATCATAAACCGGAGTGACTGAACCAAAAATGAAATGGTTGGATCTTTTGGCGCTGGCTAGTAAATTAGTAATGGGTAGTTGGCGGACATCCCGAAGTTGCTAACCGAACTAGAGTCTTTACACTCTGTTCAAATCGCCTAAAACCTTCTTCTTCCCCATTTTGCACACACAAAATCTCTCAAACAAAATGATTCATCATTGCTCCATCACAAAACCCACTTTCTCGGTTTCGATATCGACCCACAAGCATCATCATTCAGCTAGCTTCTTGAATTTGGGTTTCAGAATCCGATGCGAATCCGGTGATGTCTCGTCGTCGTCGATGCGGTCCAATGCGTTGTCATTGTCGTCGGAGATGGATGATTCGTTCTTGAAGAAGAATCTGATGGAGTCAGAAGGGAAAAAGAGCGAGCCTTACCCTGGAGGAATGCCCAAGATGGGTCCTTTCACAGGGAGAGATCCGAATGTTAAGAAACCTTCTTGGTTGAGACAAAAGGCACCGCAGGGAGACAAGTTTCAGGAGGTGAAGGAGTCGCTATCTCGTCTCAATCTCAATACTGTTTGTGAAGAAGCTCAGTGTCCTAATATCGGCGAGGTTAGCATTTTCGATTCAGCGTTTATGAATCCTCTGATCTTGAATATTAGTGAAATTCATCAACCTCCATGGATTTTGAGTCGATTGATGAGTAAACCAGCTGCTAATTCTATAATTTTTGCTCTAGATTTTGTGGGTATTGGTGTTCAAAAGAAATGAAAGCAATACTTTTTAAAGCTTTTTATTTAAGATAATGAAATTAGCTTTTGATATGCAGTGTTGGAATGGAGGTGGTGATGGTATAGCAACTGCAACCATCATGGTTCTTGGTGATACTTGTACTCGTGGCTGTAGATTTTGTGCAGTTAAAACCAGTAGAAACCCTGCTCCTCCTGATCCAATGGAACCAGAGAACACTGCTAAGGCCATAACCAGTTGGGGGTGAGTGTCTTTTATTTGATTCCCAACTAATGAAGATGGGTTGAAAATCTAGAAAATGGGGTCATTGCAGTTTCAATAGTCATTTATACATATACATTTAATGACGAGAAACTTAGGTTATTGAAACCTTATGTCTTTGTGAATTTGTGGTCGGTCTAATATGATATGGTCTCTTGGCTTTTCCTTTGTTGCAGTGTAGATTACATAGTTATTACCAGCGTTGACCGCGACGATCTACCTGATGGTGGAAGTGGACACTTTGCGCAGACTGTTAAAGCTATGAAGGTCAGTCTTATTGTTTATGCCTTTTAAGAAAATTATTTTTCATTCACGCTGTGCCTGTGATCTCTTAAGAATACTGTTTTCTCCATTTCTCGAGTTCTGGTTTCAAGAGTGTTTATGATATGAAAAGATTGAGTGCAACAAAGTGAAATTTTGTTCTCATCTTTGTAGAGACTTAAGCCGGATATAATGATAGAGTGCTTAACTTCTGATTTCCGTGGTGACTTGGAAGCTGTTGACTCTCTGGTACACTCGGGGTTGGATGTTTTTGCTCACAATATCGAGACTGTGAAAAGGCTCCAGCGACTTGTGAGGGATCCTAGGGCTGGGTAAGCGTTCTTTTCTTGTTCTTTATATTTATGGATTGTGAAATTGGTTATGGCATGAAATCATCCTCTGTTAAGGGAAGTCAACTTGTCTCTAATTACATTGTCCGTTACGTCCTCAGTCAGTTAAATGTCCTTATAATTTGGAGAATGCAGATATGAGCAGAGCATGTCGGTTTTGAAACACGCAAAGATCAGCAAACCTGGAATGATCACAAAGACTTCCATAATGCTTGGTCTTGGAGAAACAGACGAAGAGTTGAAGGAAGCAATGGCTGATTTAAGAGCTATCGATGTTGACATTCTAACACTTGGCCAGTATTTACAGGTAGAAATACTTGTTTCAGACATCATTTGCAAGATTCATATTTCCAACGCAGAAAGATTCCAAATTCAGCATGGACGATTTTAGAACTCTTTTTCTCTTGTTCCACAATGCAGCCAACTCCATTGCATTTGACTGTGAAAGAGTATGTCACACCTGAGAAATTTGATTTCTGGAAAACCTATGGAGAATCCATTGGATTTCGCTATGTTGCAAGTGGTCCATTGGTAAAGTCACACGAACTAGCTCTTAGTTTCAATCTCTTCATGTCAAAATATCTGAGACCTCTTAACATTGAATAACCAGAAATGTGCTTGTTTGATTTGGATATATATTTTTTTGTTGCAGGTGAGATCTTCATACAGAGCAGGAGAACTTTTTGTTAAGACAATGGTGAAAGAAAGCTACGCTAAATCTCTGTCTAAATAGCAACACTTGGCTATTATAATACCTAAGAATGAAAGCTGAGAGACTCAACACAAAGCCTTTCTCTATAATTCTCTTTTCCTGTCTTCTAGTTGACTTCATTCATTTTGGTAATCTATCCAATAACCACTGTGGATATATATACATTTTTTTGTTGTTATGTTTTATAAATCGTGTCAATAATATCTGGAGATTCGTCTCAAGATATTTTACTGTGTAGCATTCTCGATCTGAAGCCACAAGTTCCTCATCCTTTCAAGACTTCCACTGTCTTTTAAGTCTCAACGGGTGACACGCGTCGCATTTCTATATCCTGGCTTTAATTTTAGCCCAAATAATTAACAAAATTGCTAATCACCTAATTAACTTAATCATCTTGTATAAATTCAGGGGAGCTTAAGATTTTTTTTTTTTGTTGCTTGTCTACTCTCACTTTCCGTCTTCAGATACTTTTTTTTTTCCCTCCGGCCTCGGACCTGAGCAGATGACTAGCGGATTCGCGGTGTCACCGGCGATTGTTGCCGCCGTTCGTCCTCCGGCATCACAAGACTGTTTCTCTGCTGTCTCTGTTAATGGACCCAAAGCGATCTACGCTTCTTCTTGTTCTTCAATCGTCGCAACTATCTCATTATCTACTTCTTATGGTCGAAGCAAATGCGCCATCTCCATCTCGCGAAAGAATCCACGATCGACGATTCGCCGCGATATTACTGTGAAATCGGCGGCTTCTGTGGACGCTGATCTTTCGACGCCGGCTTCATCGGAGACGGAGGAGGATGAGAAGGCGAAGGCGAAAATTGGGGCTAGGGTTAGGGTTACGGTGCCGTTGAAGGTTTACCATGTAGTTCGCGTGCCGGAGGTTGAATTGATGGGAATGGAAGGTTTTATCAAAGACTACGTCGTCCTCTGGAAAGGGAAGCGAATCTCAGCTAATCTGCCGTATAAGGTACAGTTCGTGAAAGAGATCGAAGGTCGTGGTCCTGTCAAATTCTTCACGCATCTCAAGGAAGACGAGTTTGAGTTTCTTGATCCGTGATTTTTGATACAAAAAAAAGGCAATCTTTTTCTCCTCTTCACTGAGAAAATCTGCGTTTAGCGTTGTGAATGGTTTGTATTACTTGTGTATACATTTAGCATATTATATACATACATTTTCACCGGTGCTTGACTCCTTCATTGCTTTTTCTAGTATAGTTTCGTTTTTGTTGGAGAAATTAAAAGCTGCCTTGATCATGAATCAAATGGGTAATTCAAGCTTGAAAGTCTACTAAATTGATTTATTGCATCTCATCTGATGGATTCACTTCAAATCAATATTATCTTGTCCTCAAAATATATCATCTATTGTTTGGATTGTGAAGTATATTGTAGCATATACTAGATAGTGGATTGTAGTGGGCGTGAGAGTGTTAAACGAATTGGTTCCTGTAACTCTGTGAGCGTTTAAGGTTTGTTCAAATGAATCTTAATTCTTATGCTGCAAATCTCTTTGTTGGAGTTTAGGACTACAAAAGCTGAACTAAGGTCTAAGAGTAATGAAATCATATGTTCTTGGTGCCTTGGTCAATTGCTCTCTGTTTAAATTTTTTTGTAGGAGAGAAATTGGTGACCTTTAAGTCCTTGTGATGCTTACTCTGTGAGTGTTGGATGGTTATTTTGCTACAAAGTCCAAATCTTTGGTGTAGCCAAATTGTTTAATACGGTTTTTGTTGAGAAATGATAAGAACTTCTCTGTTTTACTTTGCGAAATCTCTCACTATCACTCTCGTTTGATCGACACTCGTGTGTTTAAGAGCATAAAGTAAATGACACACAAGATTTATCCAGTTCACGTTCCAAATCGGAAACGCTACGTCTGGCCGAGACTTGCTCGGAAATCCACTAGAAAGCTCGGTTACACAACCCTTTGGTTACACAAACCCTTAGAGAACAAGCTATAAGCTCACAGCTGCCTCTCTCAATGCTCTTAACTCTCTTAACCCTAATGTCTCAGCTTTAGACACCTTTTATACTCCTCAGAATCACCGCCACACGCCTCTTCCTCTTTTCCGTACTCTGTTTTAAATTACAGAGGAAGGAGACAAAATGTCTATGCCTTTTGCACGAGGTTAATTACTCCTCTTGCCCTTGGTGAGTTGTATAAGTCTGCACGTGAGCTCCTCGTGCCTTTTGTTTCTTCTATAAGCTGAGACCTTCTGCTTGAGTTAGAGTCTTCATGACACTTAGGCAATTCTTTCAACAAAACTCCACCTTGCCGTAGTGTCAGACCTTATGATTTCCTGCTTTCTTTCTAGTGTATCTTGATTTCCATCTCGGATCCTGATCTTGGATCAGTTGCTGGTTATCCTGAGCTTCTTCAGTGCGCTCAGGAACTTGCTAACTGGTAGCACTTTGGTGAGAAGATCCGCTGGATTGTAAATTGTGGATATCTTCAACACCTTAACTTCACCATCACTTATCGCATCACGAATGTAATGAAACCTTGTCTGAATGTGCTTAGTTCTTTCGTGATGAACAGCATTCTTTGCTAGAGCTATAGCACTTTGAGAATCACAATGGATATCAACCGGTCCTTGTGAGAATCCCAACTCATTCGTCAACTCTTTAAGCCAAACAGCCTCTTTTGCAGCCTCAGTTAAGGCCATATACTCTGCCTCTGTCGTTGAGAGGGCCACCACTGGTTGTAGGCCTGATTTCCAGCTTACGATGTTTCCTCCCACAGTGAATGTGTACCCTGTGATGGACCTCCTTCTATCAAGGTCAGCGGCATAATCAGAATCGCAGTAACCTGTTACTACAAATTCCCCTTCTTTTCTATACTGCAGTTTGGTGTCTATTGACCCCTTTATGTATCTGAGGACCCATTTGACGGCTTGCCAATGACTTATCAAAGGTTTACTCATAAATCTGCTAATAACACCAACCGGATAAGCCAAGTCTGGTCTTGATCCAATCATTGAATACATTATGCTTCCCACAGCATTTGCGTAAGGTATGGATCTCATCTGATCGGCTTGCTCATCCACTTCATCATCTGTTGCGGCTTTAAGCCTCATATGTGTTCCCAATGGTGTTTTAACAGACTTACACTCTTCCATCCTAAACGTTTTCAGAACTTTCTGCAGATAGCTTTCTTGTGACAACTCTAGAACACCTTCGGACCTGTTTCTTGTAATTTCCATACCCAGAATCCTCTTTGCTGGTCCTAAATCCTTCATCTCAAACTCTGAACTCAGACTTTCCTTCAACTTTCTTATTGTCTCCTTGTTCTTTGATATGATTAACATATCATCGACATATAACAGCAAGAAAGTTCTCTCTTCCTCATTAGTCTTCTTGAAGTACACGCAGCAATCTCTTAGACTCCTTGAATACCCTGTGGACTTCATAAATGAGTCGAACCTTTGATTCCACAGTCTTGGAGATTGTTTCAGCCCGTATAATGACTTTTTCAGCAAACACACTTTCTCAGGTGATCCCTTGTCTTCATAACCCTCTGGCTGGCTCATGTAAATGACTTCATCTAAACTCCCATGTAGAAATGCAGTCTTTACGTCAAGCTGTTCCAGTTCTAGATCAAAATGAGCAACTGCAGATAGCATTAACCTTATCGAGACATGTTTAACAACCGGTGAGAAAATCTCTTGAAAATCAATTCCTTCTCTTTGAGAGTAACCCTTTGCAACAAGCCTTGCTTTGAATCTTGGTTTCTCCACACCTGGAATGCCCAGTTTTCTTTTAAATACCCACTTGCAGCCAATGATTCTTTGTTTTTCTGGTCTTTCCACAAGATCCCATGTATGGTTCTTGTCAAGTGAGAGTATTTCCTCATCTGCTGCAGCTTTCCAATACTCGCTATCTGCATCCTGCATTGCTTCTCTGTAACTTGTTGGCTCTAGCAGTCCCCCATCCTCTGTTAGATTATATGCGAATCCTGAATCTCCAAGTTCGTCATATCTTTTAGGTGGCCTTGATGGTCTCCTTTTCCTGTCTCTTGCCAACTGATAATCTGCAAGACTTGGAGGCATATAGTCCTCTTCTTCTGAGTCTGTTTCCATTTCTTGGTCATAGCCTTGATATGGCGATGTCAAGTCTGGTTCCTTGTCACTTTGATCAGTAGCTCCACCTTGAGCTGTTTCGATCTCTTCATTTACTTCTGTTCCAACAGGCGAATCTATGATGGACACAACTCTCTCTTGTTGTGATTCCTCTTCTTCTTTGTCTCTTGGTCCAGAATCTTTGAACATTATCTCCTCATTGAAAACAATGTCTTTACTGATCACAACCTTCCTGTCGTCAATTAGCCACACCCTGTATCCTTTTACTCCTGATGGGTACCCTAGAAACACTCCCTTCTTAGCTCTTGGATTTAATTTTCCCTGGTCTGTGTGAACATACGCAATGCACCCGAAGCTCCTCAAAGTACTCAAGTCTGGTAAAGCTCCTGTCCATGCTTTTTCGGGTATCTCGTACTCTATTGCAGAGGTTGGAGATCGGTTTATGACATAGACCGCTGTGGCAGCTGCTTCTGCCCAAAACATCTTTCCCAGTCCTGATTCACTTAACATGCTTCTTACCTTGTCCATAATCGTTCTGTTCATCCGTTCTGCAACCCCATTTTGTTGCGGTGTGTAAGTACATGTTCTATGTCTTACAATACCTTCTTGTTTGCAGAAATTATCAAACTCTTGGTTGCAGAACTCTAACCCATTGTCAGTTCTTAGTCTCTTCACTTTCTTGCTTGACTGATTTTCCACCATTGTCTTCCATTCAACGAATGCTCTAAAAGCTTCATCTTTCCTCTTGAGGAAATAGATCCACACCTTTCTTGTGTAATCATCTATGAATGTGATAAAGTACTGACAATTTCCCAAGGAGTTTGGCACTGATGGTGCCCCCCAAAGATCCGAATGAATGTATTCTAGCTTCTCCCTTGTGACATGTTTTGCTGACCCGAAACTAACTCTGTGAGACTTCCCATAGACACAATCTTCGCAGAAATCGAAGCCTTTAACTTTGTCGGCTTGAAGACAACCCTTCTTGACCAGAATCTCTGTATTTTTATGACTCATATGACATAGTCTACTGTGCCACATCTTGGCTTCATCCTTGGAGTTTGTAACTGAATTTGCAGCTCCAGTTACAACTGTTCCCTGCATGATGTATAAGGTACCTGTCTTCTTTCCCTTTAACACTGTTAAACAGCCCTTGGTAACCTTCAATACCCCATTCTTCGATTGAAACCAGCAGCCTTGATCTTCTAACGTTCCCATCGAGATCAGGTTTTTAGACATTTCAGGAACATATCTCACGTTTGTAAGTAAAACAGTTGTGAGATCATCATTTCTGATTCTTATGCTTCCAATGCCTTTTACTTCAGAGTATGTCATATTTGCCATCTTCACTCTTCCAGTCTTCGTTTCATCAAACTCGACGAACCAGTCCCTCCTTGGTGTCATGTGAAATGAGCACCCAGTGTCCATTATCCATTCATCTTCAATGTCTCCACCTACTGCATTGAGCTCCTCAGTGATCGTTAGAGCTGCTGCATCTGTGATGAGTCCTTCGACATTTGAAGACTCTCCCTTTTCCGAGTTATTTCCTTTCTTGTTCCTTTCCTTCCAGACATAACACTGTTTCTTGTAGTGTCCTTCCTTGCCACAGATCCAGCACACCTTTTTATCTCTAGACTTTGATCTACTGTTTTTTCTGTCAGCGCTCTTGTCTCTCTTTTCAGATCTACCTCTGTCTTGTGCAAATAGAGCTTCTGAGCTGTTCTTGAGCGTCTTTCCATTTGCTCCAAGCTCAAGTATCTTAGACCTGATTGCACCTGTTATTTCATCTAGAGCAAGAGTCGTTTTGCAGTATTTCAAAGTCTCTTTGAGCTGATCAAACTGTCTTGGCAATGACATGAGCAAGACTATTGCTTGGTCTTCGTCTGGAACTGTAACTTTCACGTTCTCCAGATCAGATATTAGCTTGAAGAAATCGTTTACGTTATCTTCGATGGTCATAGATTCACTCATCTTGTATCCATAGAGCCTTTGCTTTAAATAGATACGGTTTGGTAGAGACTTTGCCATGAACATCTGATCTAACATCTTGATCATACCTGCAGCCGTTTTCTCCTTTATGACTTTCCTTAGAACGTGGTCTCCTAGGCTCAGTATAACTGTAGATCTGGCTTTTCCCCTCTTCTCCTTCAGTCCCTTATCTTCTGGCTTCGCTGGTGTTGGGGCTGTAGGTGGTGTATCTCCTTCTGCAACTGATTCATCACTTTCAGTGACTTCCTCATTATCTAGCCCTTCCAACAAACCCAGAAGCTCAAGGTGAGCTAAAAGTTTCTCTTTCCAGAGGATATAATCCCCTTCTCCGTCAAACTTTTCCACTTCTGTGCGTCCAGAAGTCATGATTAGCGAGAAAGTTTGAAACTTTATGCACCAAGTTTCAAAAAACCCTTTGAAGCTCCGACCTTTCTCCAACTTTCTTTTCAACCACCGAAAGAAAGTTTGGATCTTTGTTGCTAAAGTTTTAAGCTTTACAAAGATCTGAACTTTTCTTTATCTTCAAACTTCAGCAACTCTTTCAACCTGGCTCTGATACCAATTTGTTGAGAAATGATAAGAACTTCTCTGTTTTACTTTGCGGAATCTCTCACTATCACTCTCGTTTGATCGACACTCGTGTGTTTAAGAGCATAAAGTAAATGACACACAAGATTTATCCAGTTCACGTTCCAAATCGGAAACGCTACGTCTGGCCGAGACTTGCTCGGAAATCCACTAGAAAGCTCGGTTACACAATCCTTTGGTTACACAAATCCTTAGAGAACAAGCTATAAGCTCACAGCTGCCTCTCTCAATGCTCTTAACTCTCTTAACCCTAATGTCTCAGCTTTAGACACCTTTTATACTCCTCAGAATCACCGCCACACGCCTCTTCCTCTTTTCCGTACTCTGTTTTAAATTACAGAGGAAGGAGACAAAATGTCTATACCTTTTGCACGAGGTTAATTACTCCTCTTGCCCTTGGTGAGTTGTATAAGTCTGCACGTGAGCTCCTCGTGCCTTTTGTTTCTTCTATAAGCTGAGACCTTCTGCTTGAGTTAGAGTCTTCATGACACTTAGGCAATTCTTTCAACAGTTTTGATTTAAGTCATCATGAGGCTACACCAAGAATTTGGAGCGAAGAAAAAAACAAACTTCTCTATTCTGTTAAAAAAACAAATCGTAAATCAAAAACAAATCTTTAGTGCGGTTCTTTTCGGTTTTCGATTTGCATAAACAAGTTGTTCGATACAGTTTTGATTTCCAATTTCTACGGAATTTCAAGTTTAATTTAATTTGGGTTTTATTTCTCTCTCCGGTCTCGGTTTCCGGATTGTTCTTACGTTAGATTTGGATTGGATAAGTTCCCTTTAACCGGATTGAAGACTAACCGGTTTTATAATGTTGTCGTGATATATTATGAGTTCAGTGACCATATAGTAGAAAGTGAAAGAGCAAAACTTTTCTCAAGGCAGTGACACTACAGAAACTCGAATAGATCAAAGAAGGAAACGAAAATGTACAAAAATCATCAGTTATCGCTCTCTTCATGCACCTACAATCTCAATTTTGCTTTCTCGCCCTTCCTTGTCTCTCAGAGACAACCATTTTCTCCCCACAAACGTCATCTTCCCTCTCTGGTCGCTGTTTCTGCTAATTCCGACAACCACGCCGGAGAAAACGACGGCGGAAAGAAAGGGTCGGGGACGACGGCGAGAGGAAGGAGATTACTTAAGGTTAGAGAAGAGAAGAGAAAACGCGAATACGATCGTCTTCACGATTATCCATCTTGGGCCAAGTACTCCCTCTCTCTTTTGCCCTCCAAGTGTTTGTGTTTTTGCCTATGTCCCTAGGATACTTTTATCCTTTTCTGAAACAGTAACCGGTGAAAATCTTATTTTTCAGGGTACTGGAGAGTGCGTGTAAAGATGATGAAGAGCTTCGAGCTGTTCTTGGTGATAGCATAGGAAACCCTGAGCTCATGAGAAAGAAGGTAACTGGCGAGTCTCTTCGTTAGATATCTGTTATAGTTTCTTTGTTAATGTTGATTTTGGCATATGTTCAGATACTTATGTTCAAGCGGTTGTGAGGACATGTTCGTTTACTATTTATTTAGGTTGAAGAAAGGGTAAGGAAGAAGGGAAAAGATTTCCAGAAGCAGAAGACTGGTTCTGTGCTTTCTTTCAAAGTTAACTTTAGAGAGTGAGAAACCTGTTTTTTCTTCTTCTTTTTTGCCGTTGCTTCATTGCTTCACTTTAGCGTCTGCTTTCCGCAACATAACATAAGACTAGTTCAGAATACGTGACCAACATACTTATAATTGATATATGCAGTTTCAATCCTGTTGACTCCTTCATATGGTTTGAGCTCTATGGATCGCCTTCAGATCGTGATGTTGATCTTATTGGAAGTGTAAGAAAATCGATCTTCTTCTTGCTTACTGCAAAACGTCGAGTCTTACTGTGATGACTCAATGCTTCTTTCATTTCTTTCTTTTGGCCATAATAAAAACTCGGGTTCGTTAACAGGTGATACAGGCATGGTATGTTATGGGGCGACTGGGCGCTTTCAATACATCTAACTTACAGGTTTGTTCATCATCCGCTCTGTTTTTTTCTCCTTATCACACCATACATCTTCAGTCGCTAGCCATGTTTTTCCCCCCCTTTCCATGGTCATCTTTATTGTAGTCTTAATGATATAATCTAAACTATTATTGCAGCTAGCAAACTCATCTATGGAATATGATCCTCTCTACGACGCAGAGAAGGGCTTCAAAGTGATGCCTTCATCTTTCCATGATATCAGCGACGTCGAATTTCAGGACAACTGGGGCCGTGTGTGGTAAAAATCTGTTCCAACGTACCCTTCTCGTCCAAACCATCCCCTAATTAAAACTGTGTAATTAGTATGAATTTACTTTTGCAGGGTTGATCTTGGTACTTCTGATATCTTCGCCATTGATGTGCTTCTCAACTGTTTGACAGTTATGAGTTCAGAGTGAGTAGCACAAGAATTAGTGTTTCCTTTTGTCCTCTTTGATTGATTCCTTTTATGTTGCAGAATTTTTTTAACTTTTGTTAATATGAAATTTCAGGTACTTGGGGATTCAACAAGTAGTATTTGGTGGTAAACGAATGGGTGATTGGGAAGAGGGAATGACAAATCCTGATTTCGGTTATAAGTACTTCAAGATCTGAATCTTCTGAAAACAGTTTTGTTATAAATAGGCTTCTCTTTTGTCCACAAAGATCATGTAGCTAAACAGTTTTAAGGAGAACAAAAAAAAACTAAATCAATACAACAGCCGAAATGGCGATTTACACTCCGAGTTAGCTTGAACCCGAGACAGTACCGCAGATATTTGCTTCCGCAAGCAAACGGTTCGCGGCCCGAGCAGTGGCTAGACGCAATGCTCGAGGGTTAGTTAGTCCTCTGTAGACTCTTTTGGTTAGCTTGGTAGAATTAGCTTTTGTCTTGTTAAACTCCAAATTGGGACCCAATCCACATTCAAAACGTACGGAGTCATCACGATGAAACTTCTTGGAATGTTAAGTTGAGCTCATGAATAGTCTTCGCCACTAATCCTCCTCGTCTACATAGCCATAAAGACATGTAAGACATAAGATGATAGACTTAAAGAGAGAAGAGAGACATGAAGAAAAATAAACTCACCGTGCTAGAGAGGGAAGGCAAGCCTTGATTTTCTCAAGTTCAACAAAGCAACGACTGTACCGCTCCATCCTGATTAGCAATAAACATATATTGGGTTTCAAAAGAGAGCAAATTTCAATCTTAAATTATATTGCGTATATGGGTTTAAGTATGCAGATAAGATTGAAACCGGAACCAACCTTTGCTCAGCCTCAATATCTACACCAACAGATGATGGAGCAGACAGTGATGAGTAAATTTGTGATCCATACATTCTTACCAGCTTAAGCAGCAGATCCAGACAGACACTCAAATGTCTAAAGACAAGAAACGTCGTTTAGAGAAAACAAATCTATACGGACTCATAGTTTAAAAAGGTGACCATGTCATGATTTTGTTTTAAGATGAATTGCTTACCTATCAATGTCGCTACCTAGTAGAGCTGTCAACAGTGGAAGAAGAGAGTTACAAGTATCCAGTGTTAATATCTCACTTCTCTCGGTTACTATAACCACTACATCCGCAACGACCTGTAGCAAATGAAATAATGAGTTTGCGTAAGTGGAAAATCTTTACGATATAATTGACCTACTGTTTATATGCATTAATTAGATTCGAAACCACCACAAGTTGCTTACAGCATTATCAGCCATCTTCTCTATTGAACTTATCGTGTTTTTAATATCGTTTCTTTCCCAATATCTTCGGACTACCTGCGAATTCAGTGAAACCATTTAGAACATTAACAATGTTAATGGAAAACTGTAAAGTATTATTACAGCTAGTATTCTAAAGGACAAAACAAAAAGCATGATCAGAATTTTTGATTTCTTCGTGTTACCTGTAACTTAGCCAAGCGAGAATGCATAGAACTGGCAAATTGATCGTGCTGTCCCATTATGTCTGCAACTATCTCTTCTTCACTGGCAGAGGTGATTCCTTGATCAACTGGCACATGGCTTCCTCTCTGCTTGAGCTGTATGAAAGGAAATAGTAAGTCATTATTATCTCTCTAGGAACACAAGCGCAAGTATCACTAGATGAGATGTTGGAAACTAGTAGCACGCTGAAGATGCAGGAGCAGTTGAAAATGAGTTTTCTAGAAAGAAAAAAAAAAGATATCTGACAGTTTCTGTGTTTTATTGCACCGAGATCCCAATTTGACAACAAAAATTTGAGACCATTACCGTAATGGAAGGGCGAATGTTTGGTGCAGTCATATTTCCACCAGAAAAACTTGAAACAGGACTCTCAGAGCTGGATAATCTTCCTCTTCTTTCTCTATTTAAAACGAGGGAATGCAGTCTTCCTAATATGTCAGGGCAGATAACAAAAATCTATTCATACGCGCATCAAAAGGGAAAAAAAAAAAACAGGGTTTCAGGAAAGAGTTACCTCCTCTTCGACTTTCAGTAGGACTTGAATCTCTATTTGCATTACAATTATTAAAGTCAGCTGGAATAAAGAGTTAGTCAGATTAGAACTGAGAACAGCATCCAGAAAACTCAACCCAGCTACCTATAATTTAGAAAGACCAACTAAACAAAAAGTTGTGTTACCAAAACATGTTGTCCTAGAAAAACAACATATGTACCTAAAGATTGATTCCTAGAATCTCACCGTAAATATATACCCAAGTCCTTCAGAAATTCAGAAAACTGTTCTCCACATTTAAGATGCCAAGATAGCTAAACAATATCAAATGCAATCCATATTTGCTATAAAACAAACGAAGACTAGAAATGCGCTTACACTTACAGTTTTCGTCGTGATTTCTTGGAGGCGATCTCACCAGAGATCTTGAATTAAACCTTCCAAATCCCCTGTATCTGCTTTCTCTATTTTTTCTCTCAGCTGTATCCCATGTGCCACCTTCGTCACTAGGAAATGTATCTCCATCCAGTAAATTGCTTGGTTCTGTAGGCTGAGACTGAGACCTTTCAAGAATCGAACCAGTTGGTACATCTGGCTCATTTCTGCTGCTCGACAGCCTTCGAGAATCAGCCGCTTTTGACTGCAGTGAATATGGCATAGTTCTTCCAATAATGTCAAGTTCTGCTCTGGATTCAGCTACCTGCTCAATTATTGGGTCCGTTCTGGGGACTATTACTGGAAAAATATCCCCTTTATTGACTACTTGAGGATTAGACTTTGAGTTAGCTTTTGTAAGATTCCTCTTTGAGGCTGTAGAAGTGGGAACAACCGTAACAGCGGAAGCAACTTTTGGAGCACTGGTTAAAGTGACCCTATGAGGAGAGTCTGATATACTTCCTGTGGCTTCAGCAAACAGCAGGCAAACCAAGAAATGCGATATCATTTAATAAGACACTCTAGCAAAAATTGAAAAAGAGATAGAGAAAAATAGAAGGAACAGAGTAAAACATACATGATAAGGTTCTTGACTCTTTAGGTGTATCTGAGCTATGAGTAACTGACAACCTTCCGAGAGGCTTTGGTTCCTTTACCAAAGCATCTGAACTTTGAGATACTGATGACCTTCCAGTAGACTTTGTTTCCTTTGGCAGAGGATCCGAGTTTTGAGAAACTGATAATCTTCCAAGAGACTTTGTTTCCTTCAATAAAGGATCCACCTTCTGGGAACCAGGCAACTTTCCGAGAATAACCTTTGAGCTGTTATCATTTAGAACTGCTGGATCCCTGTTTGAGCCCGAATTTTTTTCTGAATGAAACTTTGACCGAGTGGCTCCTCCACTCTTAGGCTCAGTGCGCTGAGAATGTCATTAGAAAAATGAACAGAGGACTAAGAGATAACAACTACGGAACAGGCCAAACTATAACAAAGCATGTAGGGAGAAAGAGAGATGTACCGAGAGGTCCACAACCCACACGCCTACACAATTTTGATTGTATGAGCAACCGAGAAGCTTTCCCTCGTGAACATTCATATCCGACAAGTTTGACCATCCAACATCCAATCCATCATGACATCTTATTGGCTCCCAAGAGAAAATCTACAAATTGCATGGAAGTTAGTGAAAGAAAGAACAGTAAACGTGTATGTATATTAAGAATCCAAAGGAATAATATATAAGTTGTTTAATCCTCAAAAGAGGGATTTGCTACGCTAATATATTTCTAGTTGATACATCCAGAAGAACTTACTTTGAGACTTTCATGCAATCCACAAAGCACACTCTTTCCGTCTGGATTGAAGGTCAGGCAACGAACCCCAGTAGTCTAAGAAATGAGAATATTAGAAAGTTGAATTATTGCATAACTAGAAGTGTTACAGGTAACATATGATACCTCAGTTCCACCAGAACCAATAAGCTCGAATGTTTCAAGGTCCCAGAATTTTACTGTCTTATCAGCTGAACCTATTACCACATGCAATATAAAAAGAGAATTCATATGAATATTAAGAAAAATGATACCGTAAAAAGAGATAGCCACTACTGAAGTCCCTTTCTCCAAAAGAAAAAGGGCCAGGGGAAATACAAACAAACAGTGATCTAATGATGTCGGGGTAGGTCACACCATGTAATTTGTGCTAAGATCACACTTAGCTTAGAAAACCATTCGCGTTCATATCATTGTGATAAATCTATGTCACTCAGAAATCTGAGAGCTTCAATATTACAAAGTTTCCTTAGAAAGAGTGATACAGACCTGTTGCCAGCAGAAATTCATGGGGATGAAAATCTAAACTCTGAATTTGCCCTTCATGACTCTTAAACTCATGCAACAATTTTCCAGCTGTCAAATCCCACACCTGTTGAAGGCAACCCACATATCAGATCCAACGTTAACTTTCTATTCAAGATAACAAGTACAGTAAGCAGTATAAACTGTGAGATGAAACAATGCGATAATCTTGAGAGATAGGAAAGCCAGATGATCTAAGTATCAAAGTTGATCAGATAGTATGTGCATATTTTAGCACTAAGCAAATGTTTTCCCCTACGGTAAGAAGGTCAGCCGCAGAGAGGCAACCTTATATAATCATTAATCAAATGTTCTCATCCAAACATAAAGAGCCTACTCTGATAATACAAGAAGCAAAGCAGATTAAAACAAATATATGTTCCTTTCATAAAAGACTAGCATCTCTCAGCACCAGTTTATGCCTATTTTAGCAATATGTGGTGTTTCTTTTCTGAAATCTATCAGAATGACTCCGCAGCTGATGTTCTCCCCAATACATACTAAGAAAAGACAGACAATACATGGAAGGAAGGCAGTTACAAACCTTGACAACGTTGTCTTCTCCTCCAGATACAACCCAACGACCATCTGGGGTGAATCTGAGTACATTGACACCTCGAGTGTGACCCTTGTAAGTATGGATGCAGCCCTTCTTTCTTATGTCCCATATCTTAAGATTTGTGTCGAGAGAACCAGAAGCAAAAAACTCACCAAACGGGTGAAAATTCACTGATATGCAATTCGACCTGTGACCAGTGAGAGTCCTCACAACTACTCATAGGTGCAACCAAAATAACACTATTCAGTAAATATAAGAGCCGGAGTGTGGCTGGCTAACAGAAAATGAGAAGAGTATTTTAGACTAACTCTTTGCCTCCTCCAGATCCCAAAGTTTGATCGTCCCACTAGCAGCTCCTGCTGCTACTAAACCTTCCGTAGCATCAAACGTTACTGAATCAATCCCGCTCGTGTGCCCATGCAAGCTCTGACCACAAACACCCACAACTATACACTCAGCTAGGAAATCTTCCAAATCGCTCTACTACACTATCCTTAAGTGTGTCGCAGTTCCCCTAAAACTTAACACAAAATCTACCGAGAGGCATTCCTCGATAAAAGCAGTGTGGAGGGAGAAGTGAGAACTGACCAAAATGGCATTGGGCTTACCAATAGCCCATAGGTTGACCGTGTGATCTTCCCCGCCTGTTAAGAGTTTCCTCGAGGACTTCCTCCCGATCTTAAGACAATTTACAGCAGCAGAATGTGCCACAAATTCCTCTTTTGAATTCCAAATGTATCACTCAAGTCAAGGCTAAGCAATACCCTCAGATGAGACTCGTACTCAAAAGAAGAAATTGACTAGCAACAGTCTTTATGTTTAGAGGCACCCAAAAGTCATTATTATACTTGACAGAAAAAACGCAAAAGCACAAAGCTGACAAGTGCATACAGATCTCGTGAACCAGAGCTAAAAGCAGCAGATCAAGCACGGCACTGGAGTTAATCAATGAATCTAACGAGAATCCTTAAGAAACATGAAATGAGAGAAAATTGGTATAAACAAAAAGAAGGATACGTAGCTTGTAGGCGCGCTTGGTGGTCATGTCGGAAACGAAAACCTTACATCGGCGAGCATTCAAAATTCCACTCTCGAACAGGCAAAATCCCAAAAATCTCGGAACTTTAAAGCACCTAAAGATCTCCGCTTCTCAACGGCTGACCCACCGTAATCGAAATCTGAAATCTCGAATAGATCAGTATCAAAAAACACAAATTGAGGAAACTATCTGTAGTTATTAAGAAAAGAAAGCATACAGAAAACTCTACGCTTCAGCTCCAATCTCAACTCCGAAACCAAATTTTGGGGAGTTGAGATTGATTGGAAAAGAATGCAGCTTTAAGAACAGTATCTTGCAATAAACGCCGGTGTTTCCTTTACGAAGACGATAAAAAATCTGGCTAAAAGGGGAGTTGTTGGATGGGTCATAGATATCTCAAAGTGTTTTTCTTTCTCTAATGGCGAAGTGAAAGAGAAGAAGAAGAGAGAGAGCTGTGACCTGTGAATGACACACAGACACTATGAAGAAGCAGAGAGAAAGGAAGCTACTTTATTATTTTACTTACCTCTTCTTCTCTATTCAAATTTCCAAATTCATTTTTTCAGATTTTTCAATTTTTTCACAGCGAACCATTTCTCAATCTTACAAATAAATTCACTAAGCAATATCACATTAGGCGAAAGTTTCTAAGTATAGTGTCATAAAGTAATCTGGCATGCCGAGACAAGCTTAATTTCTGGCAACTATTAGAACTATCAATGATTAAATTCTAAATTTAAAATTTAATCTAATTAAGACATACCAATCTGAATTATATCAGTCTTCAGGTTACTATTATCGTAAGTTAAATGAGGATTGAACATCCCTGGAACTTTTGTTTTACAAAATAAATTTTAAGTTTTTGATCCTTTATCAAAGAGGAACAATGATAAAGTATGATAAAATATCACTAAAATATGGTAATTTTGCTTTTGAAATGTTACTGTATTTTTTTGCATCCACCGTAACTGTATCTCAAAATTGATATTTTTGTCTGATACTGAGCATTATAGTTGTGTGGGAATTTTAATAAATTTTAATATTTGTGTTTGTCATATTTGATTCGGTTGATACTTTATTTTAAGAAACTTATATAATTAGTTAATTAGATTTGAAATTCTTGTCGGTGCTTTAGTGCAATTAATATAGGTGATTGTCGTTTAGAGAGAGCGAAAACGGTTTAATTTGGTCTCATAATCGGTTCAGGATTTTTAATTAAAATTTGGGACATTTACAATTTTGCTCCGGTACAATCTCCTAACAATCGGACTCAAAATGAACGGTGTATAACCCCCCCACGTCAGCAATTAAATTCAGAAACCGAAAAGAAGGTACACGACATTTTAGCGCCACAATTTGAAACCGAGTTTACGTTTCATTTATGTGAGGCTAAGAAGCTTTATTTGGATAAGGCTGCTCAACTCTAGGCAGAATATCTGATGAAGTCACTGAAAAACAATGATCCAGAAAGTGAAGACAATCAAGAGAACGATAGCTAAAAAGGTAAAGGTAAAGAAGAGGATGAAGAGATTTTACAAACCCTTTAGCCACAACCAAAAAAAAAGGAAGAAGAAGAAGAAGAAAAGATTTTAGATGACTGTTAGAGACATTATGATCTTCCTAGGTTCTACTCTAATTTTGGTGAAATTAGATATGAAGGTTGGGTTAGTTAATTGGTTTTTGGCTAATGGATCGTTCAGTTTTATTAATAAATATTTTAGCTTAAGTTTTTTCTTAGATTCACTGTTCAAATGAAAAGTATTGGCTTCAGATTTTTGTTTGTCTTATTACCTATCCCAATCTCTTTCTGGCTTGTGTGCATTTGATAGGTGAAGTTTTTTTTTTGTCTTTGCTCTTTAGCAAGCAAAGAATCAGGTTTTCTTACATTCAGAATAACCAAGTTAACATGTTTGGAAGATTGATTCGTTGGAATTGCTCATAGAAGATGCGTACTACTTTAACACATGTAGACTACTTCTAGTTCATGGTTTGGAGCATTTCAATACTTTGCATCGCATTATCGTGCATATACAATATAATCCAACCAAAACATTAGTGATGTTTCGGGGGATAAGCATATGAAGCGAACGGAAGCCAAACCAAAATCATTGTTACTAATTATTCAAACAAGCTCATTGTTGTTAAGGTTACTTATGCCAAACAGTTATTCTTTTATATATTAGACAGCATTGAATTAGTATTTATTTTATTTTTTAGAACCCTGAACAATAATCCATCTTGAACTTTTCCCCAATCCGAACCAAAAATAACTATTCGATTGTCTATAATCCCTCAAAATAGAAATAACCGATAGCATTTTTTTCTAAAAAATGAATAACTGAAATGAATGCAATCGAATAATAGAATGTCCCAAGTTTATTGGCAAACTTCCCAATCTTGTGGGATTAAATGCGCATACATTGATTATAAAGGTAATAAATGTCCAATGACATAATTATGTTAAGGAAAAATACAAATCTTTGCGTTTACAAGAAGCAAAAAGGTAAAGACACATAAAGCAAAAGGGTCCGATGTAAAGGATCGGACCATGAAAGTACATTGTAATTAAATGATTTGATGAGGTTATATAAATTTAAAGGAAAACTTGGAAAACATGCACCGAATAATTAAGGGGATATATGAAATTAGCCGATGTAGATGTGAATCTTGAGAGCGAGGAGGAAGACGCAGACAAGGGAGAAGTAGAGAAGAGAATGGACGATAACGGAGACAGCACTTGTCTGAAAATTACCGAACTCAACGTATCTTTGTCGTCCAGGCAACTGAAACAGAAGTCCTGGCGTGAGCATCACGAATAGTATCACCGTCACTAGCACCGGTCCCCAATCCGACATTTTTTCTCTCTTTCTCTCTGTTGATTAATTCTTGGTTGATGATAATGCTATGCTTAAACGAATACAATCGTCGAGAAACGAGAGAGAGACATAGGGATTTTATAGCAAAGGAGCTGGGAGAGAGAGGTGTAAGGAATGTGAAGAAGGTGGGTCGGAGAGTTGATTCGTGAAGTCACAGTGGATTCTCTTCTTTTTTGGGGTTTCTTGTGTATTAGGTTTTGGTTTTTTTTTGGGGAATTGTAATGTTCTCTGACCAATTTAAGCACCTAATCAAGGTGAAAAGTGAAAATACGTTAGCTAGAGTTGATGTACAAAGTATCTGAAATAATGCACTTGAATTTTTTTTATTGGTTTGAAATTTAAGAGTACAATCAATATTCGATGTTTTAGGTTCGATTTGAGTACTGATGGATATATAGTTTGTGGATATGGAATATCGGTATTATCGTTCATTTTTTTTTATGTTCGGATACGATCGAGTGAATATTTCCATTTTCTCGTGACATAGATTATAAACCTTCACAAATTAACTTAGTTATTTTATTCAAGATTTTTTCATCTGTAACTTACAAGCACCCATTTTTCTGTTTGAATTTGGATTATCACACGGTAGCCACAGTACTCGTTTTTTAGGATATTTTAGTTTGAATTGGCCGTAAATTGATTTTTTTTTTTAATACCCAACGCTTACGTAAAAACAATAACAACAAAGAAGATAATATAGAATGGGAATATAAGAACAAGACAAACTGATTGTATTTGTTTTTTTATCAGACATGGACTGATTAATTAATACGTTTGAAAATCCTTTTTCTGTCTTCTGAATAACCTTTTTAGTGAAAAGAAAATGATATATGCCGACCAAAATTTGATTTTATTAAAAGAAAACTCTAATCTTATTATTTCTATAAGCAGTGTATATATACATTACATAACTAATGTATTAGAAATCCTAAATCTTAATGGGTTATGAGACATTAACCTGATGGTTAATGGGCTGGTTACTAGAAGTCCATTTGTTTATAACATTCCCCCTTGGACAAGGTAACCGTGCCTGTCACAAAACCGGGATCTCTATAATGCGCTGGGGAACGTTGCCTCATTAAAACCTTACCAGGAAAACCCAATGGGAAAAACCATGGTGAAGGAAAAAGAGTACAACACGCATTACTCCCCCTGGTTTAGGCATCACTGTAGATCTCTAAGTCTACGCATTCCTATCTGATGAATGAGCTTCCGGAGTGTAGAAGTCGGTAATGATTTAGTGAATAGATCGGCTGAATTTTCGCTTGATCGGACTTGCTGAACCTTGACCTAACCATCCTTCTGTAGCTCATGAGTGAAGAAAAATTTGGGCAGAATATGCTTCGTCCGGTCACCTTTGATGTAGCCGTCCTTGAGTTGAGCGATACAAGCTGCATTGTCTTCATACATCACCGTAGGCTCCTTATCTTCGTCCATACCACAATCTGATCGGATATGCTGAGTCATGGACCGCAACCAAACACACTCTCTACTAGCTTCGTGAATGGCCAAGATTTCCGCATGGTTGGATGAGGTAGCGGCAATAGTCTGCTTCATGGATCTCCAAGATATGGCTGTTCCTCCATGCGTGAAAACATAACCGGTTTGAGACCGGGCACAGTGCGGATCTGACAAATATCCTGCATCAGCAAAACCAACTAGACCATCCTTGTTATGGTTAGAATAAAATAATCCCAAGTCCTTAGTACCTTGAAGGTATCTAAGGATGTGCTTAATACCGTTCCAGTGCCTTTGAGTTGGACACGAACTAAAGCGAGCTAAGAGGCTCACGGCAAAGCAGATGTCTGGTCTAGTGTGACTAGCCAAGTACATTAATGCTTCTATGGCACTTAGGTATGGCATTTCAGGACCGAGGATTTCTTCATCGTCCTTCTTTGCACCGAATGGATCACAATCCAATCCAAGGCTCCTCACAACCATTGGGCTGGTCAATGGGTGGGCCTGGTCCATATTGAATCTCTTGAGTACCTTTTCAGTGTATGCCAATTGATGCACAAGGATTCCGTCATTGACGTACTCAAGTTGTAATCCCAAACAGAATTTAGTTTTGCCTAGGTCTTTCATTTCAAACTCTGCTTTTAAGCATTCAACTGTTTGGGCGATTTCACCAGATGTTCCGAGGATGTTCAAGTCATCCACGTATACTGCTATGATTACAAATCCTTTGTTTTGATATTTTCTGATGAAGATGCATGGACTGATCGGATCGTTTTCGTAGCCTTCTCTGATGAGATATTCGCTTAACCGGTTATACCACATACGTCCGCTTTGTTTCAGTCCATATAAGGATTTGTTCAGCCTAATGCAGTGTTTATCACGAGATGCATGCTTATCTTTGAGCTAATACCATCTGGTAATCTCATATAGATTTTACTGTCCAGTGGTCCATAAAGATATGCGGTTACAACATCCATTAACCGCAAATCTAAGTTTTCACTTATGGCCAGACTTATGAGGAATCGAAATGTAGTTGCATCCACCACTGGAGAATAAGTCTCCTCATAATCGATTCTGGGTCTCTGTGAGAATCCTTGTGCTACAAGGCGTGCCTTGTATCTAACGACTTCGCCGAGTTCGTTTCTTTTACGCACAAAGACCCATTTGTTTCCCACTGGTTTAACATCGAATGGTGTCCTTAAGATCGGACCAAACACATTCCGTTTCTTTAAACTATTCAACTCCACGTTTATGGCTTCTTTCCATTTCAGCCAATCTGATCTACGAGTGCACTCAATTATAGACGTGGGTTCTAGATCGTCATGCGTGTGCTCAATCTCAAGTGCTACCTTGTATGCAAAAGTTTCATTGATGTCGACATCTTTTCTGTTCCATAGAGAACCGAATATGATATAATTGATTGAGATCTCATTATTATCAATCCCTTCAGAACCTTGAGTTTTGGCGTCCCAAACCTCTTGAGATGGTTCGATAGGGTAAGTATCAGCTGAGGTTGTATCCGTGTTCTCTTGAATCCCGGTTTCAATCATTGCACCTTTCTTTGATTTCCGGGGATTCTTATCTTTGGAACCTGGTGGTCTGCCACGTTTCTTACGTGCGTCAGACTCTGTAGCAACTTGACTTTTCCCTGAGGGGACATCTATTCGTACTGGTGCATTACAAGCTGGTATGTACGATTTGGTAACTTTGTTCGGGTCAGCAAAGGAATCTGGCAATTGATTAGCTAGCTTTTGTAAATGTATAATTCTTTGGACCTCTGAATCACATTCTAGAGTCCGAGGATCTTGCCATTGTGTGGATGTTTGATTCCATGAAAGTTCTTTTACCAGCTTGTCTGTCTCACCACCTAATCTAGGATATACCGATTCATCAAATCGGCAATCTGCATATCTGGCTTTGAACAGATCTCCTGTAGTTGGCTCGAGATATTTTATGATGGTGGGAGAATCAAAACCAACATATATTCCCATCCTCCTTTGAGGTCCCATTTTAGTCCTCTGTGGTGGTGCAATGGGTACATAGACTGAACACCCAAATGTTTTAATATGGGAGACGTCTGGCTCATGACCCGTTAGCAATTGGGATGGTAAATATTTGTGCTCACTAGATGGTCGTATGCGTATTAGTTCAGCGGCATGTAAGACTGCGTGTCCCCAAGCTGTGACCGGGAGTTGTGACCTCATGAGTAATGGTCTAGCAACCCATTGAATTCATTTAATGAAGGATTCAGCTAATCCACTTTGTGTATGGACATGTGGAACGGGATGTTCAACACTTACCCCCATGGACATACAATATTCATTAAACGCTTGGGAAGTGAATTCACCAGCATTATCAAGACGTATAGTCTTTAATGGGAAGTCTGGAAAATGGGCTCGTAATCTGATGATTTGGGCCAATAATCTAGCAAAAGTCTGGTTCCTAGAAGAGAGCAGACAGACATGCGACCAGCGGGTCGATGCGTCAATGAGGACCATGAAATATCTGAATGTCCCACAAGGTGGGTGAATTGGTCCACATATGTCTCCTTGGATTCTTTCCAGAAAGTTCAAGGTCTCTTTAGACACTTTGAGTGGTGAAGGTCGGGTAATCAGTTTCCCTTGTGAGCAAGCTGTGCACTTGAGGTGCTGAAGGAAAATACCATTTGGTTTAAGGCTGTGCCCTTTAGAATTCTGGACTAATTTACGCATCATGTTCGCACCGGGATGACCCAGGCGATCATGCCAAATAGTGTAATCTAAAAACCATGCTTTGATAGCAGCATTAGCCTCAATCATACTGACTTTAGCATGGTAAATGCCAGTAGATACGGCGGGTATAGTGATAATTATCAAAAACTTGTTTATGGCTATTTATCATTTTAGTGATAATTAAAAACTCTTTGTTCCCTTCATCCTGAGTTTCGATATGGAAACCATTCAATCTTATGTCTTTGAAACTCAATAGGTTTCTCTTAGAACTGGGTGAGTATAAGGCATCAGAGATGTCTAGATATGTGTCATTTGATATCAGCACATTAGCTTGGCCATGGCCCTCTATTAGGCTCGAACTACCCGCTATAGTGCTAATGTTTGCGGTTTTGATTACTAAATTTATGAAGTAATTCTTGTCTTTTAGAATGGTGTGGCTCGATCCACTATCCACAATGATATCCATATTGTCTTGCATATTTTTTCGCCAAATGGATTTCTGACCGGCTTATGATCTAGGAGCTAAAGACCACAGATATCTACTGGAAACTCCTGAGAATGATGGCCAGAAGGGAGGACGAATAGCTGCTACAATGGAGGAACCACCGTTTGGAAAGAATCACCCGCTAAGGTGGGACATCGCCGATTGTTTTGAGTCTTGAGGACGCGTCTGGTGTCGGATTGAGGAGCGGTTTTCACCACTAGATTCTTCTCTTCCAGGGCTTCAAAATGATATGTAGATCGCCTTCTAACTCCTTGTATTTTGAGAGATATGATCGTTTGAAGTTGAGCTTTGTGCTGATAACGTATTAAGGGAAAAACTCTAATCTTATTATTTCCATAAGCAGTGTATATATACATTACATAACTAATGTATTAGAAACCCTAATGAGCTATGAGACATTAACCTGATGGTTAATAGGCCGGTTACTAGAAGTCCATTTGTTTATAACAGATTTCGATTTTTGACTAGTTTGAGAATACAACCAATTAGGAAAGAAAGACAAAGCAGACCCAAGTGTTTAGTTTCGATTTTGCTTCCACTAAAAGTATTAGTTTTTTTTTTTATCTCAGAGCTGAGTTCCAAGAAACGTGAGCTTCTCTCTCTCTTTCTTGTTTTTTGTTTTTCGAAATTAAAACTCTTTCTTAAAATTTGCAACGTTAAACTTTGATCTGATGATTCTTCTGATCTTCAGATTTCCCGTAAATTCAACAATCAAACAAAACTCTTATACGTTAAATCATATTAACGTCTTATGTTTAATATTCTTAATCTTTTTTTTTCCATCATTTAAAAAGGATCCAATCATCAAATTCTGCAAGAAAATTAAAATGAGAATTGCTTGACATTTGTGGACGTTAGCCTTATTTGAAAAAGTTGAAAAGGATGTAATGTTCGACCCAAAAAAAAAAAAGGATGTAATAATGTAGTAGATAAGAGTTCGAGGGGCAAAATAGGAATAAACGGAATTTATCGAACACTCTCAAGCTTCTACTATAAAGCAGTGTTCGTCAACGATCTTCGCACTCTGTTCTCGTCGACTAGAGAGATTTTGATGAGATGGCGAGAATAGAGAAAAGTGAGATGGTGAAGCTGCCAATACTTGTAATGATGATGTCATCAATGGTGATGACGATGGTCGAGTCTTCGAGACCAGTACAAAGAGCCGGTGACGTTGACCGCGACGACTCTGAGATCTTTAGAAGATATTTGCTCGCTAATGGCCTTGGCGTCACTCCTCCCATGGGGTCCGTACAACTCTATATCTCTCTTGTTCTCTGTTTTTCTGGCTACTGATTGAAAGTTTCATTTTTGGTTGGTTTGAGCATGTTTTAAACTTTTAATGGTCGGTGAATTATACTATTGATTCCTAAATTTGGGGTTTTTGAAATTTGAGAGATGGGTTTCTGGTTCGGTTTTGGTGTGTGAGGGCTTGTGAATTTTGACCAAATTCGCAAAAGATTAGAGAAGATATAAGCTTGAATTTGATTTCCATGTTCTGAAATTATGTAATTATGCTATTTTTTATATCACATTGTTGTGGAGTTGTTGTCTCTCTTTTGTGTTCTTGATGATGTCTGAATGAAGTTCGATGTAAATGGTTTGCAGGTGGAATAGCTGGAATCATTTCAGCTGCAACATAAATGAGACAGTTATCAAAGAAACTGGTGAATCAATGTTTTTTACAATCATTGATTAATCTCGCTTCTGTTGTCTTCTGTCTTCTTAACTGATTTTCAATTCTGATGCTTGTAACAGCTGCTGCTTTGGTTACCACTGGCCTCTCTAAGCTCGGTTACAACTATGTTAACATCGGTAATGGCTCTAATGCAGTTTATACCATTCAGTGTGATTGCTTGAGGGTAAAATCTTCTCTGGAGATATTGTGAAAACATGATTGAAATCTTGGTTTTGTTTCTCAGATGATTGCTGGGCTGAAATTGCTCGTGACGACAAGGTATTATCACTTCTTTGTTTTGCTGGTTTTCATTTCTTGTATCTGCACTTTGCTTGCATTGATCTTGTTCAAATCTGTTTTTTTGCAGGGGAATCTGGTGCCAAAGAAGTCAACTTTCCCTTCTGGTATTAAAGCACTTGCGGATTATGTTCACAGCAAGGGCCTTAAGCTCGGGATTTACTCAGATGCCGGGTAAAACTCTCATTGCTTTTTTTTTTTTTTTTTTTTTGCTTCTAGATCATTATCATTTCAGCTGTTAAGAGGAATGGTTTTACAATTGTTTGGTTTACAGGTACTTAACCTGCAGCAAAACCATGCCGGGCTCTCTAGGCCACGAGGAGCATGATGCCAAGACATTTGCAGAATGGGTAGACATTCTTGTTTCCTGACATTTTTCTCTTCATTCTCATAAAGTAGTCCCTGACCTGATTTTCAGACAACAATTAATGGTTGTCTCAAATCTCAGGGAATTGATTACTTGAAGTATGACAACTGCAACAACGACGGCTCGAAACCAACTGTCAGGTATAACTTGATGATGCCAATAAAGTGAGAAAAATTATGGGATTCACATTCACCACCAATAATGGATGATGATACATTAATGCAGGTATCCAGTTATGACCCGAGCTCTGATGAAATCTGGCCGCCCCATCTTTCACTCCTTGTGTGAATGGTATAAAATCATGTTCCCTTTCATTGTGCCAAATTTGATTCGTATGTGGAAGAATCATGTTTTATTTCCTTACCAGGGGAGATATGCATCCAGCTCTCTGGGGATCTCCAGTAGGTAACAGTTGGAGAACCACTAATGACATCAATGATAGTTGGCTTAGGTAAGAATTAAAGACAAACATGGTGAGATGGTTCTTGTAAAACGCTGAAAATTCCTCATCTCCACAATGTTTTCTTCTTGTACAGTATGATCTCGATTGCAGACATGAACGAAATCTACGCTGAGCATGCAAGGCCTGGTGGCTGGAACGGTACCAGCTTTTGTGTTTTGCAGGTTTTGTCAAGGTTTTTATGAGAAAATTTATGACGAGTGGGTGACGTTTTTGGTTGGTTGCAGACCCGGATATGCTTGAAGTAGGAAATGGAGGGATGACGAAAGACGAGTACATAGTCCATTTCAGCATATGGGCAATCTCAAAGGTAAGTAAATACCTAAAACAGGGAAACCATCTATCTTTTAATCAAAATCTATCAAGCCTGAAACCAATGCTGTATATTATATATATCACAGGCTCCTCTTCTACTTGGTTGTGACATAAGAAACATGACCAAAGAAACAATGGAGATCGTCGCAAACAAGGAGGTCATTGCTATTAATCAAGGTACTTAATAGCCATCATAAAGACTCCTCAAATACCATGCTTGAGTATATATATATCTTAAACATATAAACGTTTCTTGTAGATCCACACGGTGTTCAGGCCAAAAAGTTAGAATGAAGTGATAATCCAGTTCAGAATTTACATTATTCTTAAGAAACAACGAATTTTCTATCTTGGTTAATAAGAACATGTATGGTCTTTCAATCCTAATCGAAAAGAATTGTTTGGTGTATAAATATGGGAAATGGAATCAGGTTTGGGCAGGACCATGTCAGGTTACAGAGTAGCTTGCTTCTGTGAACCGTGGAACCAACAAGATCTTCGATTACTGCTCTTTGGGATGATATTGAGATACCTGCAAATAGCATCGTTGAAGCCAGAGATCTATGGGAGGTACACATACATTGATACATAAACCAAAGACCACCGAAAAAGTAACAACATATTTTGTCTTTCTGATGAATTAATGTGTGTTTTGTTGTGATATGAGAACAGCACAAGACATTGAATCAAAAGTTTGTAGGAAACTTGACGGCGACAGTGGATTCTCATGCGTGTAAGTTGTATGTTCTCAAACCTGTTGCCTGAAATATATATTATGTAGAGAGAGAGGAAGAGCTACGTTGTAGTATTTCTCCAATTATTCTGTAAAAACAATAAGGGTTCGTCTCAAATTGGGTCTCCAGTTATTCTCCAATAAAGTATTCTACATTTGCCCAAAACGCGAAAGATTCTTAATCCGAAAATTAGTAGCGAAGGAGTTTGAAACGAAAGATGAGATAATGATGAAATCTGTGCTTGTGTTGTTGCGTACGACACACGTCAAATTACTTGTATGTTGGTCCAGTTGTGAGGAGGCAAATCTCTCATCATTTCAATAACTTAAGACTTTGCCTTAAAGCATACTCTTTCTACCTGTACGGCGTTATGAATAATTGTTGATTCTGATTTTCTTTTTATAAATTACATTATGTGATAGTGATATCGATTCATAGGTGAAAGATAGAGATAAATTTTGACCCAGCAAGAAACAGATTTTCAGATATTTTTAATATTTTTTGTATAAATCTAAACAGATCATAGTTTTCTGATTTTCTCTATCAACTACCACACTAAATTTTTGTGTATATCTCTTTATTTAACTATTTTATCTCATTTTTAGATTTTAATAAAGGTTTTTTTTTTTATCCGATATCTGTGTGGAACTATAGGTTGGGCTCATTAGAGCATTGAGCAACATCAGAAGTCCTTCTAGTGGTGTTTTAACAAAAATGGAGAGAAAAAAAAAAGTCCTTCTTGTGGTCTACTTTGATAATTTACGCATGCATAATATGTAACTATATAAACATAAAAATGTATTTCATACAATATTCGATTGTATCCACTAGAGTCCAATGCGATCATGACAATGGAAACGTAACCATTTATTGAAACGCGTGAAGAATTCTGTTTTACATTTTGGATCTAAACGGCACTATCAGAACTGAAACGTTTATCTATAACTAAAAGTGGGTCACTCCAAAAAAATCTTGTTAATTCGTCTTGGGCATTTGCCTGCAAAAATAGCAAGTTCACTGTGGAAACAAACATATACTACAAGTTCTTGAGCCTTAAGAAAATGTTTTTCTCAATCTTGGTCTTATACTACCGTTTTTAATTGTGATGAATACGCGTCCTACACGACAGCAACATCTTTTCCTCAATCTTTTTGCACTTTTTGCGTCACTACCCAAAATAATAAAATAAAGAAAATCTGTATTCCATATCTGAATTACCAATAATAAACCTAAAATTAAATTGAAAATGAAATTGGAAAACGAAAGATGACCCACTTGCTATTGAGACAACTAGGACACTCACAGTATGTGTATATATATACAGAGATCGGCATGATCCCACAGTGTTCCCACTTAAACTAACCATCAACATTTATTAGAGAACCCAATTTTTGATTTTTCTTGAATCTCTCTCTTTCTCACGTTCTGTCTACTCATTTATTGCCATTGAAGGAAATAAGCGGAAAAAGCTTGATCAAGCAATGGTTCTTCTTGGTTTCTTCTTAAGAATCATCACTTTCACTCTGTCTCTGACTCAGCTCGTTGATGGGTTTCAGAGTCGAATGTTGATGAACAATGGACTTGCTCTGTCTCCTCAAATGGGGTTCGATCCTCTTCATTTGTTTTCATTTCCTTGACTCACAAGTTATTTCACCTCTTATGATTTACTTTCTTATCAGATGGAACAGCTGGAATCATTTTCAGTGTAACATCAATGAAACTCTCATTAAACAAACCGGTGATTACTTATTCGATTATACAGTAAAATAAATTTGATGCAAGATTGATTGGTCATAATACTAATAGTCTTGAGTCTCTATGCAGCTGATGCAATGGTTTCAAGTGGTCTGTCTGCGATAGGTTACAAGTATATCAACATAGGTAAAACAAAGAAAGACATTTTTGGTTTTGGTTACTCTGTTTTCTCATCTCTCTGTTTTCTTATCATTGTCTACTGTTTTTCTCTGTGTTTATAGATGATTGTTGGGGTGAACTCAAGAGAGATTCTCAGGTTAAAGAAACACCAAAAGAAGAGAGATTTTTGTTTTTATTTAGTGTGTTTGCCAATCCAAGAACGAAACTGAGATGTGTTTTTGATGTATTTTACAGGGAAATTTGGTTGCGAAAGCATCAACGTTTCCTTCAGGGATCAAAGCTTTATCAGATTATGTTCATAGCAAAGGGCTTAAGCTTGGGATCTACTCTGATGCTGGGTATACATATACTCACAAGAGGCTTTTGTTATAAAACCCAAATCTTGGTTAATAACCTTTTAGTTGATCGTCGTTTTTTGGGTTTGTTTAGGACTCTTACCTGCAGCCAAACCATGCCGGGCTCACTCGGGCATGAAGAACAAGATGCTAAAACATTTGCCTCATGGGTATGTATGCATGTGGTGTGTGCGTGTTATGTCTGAGCTCAAATCCTAAACCTTGGAGATGTTTTTGTTATGGTGAATAATTCAACAGGGCATTGATTACTTGAAGTATGATAACTGCGAGAACACAGGGACAAGTCCAAAAGAAAGATACCCAAAGATGAGCAAAGCTCTGATAAATTCAGGAAGATCCATATTCTTCTCTCTATGTGAATGGTAAGAAGAAAAAGATAAGCTATGGTTTCTTCAGATAAATTTGCTCTGATGGTGAATCTGAGGTGTAATTGCAGGGGACAAGAGGATCCAGCAACTTGGGCAGGAGATATTGGTAACAGTTGGAGAACAACAGGAGATATCCAAGATAACTGGAAGAGGTTTCTGTTCTTTAACTGGCTTTTTTTGGGCAATTTTAATGAAACAAGAACTTGATTTATGATTATCTCTTCTACTTTTTTTGCGTATTAGCATGACAACGATAGCAGATCAGAACGATCGATGGGCATCTTACGCAAGACCAGGATCATGGAACGGTAAATAGTTTTGTGTAACTAACGGATGTGAGTGAATTTTATTAAGACCCGAGAAAGTAAGATCGGGTAAAACCTGAAACAGATCCAGACATGCTTCGAAGTGGGAATGGAGGTATGACTAGAGAAGAATACCGATCGCATTTCAGCATCTGGGCATTGGCAAAAGTATGAATAAAGTCTACCTGAAACCCCTAAACAGAGCATATGAGTGTTTCCCTACTCTAACAAATGTTGGATTTTCTTCTCTCTTGGAGGCTCCTCTGCTGATAGGCTGCGATCTTAGATCGATGGACAAAGTCACCTTTGAGTTACTTAGCAACAAAGAGGTGGTTGCTGTTAATCAAGGTAAATAATCCAAATAAAAAAAACTAACTACTTAAGAATCTGCTTATATGAAATCCAAAAAGTGGTAAGAGCTTGAGCTGTTTATGTTCAGACAAACTTGGGATCCAGGGAAAGAAAATCAAGAAAGACGGTGATCTTGAGGTATAATGTTCCTCATATATATGTATATGTATGCACATACAAATCAAGAACAACATGAACACAGAAACATAGCATATATGCTGCAATGCAGGTATGGGCAGGTCCGCTAAGCAAGAAACGAGTAGCAGTTATCCTATGGAACAGAGGATTATTAGCTGCAAACATCACAGTTCGATGGGCAGAGATTGGCCTTGAATCATCAGCTATTGTCAATGCTCGTGACTTATGGGCGGTAAATTATGATAAACCAAGCATGCAGTATGCTTTAGAATTCTGCTTCCCTAATTCATACCTGAAACCTTATCATGAACCATGACTATGATGAATGCAGCATTCGACACACTCGGGTGTTAAAAGACAACTATCTGCCCTAGTGGAGCCCCATGCCTGCAAAATGTATACTCTTACCAGACGCAGAGCATAAGATGCTGTTCTTCTAAAGCTACATCTCAATCAAGTGAAACTGATCCGTAGCAAAATACTGGAAGACTGTACCAAATCAACTCCTAGTCAATCTATGTATCATCAAAAATACTCAATCCAAATAACATTATAATAAGAAAAAGCTGAGTTTTGACAACTTCCTCATATGTCACTTTATAAGTAAAACAAAGAAAATCCAGATGTTCGCAAAGTTTTCATCTATGTATTCCAAGTTAAAAAGATACCACGACCAGGTTTATTTCATCTGCCGGCGACATCACATCACTGACAGTGGTCGGAATAGGTAAACGCAGAGAGAGTTACCACCCACTTGGAAGTGGCAGGTCATTAGCTTTCTCAGCCATAAACAATTCGAAATCATTGTGCCTAAACATGACCTCTCCGAGCCAGGAGGCAGCAGATTCTTCATGGATGTTTAGGTTCTCTTGATCTGAGGTCCCTGGCATGATCCAAACTTTTCCGGGGTGCTTGGAAGTCACTACTCCGAAAGCAGGGAGCACAACTTTTGCATCTTGAGGAAATATTTCTAAGAATCACAATGAAAACAAGTTCAAGACATCAAAAAGAGCTATAGTAAACTGTTTTTTTTTGTCTCCTTAAAGTTTGAAAGAAGGAAAATACCTGGAAAGAAAGGTGTCAATGAATGATATGTCAGGAAAGAGACAGATAATGCCTTGACGGTCCGCACTTCTGGAATTTGATATAGCGGAGACCTATAATCATGTAAAGTAAGTGTCATTAACTCGAACTCCAAAAACAGAATGTAGCTTAAAGAAAGGCTAAAATCTGAGAAGATCATACCAAGCAACAGAAAACCAGCTGCGATGAGAAAGATCAGAGCTTGTAAGACTATTCAATCCACGGTGCTTCTTAGCTAGCTCATCAACCTTCAAATGGAAAAAGAAAAAAAAAGCAGCTCCATTTAACATACCACTACAGAGGAGAAACAATAATGCTCTAAAGACAAATGTAAGCATCTAAGGGAAACACACAGAAAGAGCATAACAAACCTTTAGAATAAGAGGAGGCCTATCATCAAACCTCATTGTCTCATTGTATTGGAAATAAAGATGACAGTCCGTACCAAAGCTCCTAAATTTGATAAACGGGAGAAACACAGACATTACCAATGAATCATCAGAACACAAGGAGGCAATAAAAATGACCGAAAATCAAGACTGTGACCTTGAAGAAGATCCGCTTTTGTTCGTGAAGATTTGGATCGCGGAGAGTGTAGGAACATAGTACTGAGTGACATTCGATCTTGTGTGCTTCAGCGAAAGAGGAACTCCTACGGCGTAATTGCTCCATTCTTCGTAAGCAGACCAAATGTCTTTGAGGCCAATGTGAGGCTTTTTCACTTCTTCTGCTTTGTCTCTTGAAGAAGACGAACCGAGACAACTCTGCATGGAAATTTTTCTGAAATTAGGGATCGAATTTTATTCGGATTTCAACAACATTTCAAAAATCACCACCCAATTATATTATCCGGGTCCGTGGATCTGGATCCGAGTTCTTTTGGGTAACTGTAACACATTTAGCTCGTGTGGATAAACAATCTACTCTACGCATTAATCCAGAATGTTAACATGTAATTGAGTAGTTTTTATTTACTCTCCAAATTTAATTTTTACATTTTTCATACTTCTTTATTTTTATACATTTCCATGATTTTTAAAAACTCTATAAACATCTTTCAAAACAAAAGTAATTATTATTCCTATTTACCACGTTTTATCACTAATTAAACTCGTTATTTATCTCTCCATTTCCAATAAATTATGTCTTCATCAACTTTTTTTATGTTCTAAAACGACTTATAACATAATTTTTGTTGTTGTTTAAGGTTTTTAAATACATTATAACATCACTTATTATCTACATAAACATAACTAAACCAATACTAATATAAATAACATAATACAATCAAAAAACATATAAAGAAAAAACAAATTTTGCACAATGTAATGAGAATATCAATTAATTTGATAAAAAAATAAAATCTCTAAAAAATTATTATTTATAAAACAAAAAATATTATTTAATAAACTCAAAAGAAATTAAGTAATTAACGATACGTATTCAACGTATTTATCAATAATTATTTTTTCTGTCAAAATCACTTCTATGTCTGTTTTAATAAAATGCTTTATTTAAATATTTTTTAAACAATTTCTAATAAAATTTTCTTTTCTAAATAACTCAAAAATATTTAACATCAATATTCAACACATTTATCAATAATTTATATCATTATTTTGTTATATTTTTGAAAAAAATATATTTTTGAAGATTTCTAATTTTTAAATAGCTTTATTTACATTTTTTAAAAAAAAATCAAAGAAATTAATGATATGTATTTAACGTATTTATCAATAATTAAATTTTTATTTTTTGTTAAAATAATTTTTTGCCCTCCATTTTAGTAAGTTGTCTCCTTCAATTTTTTAAAACAACTTATAATATATCATATTTGCTAAATAACTCAAAAAATCTTAAATTAATATTCAATGCGTTTATCACTAATCTATATCATTATTTTGTTATTTTAAAAAAATATCTATTTTTGAAAACTTTTGATTTTTAAATGACTTTAATAACATTGTTTTTTTTTTAAATCAAAAGAATTAGCAATATGGATTCAACATATTTATCAACAAATCTATTACTTATTGTCCAAATCACTTTATACTGTCTTTCTTAATAAATTGCATTCTTGAATCTTAAACAGTGTATAATATATTGTCTTTTTATCAATTACTTAAAAAGTGTAACATTAATATTCAACACGTTTATCACTGACTATAACACTATTTTGTTATCTTTTTTGAAAAAAGTTACTTTTGAAGACTTTTGATTTTTAAATGGTGTTACTTATACTGTTTCTTTTAAATCACAGGATTTGACTATATGTATTCAACGTATCTATCAATAATTAAATCTACTACATTTTGTCAAAATCAAATTTTTACTGTCCGTTTTAATAAATTGCCTCCTTAATTTTTTTCTTACACAATTCAACAAGATTTAACATTAATAATCAACACGTTTATCATTAATCTATATCACTATTTTGAATAAATTATCTTGAAGACTTTTGATTTTAATATAAATTACTTTTGAAGACTTCTGATTTTTAAATGACTTTAATTGCATTGTTTCTTCTAAATAATCTGATGATACTACCTAAAACTTGATTCTACTTAAAACTTGATTCTACTTATTGAAATTGTTATTTTTCTAAGAATCTCCATGCCCACATTAGCCTTAAAGAAAAAAAAAGTATATTGTAGAAGGCGATTAGATGCTTAAGTTTGTAATATAAGATTTTTTCTTAAAATTCATCTAAGACCTCTCTTAAACTATTTGAAAGTGTGGTGTAATTTTTTATTATGCATATATTCGATATTTAAAATATTTGTGTATCCCCCGTATATAAATATACTAGAAGATGAGTTTGAATTCATTTGTAAAATGATTAGAAAAATATGGCATAAATAAAATTACCTGGGTATGCAAATTAACGGAGACATGTGGCGCAATATGTTCAAGAAAGCTCTCGAACTTAGATTTGCCTTTCTCACTCATTTTTTTTCCCTAAATTTGGCTAGGGTTCTCTTTTTTATGCTATTTTATTACATAAATATATTGTTCATCACAACCACAATATAAAAGTTATGTCTCACTCATGGAGGGGGACTATATATAGAGTAAAAGAAATGTGAAATTTCAGCGAAGGAAAAAGAAAAAGAAATATGAAAATTAAGGGGAAGAAAAGTGAAAAAGATATTTATTTATTTTTTCTTCAAAAAACATATAAGTACCAGCAGAGATTAGTTCAGTTAAATACGAATGGATTAAATAAGGTGACAGATATAACACTTGCCAAAATATGAAGGAAGACTTAGTAAATATACTTCATTTTTTAATTAACCTTCTCCCCTAGTTTTTTTTGTCACGAAGGCGGTTCTGAACTGGTGCCATTAGGCCCAAATAATTTTAAAAAATTTAAGGGCCCATATTTCTTTTTTTCTTTTATAACCAGGTAAACAGCATTTTAGAATGTTCACTAATCTACTGTTAACGATATATCTTCATCACTTCTTTATTTTCTTTTATAGCACACACATAAATAAAAAATTTCTACAAATACACAAACAACGATTTCTCTTCTTAACTCCAATCTAATATTTAATTTTCTTTTTTTTCTAAATCAAAATATTCACATATTCTTATAAATGTTGTGAGATCTAGCTCTGGTTCAAGATAAGAAGAGCTTTTCTCATGTTTATCTAGTTTTGTATATAAATATTATTTTTAGTTAATCTGTTATTTGACATTTCTACAGGTTCTTTCTCTGTTTTTGTTTGATATTCAACATCTTCAAATCTTCTAGAGTTGCAGGTTATAAACTTTTTTTTCTATTTAATTTCATCAAACAGTATTAGTAAATCGTTAGTAATCTTCAAAATAAAACCTCATAAACCAAATCTCTAAATCTAAGATTAGATTGTCAAATACCATATAGTGGAGTGTATACACGAGGAAGAGAAAAAAAAAAACGGTATTACAACGATTTTAACTCCCCAGAAAAATAAATATAAACTAATCAAAGAGTTTAAATTACACAGACCATCTTAAGATTCTTAACACATACAAAGTAAAGGTCATCCTCACATAATCAGTTTTATGGTTGTAGTTTAAGACAATCGTTTATTGTTCGCCATCTCCATTCTCAGATGATGTTAAATAAAGTTTTAGACATTCTCTGAAATTCGAACTGTTACGTGTATGTTTAAGAGTAGGTGGCTACGTTAATTACAATCAACTTTACGAAGAAAATTGAACAATATCTTCTGTGGAATCACACATCAGAAATTCAGAATATTTTCTACGATTAGAGGATAAGCTATTTTCTACGATTAGAGGATAAGCTATTTTAATCTGACTAAGCTTAAATAAACTATTTGAGTGATTTTCTGATTATTATGCTTACCAGTCCAACAGTGGTCTTTGATTCCTCTCTCACATTTAATTTTTGCTTAATCCGGTTGCTTTCTCTCCGACCACGTTTTTCTTCTTCTTTATCTTTGGCCTACAAAACAAACAAACACCAAATTAATCTGACTAAGCTTAAATAATTATTTGAGTGATTTTCTGATTATTATGCTTACCAGTCCAGATCTTTGACTCCTCTCTCTCACTGCATAGAGAGAAATGTAAGCTAAAACGAAAATCAAACGGATTCACTAATACGCGTTGTTTGATTTATTATCTCTTTAGTGCAGTTACTTTTGAATTTAAATCCATGAGAAACAATATCATAGAATGGTAAAGATCATCATGCGCATACTTATCCACTTTGTCTCGCTCCTGCAAACAAGCAACAAACAAACAGAAAATTTCGGAACCAATAAGTCAAGTTATTTGAATTAATCTAGTTGAATAAATCAAAGCTGACTCAGTAGTTGAGATTCTTTAGGAACTGATCTGTTGAAAACAAACAAGTTTATTTAAGAGACTTGTGAGACTTTGAATTGAATATGAAGATAAAACAGCTTCACAATTCAGTCTTCTAAATTCTTCTTTCTAATAACAATGTAAGAACTTACGTATGCTAGATAGTAACCTGTTATCTAGCATATCCAGAGTCGTGCCTAGAATAATAAAGACCTTAAGCATAGGTAATGAGACTAGAAACAAAACAAAATTATTGTCCAAGATTTGGTCATGAGATTGATCATTTATCCAATTTTACTAAACTATATAAAACAATAAGTATGTCAAATATTGGTTTTTCAAAATATTATGAACTTAGATAATCAAACATATGTTAAATGGGTTTGTATCCAAATCAACACGCAAAATAATTTAATGTATGAATATTGGTTTGATTTACCCAGTTTTTAGTTTAGTTATTTAAGAAAATTCATTAATAAATGACCTTAATAAATTTTTGTAGTAGATCAACTATGATGTTCATTGGATGAAGTTAATAACTCTTCAAAAGTTGTGAGGGAGAATTGTGAAAAATATTCCATCAATCTTGCAGCGTCGGATTTGACATTATAGCCCATCACAATTTTTTCGTGGAACATGCGGTAGGCATGACTGTGAATTTTCGAAATCCATTTTTTCCTCGAACTTTCTGTGGCTTCCTCGTATTTTCTAGGTCCAAATACGCTCGTGAATAAACCAACTCCCTCCAACGTATTAGACATAAACATGAACCCTCCAAACTGCAGAATTCAAGGTAAGCAATTCTTTTGTCGCTCATGTTTTAGATCTGAGAAATTAGGATTTTCTTTTTTCCAAAGTTTCGTGGCAATTCATTTATATATAAGATTAGTTTAATTGTTGTCTCATAACAAAGAAACTATGGAGTAAGTTAGGCCCAAGTCCAAACTTCATAAACCGATCAGCAGGCTGTGTTAGTTTTTTTGGGGTTCTCGGTTTGGTTTTGCTTTATTTAGTAAACTCATCTTAGGCCCAAGTCTAAATTTTATATTGTCAATCTCAAAAGTAAAAACTTTCTTCATTTTGTAAACTCATCTATGTAACTTTCATTTCACCATTTGCTTCAATCAAAATAAGAGCGACCTATATGCTATATGATTATTGATTCTTACCTGAATCTCAAATATTATATACTAGATAAGAATCCTTATGTATATGTGATTTTATAGTTCATTGTTTTATAACCCGTAATAAAACTATATAAACAAAAACTAAAAAATCATATTAGATCATTTGTGAAATAATGAATATCAAATTATCAAATTGTTTATATAGAAATGAAAATAGGTTTTTTTTTGTAAAATTAGCAATTCATTCTTTAATCTTATTAATCTACATGTGAAAACTTAAAAAAAAAAATCTTTCTTTTATTAACTTTATTTTTTAGATAAAATTAGATTTTTCATTTTTGGCCAAAAAAAAAGATTTTTCATTTTTTACTATATGTTTAGTAACATTACCTTTTATAGGCCAAAATAAGTAACAACAGTTGACATTCATCACTCCTCTTCGTTTTAAAATACAAATAATACACAGAAAAAGTGTAAAGCATGCACTATAGTATGTACTATGTCTATATCAAGCACAGCGTCGATTAATATGTATAAAATACACATGCATTTTCATGTTGTGTAGATCACATTTTCACATGGGTGACGAATAGATAGAACGGCAGGTATATTCTATGCAGGTGGGATCCAATTAAAACCATATTTTTCTTTATGTTTTATTTATTAATGGATTATTCAGAGGATTCAACATTTAGTATCTTAGCAAGAAAAAGAAGGTTATGGGATCAGAAAGTCACGATGCCAACTCAGAAAGCTCCAAAGCCACGACATCCCTTCTCCGTAAGTCAGCGTCTACTTTATTTCTTTTATTTCTTTTGTTTATATTTTTCCAAATAATTACAAAAACGGTTGGCGAAAAAAAAATTATCCGTAAATCTTTATGTTAAAAAAAAAACAAAAATGTAATTGAAATTAGTAAAGATATTTAAGCAATTGAAACTCTGTTAAAGAATATCGTTTTTATCCCCGTGATCTAACCAAAATTATTAGGAATTTTTATGCTTAAGAAATGAGAATATAAAAAACACACACAAGAAATACGTTTTTTGTCGTAAAAAAAAAAACAGGTATTTACAATTTACATTTGTCATGTTCATGTGTAAGAAACCAGGCAATATATACAAATACAAATCTGAAAAAAAAAAAAAAAGTCATGCCGTCTTGCCAACTTGTAGGTTAAAAAGCATGTCGGAGTCTAACGTGAGGGGCGTGTGATCATGTCTCACTTTTTTTTTTTCCTTCGATCTTCTTTATATTTCTCAAAGCAGCCAAACGCATTGCTTTACCCCTAATCCCCAATAAAGTTTCAAATGGAAATATATTTTTTAACAAAAAAAATTAGCTTTCTTTCATTCTTGCTGAATTGTTGATGACCCATTCATGACTCATCCTACAACAAGGTTTCAAAAAAGATTCCTTATCTTCTTTTTCTTCATTGCCCTTTAAATACCTTAGGCCTGCACCAAACCATTTTCAACAATAAGCTTCATTTTACAAATCACACAACATCAAGATCAATTACGCAATCCCCTGAAGATGAACATGAGCAGCAGGTTTGAGCAACAAGTCATTTGTTTTCCGGCGGGAAAGACTACTCCGATGGGTTACTTACCTGATCCGGCTTCGATTAACAAGTTCTTGGTTTCGACTTCTTCCAAGAAATCTGAACAAAGTTAGTACCTTCTTTATAATTACTCTCTTCCTATGATTCTTCCTTTTTCCCCCTGCAAAAAATGAATTAAGACTAACAAGGACTGTTTTCTTTTGTTTCTTTTTTGTTATAGGCAACGGAATAAAATCGATTTTTAAAAGGAAGAAAACTAATGGTTTCACCAGTGGAGCTAGAGACCAGACCAAGGTAAGACCAAAGCTAACCGAAACAGTGAAGAGAAAGCTATCTTTAGGCGCTAGGATTCTTCAGGTCGGAGGTTTAGAGAAGATCTATAAGCGGCTCTTCAGAGTCAGTGAAGATGAGAAACTACTCAAAACTTACCACTGTTACTTGTCCACTACGGCGGGTCCCATCGCAGGGCTTCTCTTCGTTTCTTCCAAGAAAATGGCCTTCTGCAGCGAGAGATCCATAAAGGTGGCTTCCCCTCAAGGAGACATGATCAGAGTTCACTACAAAGTGTCAATTCCTTTGTGCAAGATCGAGAGAGTGAACCCAAGCCAGAACACCAAGAAACCGTCACAGAAGTACGTGGAAGTAGTCACGGTTGATGGTTTCGACTTCTGGTTCATGGGTTTCTTAAGCTACCAGAAAGCTTTCAATTGCCTTGAGAAGGCTCTTTCTCTGAGCTTTGAACACAGTGAAGAGCAATAAAGCCACGCTTTCTGAGTAGCTTTGGAGTTTAGAAGATAGACAATACTGTACATACGTACTTCTTTGTTTCTTTTACATTGTAGACAAGATCAGATCAATATGTTAAGCGAATCATATATCTTTGCAAATCTCAATTAACTCAAATGGAAACTCTACAGGGCTCTGCACAAGAAACCATTTCCTTGTGCTTTAAAAAAATGTACAGACTATAGAGCAATGTGCCCAGAAACTTCCAATGAAGAACAGAGTACACAAGAATCATTGCTTACTTAAAGGCTAATTGAGTATATTCACAAGTCCTTACAAGACTCTAAGATTCTTAAGCTCAATGTTTCCCTGAGTAAATAACAAGAGAGGTGAGCAGTCTTGAGTTATATTCGCAGGAACCAAGATTAAATTAACCGAACTCAACACTCAAGAGTTTCGACTCTTGAGACCAATCTGAATTACAGAGTCGTAGCTCCTCGATTTCTACATGGATATTTGATGCATCAACAACTACGCTACAAGGAATTGAAGGTTCATCTCCAACTAGAAGCAAACATGCCTTGTAAATTCCGTTCCCAGGCGGTAAATTAAGCATTGATGATCTCGGGACTGAGATCCTCCTTTCATTCAGCATATCTTGAGTTCTGACTCGCAAGATAAGACGATGTGCCCTGCCAAGGAGCTCTGCTACATAGCTCATATCTCCCGCCGCAAGAGCTTGGCGTACACGTGTAGATGAGACTTGCCCTCTGTCTTTTGAGTCCCCTGAGTCTATCTTTCCTGAGTCTTGCTTCTTGTCCATCACAGAGCTTATGATGTATGCACCGATACCATACTCCTCGCACAGCCTCACTAGCTCCGAGGCATCACCCGAAGCTTTATATCCAAAACGGTAATTTTCCCCTGTGTGGAAAAGGTTTTTGCAAAACAATTTATTTAGTGTTCTCAACATGAAATGGTAACACGAAGAAAGGCGTAAATTGAGATATTTCTTAAAGTTCACCTGCCACAACTCCGGAGACTCTGAGCTCCTTTGACAGCTTCTCCACAAACTGTTGTGGGGTAAGATGTCGCACGCTGGCAAATTCTATCTCGTACTCAACCGGTGCTCTGTTCCCACAATATGAGGCCCAAGAGGTAAGCACCCGTTTTCGATCACATTTGGCCACTATTGGAGCCCTGCTTGTACAAAATTTATTTGTCAGTAGTCTACAGGGGAGAGAGAGCACAAATTCATTTTACAATAAAAAATCAAACTTGATCAGCAGAATCATAAAGCTATCTCAAAGAAAGGAAGGCATGAATGATACTAGAGTGGGGATATTACCTAGGCTCCCAACCGAGTACCTCTGCCATTCCAACAAAAGACAATAGATACGGAGTTCCAGCTCTGGAAGCTTGAATCGCAAGCTCTCGATGGCCAATATGAAGCGCATCAAATTTCCCTAGAGCAACAATACCTCCTGCAACATGAATCTAAAAAATGATGACATAAACTAAGAGATCTACAAATATGCACATCGAAGAAAGGCATTGCAAAACCATCGGACAGTTACGAACATCACCATATATGCTAACATCTGATAAGATCCATCATTCGCTCGAGTTTCTAGCATTACACCTATGCTAAGTATTGTATAGTTTTATCATTTAAAAACTAGAAAAGTGTGACTTTTTATAGGAAGCAGTTTGGATTTTAGGAAAAAGTTTGAATGAAAAAGCAACGAGGATACCTGCAATTGGGAGTAACCCTTCAGCTGGAAGCTCAGGATCATCTTCTCGCTGGCTTTGGAGGAAGAAAACAAACATATAATGAGAATTAAAAAAAGACACCAGCTTTTACATCAATCAGAGACTAAAGACATAACTTCAGCACAGATCCAGATTTCAAAATCCGCAGCTGCAAAAGACCAAAATAACAGCTAGATTTCTAATCCCAATCTATGAGTAGAAAATAACCTGAAACAATTGTGAAGAACTGGGATTTCTCCGGAAGTCCTGCAATGAAACCCAGAGGAAGAAATCATCCGTTGATGCAATCTATGGCTGAAATGACCGTTCGCCATAGCCAGAGAAGGCCTGAGAAAGAAGGAAGACAGCTGCACAATCTTAGCCCCACAAAACCCTAAACCTAATCCAATCGATGAGTGATGATGGTGATCGGACAAATGCTGCAAGACACGCGAGCCTCCGCACAACATGGTCCCGTCTCGAGATTACAGATCGGCCAAGCTCGCTCTCTCGGAGACTCTTGGCCGGAGTTTAGCTACCACTGTGGTAAAGTTTATGTTTACAAGCCATAACACTCGGACTCAGCTAGAGTGTTCGGAATATGCCAATTTTGTTTCGTCTTTCTATTTCAGGACTTCGCTCTGCTAAACCAAATCTACCGACCGATTTCAAACCAAAATTTAAATCGAAACTTGAACCAAATTCGACCTTGAGAATCAATTTAATTCAGTCATGAATTGGATAACCAAATACAAATACTCACCAGTGACAGGAACTTTATCTGAAACATGTAATAAATAATCCAAACTTGAATTGTTCATCACTGATTCAATGTTTTAGTTTACAAAGGGAACACCGGAAGGAACTTTCTGGGCATAATCCAAATACTGGCTCCCAAAAAACTGCTTCAAGTAATGCTCTTCATAAGGTATCCTATCTGCAAAGAACCGCCACACCACAACCGCAAACGCAATCGCGGATATGGGATTACACAGCATCACTTGCGTTCCAACAGACCAAACGAGAAACCCCGAGTAACTTGGATGCCTCATGATTCTATACACTCCTTTCGTCACAAGCTTATGGTGCTCCTCCCGGCGAATCTTTATAAGGTGCGTGAACGATCTACCTGCTGTGATTATCGCGGTTTTGCGGACGCTTTCACCGAGAACAATCATCATAAGACCGAAATTGCTGATCCACCAGTGTTGTTTCAGCCCCGGGAACAGAACAATCTCGATTAGGTACTCGAGAACTGAGATTAGCATTGCTAATGCATAGTGTTTGGTGATCAAAAGTGAGCTTAAAGTTACTCTCGATGGTCCGTGATAGGCTATGGCGAGAATGTATTCCGATGTGTGGAAGAAGATTATCGCAGAGAACATTTGAGTTAACTGTCTGAAACCGGTATCACTAAAGATCTCTGTCATTGATCCTTTACAAGAAGTAACTCAGACCTGAAAAGCAAGCGAGAAACAGACCCGAGAAGATGTTATTCGGTTCCATACACATCCGAGAAAATCCAAGAAATATCATTTTCCTATGAAAAGATTAGACAAAGATGTAAAGCATTCACAAGTCACATTTACTAATGATTTCTTAAAACCAAAATCTCAAGAACTCTAAGCTCAATCAATGCAACAAATCAACCTCGCCTGTTTATTAATCAGCTTAATTCTAAATAGATATTTCTGTGGCATCAGCCTCAAGATCCTCCTACCGGCTTTTTTTCTTTTTAATGTTCTTCTTCACACTAAACTACAATCTTCTTAATCCAACAATCGACTCATGATATGCTTTCAACATACAGTTTCAACATGAAAATTGAAGATCAAAGACAAGGGATTTATATGAATAGATACGTATAACTGAATAGTTATGGCTTTCTTCTTTCTATACTTCCTAGCATTCAAATTTCACGGATTTTTTCAGAAATTTCTACCACAAAGTTCTTCACTTGGGTATTTGTCTTTCTTCCTCATTTTCTGGAAATCAATAGTCAAAAATCCAGAAACGAAAAATTGAACAGAAACCCAAAATAGCCACGAGGATCTGAGACATACCCACTTGAAATGGACGTCTGCTGCGAGCCTGGGAGGGATTGTGCAGGAAAGTCTGGAAATTTCCCGAAACTGACAGTGAGAATGGCGTGGACTTTGACGGAGGGAAGCAAAGATTACACCTTTACCTTTTATTCTTTGCTCTTAGGATAGGAAAGGATTTACTTTTCTAATCACGGAGATCTCGTCTGTTCGATTTGATGTCCCTCCTCGAGAAAATAATCTTGTCTGATTCATGGATGTTCGTTCGTTCCGGTCAAACTCGAATGAGAAAAACGTTGCAGCAAATCCAGAATGTCAAGAACCAGGCTTTTAGGGCTACCGGTTCGGGACGGTCTGATCTTATTTTACCCGGGTCGTATAGGTGGGTTTCTCTTTCTAATCTGCGTAAATCGGATCATAATTGGCATCTAGATCCTGGTTTCTCAAATCGAACCAAACGGTTTGTGCCGGTTCAAATTAGTAACGATGGTTTATTTTCTTAAATTAGCATTTTCGTTTGCAACTTTTGAGTAATTTTAAAGTTTCATGACTCCAACAAACTTGGGGAGACAAAATTCAGTGGTGTTGCATGCATCCAGTATTTTTTCATCCGGTCGAACTGGTTAAACCGCTTATATCTTCGGTCAAGATCATTAACAACATTCCTATTTATTGTTTTTTTTTTGTTTGGTGAAAGACTGAAAGTTTCCAGAATCGTTGCAATAATCATTTTACAATTCCACCAAGCTTATACAACACTATAGAAGTTTTTACCAAAAAGAGAGCAAGCACAAAGCTACACACCTGCAACACATAATAAATTCAAAAGACAATAAGGACCACTTCACAAGAACTTAGACAAGTACACATATTTGTTTTTGTTTTCTTATCTTCAATTCTCTTTTATACAAGTCACGAGAAACGTTCAGAATTACAATGCTTTGACCAGCGAGAGATCAATAGTTCGTGTGGGCACTGGGCTCAACTTAATTCATTGACGATAACCATTGAAGGATTCACGCACAAAACGTACAAATAGCTTTTTTTTGCTGTTCTTTATGGCGTTTTTAGCTCTGTCTCTCTCTCTCTCTATCACTCTCGGAAACAAATTTTGAGACCAAATACATTCTTAAACCCTAAAACCCTAATCAAACAAGCAATACGCTTCAAATTAATTGAGACTGAGCAACAAAAACCCACAAATTAAGTACTCTCTAACCACTTTAGAAGACATAAATCATAGGAATTTCTTCTATACATACCAAATATCCCTAATCAAAGAGCATAAAGGCCAGACCTTTTTTCTTCAACGACGGTCATCCTCTTCTCTTCGACCCGACCCGGTAGCTCCACCCGATAGAGAAGCAAGCAAATTGAGATGATGACCCGGAAGATAATTCCCCACTCTAGCTGCTGAAGCTTCACCCATTGCAGCCGCGGCGGCGGAAGCTTGCTGTTGTTGTTGCTGTTGCTGGTGTCGGACGAAGAGTGTAGCTGGTTGTTGCTGCTGTGTAAACAACATCTCCGGCGGAGCTCCGGCGGCAAAGCTCCATACTTGACCGAAATCAGGCCTCGCCGGAACCGCCCAAAAGCCACCACCTGAACCACCACCACCAATTAACGAAGCCCCCATTGTGTGTCCCACTGATAATCCTCCTCCTACTCCTCCTCCGCCGCCGCCGGAATCTCCCTCCTCCGCTCTCACGACGCGTTTTCCGAGAGTGAAGGGAGAAGAAGTGGAGAGTGAAGCGGTGGAGAAACTCGCCGGAGTTGTGCCAGTTCCTGTGGCGGCTATGATAGAAGGCTCGGCTTGACGGAGGAGCCACTCAATGGTTTGGCCGTCGGATTTGTGACCTAACTCTCTGGTCAATTGAAAAACTCGAGCTGCGCATATGATTGGCATACGAATCCGTCTCCCTCTTCCGTCTACTTTGCTGTGTCGATCCTTAGACGGTGGTTTCTTCACGGCGTTAAGAGATCCTTTGTTAACCGTTGACGACGTCTGCTCGATGATGACGCCATTAGTTCCTGCTCCGTCGTTGTTCGTCATGGAGGGTCGACGGCGGAATTTAGGGTTTTGTTAAGCGGGGATTTCTCTATATCTCTCTCGAGTAGGAGGAGAAGAGGAAGAAGACGGAGGTAAATGATTTTTAGAGAGTAGCAGGAAGCTGGTGGAGACAGGAAGGAGGGCACATGGCTTCGGGGGTCCCACACAGCTCACTTCTGTGAGGTTTTTTAAAAAATGTTTTTTTTTTCCTATCCTGGCGAACATTTTTGTCCGGACGAGTTTGAGTTCACGCGCTGACTCCGGTGTTGACTGTAGTGTAGGGACCACGTCACCGGCAGGAGAATTTAAGTTTTAGGTTTACAATTAAGGGTCCCATCTATTTGGTTGCTGGAATTATTGCCGAAACTTTTAATCACAAACTTAATCTCATACCGGTTAGGTCGGTTATCAGTTTTTAATCCGCTTTACTCGCATATATTCCGTTTTCGTTCCTGTTAAAATACAATGCATATTCGTCTAATAAAAGCTTGAAGTGAATTTGAACTTTTGAAGTGAGTATTTTGTATTGAAGAATCTGATATGAATGTTGACAACTATTACGGATTAATGATTTTCCTTTTTCATGATCATTTTAAGCTTTTGAAATTAGCAGACGGGAAATATACTGTTCCAGGAAAAAAAAAAAGGATTAAAAAGAACTCGTTCTATGTCATCTATTTAAATGATGTGAAAAAAAAATTAGTTTGCAACTTAAACAAAAGTTAATTCCAAATTTCAGATTCCATGATTGTTGAAAAGATAGTCGTCGACTTCGAGGGAATCTCAGGGGGTGGAATAAGAGACGATATCAATGAGGAAATTGATTGGTGGGTAGACTTTACACACACACTGATTACGATTTTTGATTTTCTTACGATTTTGTTTATTTTTTTAGTTTCGCATTATGATTTAGAGGTCTTCTTTTGAGTTTCTAAAATAATTAGCTCCAATAAAGACAATTACGCGCTTTCTGACACTGGTTTACTACCCTTTGCATTCGTGTGTGCGATTTGAATAATCATAATCATAATTCTGATTATCACTACAGATATTTTTTAAAAAATCATTTCAATCATTTGGAGCGTGACTCCAAAGTAATAGTAATGTTCACCTGGCAAATACCCACGATTGTGTGATATGTCGCTGCTTCGAGATATGTTTATTTAACTCGCGACAATAATTTATCTACCTTCTTTACGATATATGGACTGGACATTTTTCTCTCATTCACGTTATACTATATTTTCGTGTCAATATTTGTTATGATTAGGAAACCCCTTTAACACACAAATAAAATGAAATGATTAATGTCGTGCGTAGCAACAAGTTATTCAATTATAATGACTTGATTATTGATAATATGTCGTTGTTAACATGCCCATACAATCATGAGTCCGGATATCCTTCTCATATTTTTTTTTTAACAATGATATCCTTCTTTTTTATTTCTTTCTTCAAATGATATCCTTTGTTAAAAATGATATCCTTCTCATTAAAGTACACCCAACTAATATATTTTTAAAAAATAACAGATTACAACACGACAAACTGCGAGAAGTTTTTTTATCCCAAAAAAAAAAAACTGCTAGAAATCTTCAAATAACGACTCACCAGTGGGGAACCAAACTAGAGGCATATGCATGGATACATTGTTGTGACATTTAGTTGATATGAATCGTATGCATGATTCAAATTCAATTATAGTAGTTAGTAAAAAAAAAATGGTTCACAGAAAAAAATACTTATCCATGACCGGCTCTTTTTAGAGCTATATTGAGCGATTAGTTGGGACTACCTTAAATAAGCATATAGTAGGAGTATATGTGTTAAATGATTAGTTATGGTCTTATGGGGTAGCTTGATAAATGCATCGATAATTAGTAAATTTGAAACCCTCATTGTTAATGATCACCAAATACCAAACAATGGGGTTTTTATTATTAAATAGGTCTACGAATCATTTGACAATTGTCAAATGTGTTAAACAGCTGGAGCCCATTCTCGTTTTTTAAATATATGAGTAATTACTATAATTATAGATTGTGGACGAAAATACAAGAAAGTGACACTTCTGCCAAAAGAGAATCAACTCGTGTTTCATACAACCATCTTCCTTTTTTTTTCCTAGTTTTCACTTGGCGATGCCTTTCTAGATTTTCTTCGCTTACTCACCAATCAGAAGTATCCACGTCATCTCATATTTAAGACTGAAAGGATCGCTTTATCTTCTTCCATTGCTGAAAATTTCTTCAATTAGACGTTCCGAGACCAAAACTGCGATCATCGATTAGTCCCTTTTTTTCCCCATAACAATAACATGAAATATTGATTATAAATTATTAACATTTTTATTGTTACTAACATCGATTGAACTTTTGGGGTTCGATTTTGATTTAGTCTTTTTTTTTTGTCACAAATAAAAAGGATTCAGTCTATTTTAAATTGAAATATGTCAACATTCCGCAGCATAGACCCATCTAGTGGGTTGGATTTACGAACAAAGTGTAAACGCCAAAAACATAAGACTTTTTTTTTTCTTTTCGTTTTTGGCGTTTGCGTTTGGCGGTTGCGGATTGTTTTGATTAAAATGTTAAGGTTGTAGATTCGTATTAAAAGATATACACGAAAACTAAACACAGACACAAACAAATGGAACCTAAAAGAACCAGTTGGGAAATTGTTACAAACAACTCATAAAGGAACTGGTTTCAAGGCTCGCTTGGAATGACATTAAAGAAATGGTAAATCTCTTCACCGTCAACGACTCCGATCTCTGTGGAACAAGTTGAGCAAATGACCGGGTTAAGTCTTTCATTATCTGCAGAACCAGTTTCTTGCTTCTCGGAGTCTCTCATTCGTTTACCAACTTTTGAGGGTACTGCACTGTGTTGTAAAACTTTGTCTTTATCTACTTCGCAATTGACCACGAAGACTGCCCTGAACTGTGTCACATACTGCTCGTGCCTGCAAAAGAATCCAAATGTTTGATTAGGAAAGTTTTGCTGACTTGTCTCAACCTGATTTCCGCAGCTAATAGTTTAATAGACTTCCTATGTCGACAAGTTGCTTCACACGGCCACAAAAAATGCAAAATGGGATTGGGAAAATGGTTGAGAATAGAGATTCTTTAATTTAAACAAGCCTTGAATCGTTTTTGGATCCTATCAAGATTGTCATTCAAAAACAAAATCTTTGGATCTTGACATTTTGACAATGGTCCAATGGTCCAAAACATCCAAAGTTACTATCAGTCTATTCTCCAAGAAGCAAACACAAGGGTGGGGATTGATTGACCCTAAACCAAAGACCAACAGCGAAGGACTAAGCAACAATGAGAGAAATCAAAGATTCAATTTTTTTGTAATGAATCAAAGATGTTAAAAGAGAAAATGGGAATCACCTTTGACACTCTAAGCAGACAGTGGTGAAACAAGCAGGACAGCTAAGTACAGCATCAGAAGTTCGACCATCTCTTTTCTTAACCATCCATAGCTCATCTTTATCGTCGAGATCAGAATCATAGAATTCTGGTTTGATGGAGTAATCAATCTCATCGTCGTCCGAAACTGTTAACAAGAAGGAGGGCACAAGAAGCAAGGCTCATCAAATCAATCTATTCACAATAAAATTTTATTTTCTTCTATTGAAGATTCCATAACAAGAGTGATCACCATATCCGAAACCCATGACAAATATACGGAATAAGAAACGAAACAACAAAGGAAGAAGTCGAATCTTCCCGCGAATGAAAAGAGGGCGTAAATAGAGTGAAAGGGAAAACTAAGGTTATTATCATACCCGTTTTCACTGAATTAGACGGAGAATCCATGGTTGCTAGATGATCTCTTCACTAGTTGCTCAGCCTCAAGCACCGGTGGTGTAGCCAAATCGGAGATTCGCCGACGAATGAGATGACAAACTGTAAGTTTGAACCTAGTAGTTCTAATGCCCAAGAGATTAGTTCAGATGAAAATGAACATTGGGCCTTTAGAATTAAGAAAAGCCCATTTTGGTTATATAAGAATACTCTGTATTATGTTAATTTTTTTTCTAATCAGAAAGAATGGAATGTATGTATGGTTTTTGTCATAACAAATTAACAATTTCTAATTTAGTTTTTTGTTATCTTCAATAACAAGTCGCATTGTTTGCCTTCCCCTAAACAAAATGATATGTAAAATGTAACTAGTAGAAATAAAGAAGTAATCTAGAAATAGAATAGAGATAACAAAAGAAAATTAAATTGTTAGTTTGTTTTCATCAACAGATCAGAAAAATGCAGAATTCACTCGTTATAAAGAAACGAAATTGTTAGCATCTTGTAAATTTTTTTTTTTCATTTGACTGTTAGTCTGTTACACTAATTTCCTTGTTTTTGTTGTTCTGTTTTTAGCACTCTCTGTTTTTTTTTTTAATTTCGATTTAATTAAATTTGGAAAGAAAAACTCTCCAATTTAATTTTTCCAGTTGCTATGTTTTCTTTCAGATGTCGACGTCGTCTTTTAAATTAATTTTATTTCTGTTGTACAAATATTTGCGATTAGAATCAAAATTCGAAGAAACTTGCTTCAGGTTGACTCTGGTCAACTCAAAATCGCGACTGCAGAAGTCTCGTTTCAAAACTGAAACTCCCAAACTGCAGAAGCTGCCAAAAAACGGGGTTTTAGAAAACAAAGCACAGACGAAAAGGGTTTTTGGTCTGATCGTTTTTTCACTCATGGCCTTCTCGAGAATCGCTCTTATTTACCAGCGATTCTCCAGACAACAACGCCAACTTCACAGACCATTCACCACGAAGCTAGATAACAGTAGATTTCTTCCTCCCAATCAATCCAAGCTTGCTCAAAATCTAATTGCAATCTTCACAAGACAACCCTTTTCGCCTGACGACCCTGAGCTGCTGAGACTCGCTCCAGAGCTCAACACCAAGGTAGTCGAAACCGTGTTGAATGGATTCAAAAGGTGGGGTTTGGCTTATCTCTTCTTCAATTGGGCTTCTAGACAGGAAGGTTATAGAAACGATATGTATGCTTACAATGCTATTGCTTCTATCCTATCACGTGCTCGACAAAATGCCTCACTGAAGGCTTTGGTTGGAGATGTTCTGAGTTCTCGCTGTTTGATGTCCCCTGGAGCGTTAGGGTTTTTCATTCGTTGTCTGGGTAATGCTGGGCTCGTGGAAGAGGCAAGTTTTGTTTTTGATCAAATTAGAGAGATGGGTCTTTGTGTTCCGAATGCTTATACCTATAACTGTCTGTTAGAAGCATTTTCTAAGTCGAATTCGAGCTCGGTTGATTTGGTTGAGACGAAGTTGGAGGAGATGAGGAATTGTGGGTTTCATTTCGATAAATATACTCTTACACCAGTTTTGCAGGTTTACTGCAACACTGGCAATTCCGAGAAGGCGTTAAGTGTTTTCAATGAGATTCATAGTCGAGGCTGGCTTGATGGACATATTTCAACGATCTTGGTTGTATCATTTTGTAAGTTGGGTCAGGTGGATAAGGCTTTTGAGTTAATTGAGATGCTCGAAGGACTCCATATTAGTTTGACCTATAAGACATATTGTGTTTTGATTCATGGGTTTGTAAAGGAGTCTCGGATCGATAAAGCATTTCAGCTGTATGAGAAGATGCGTCGGATGGGTATGAACGCTGATGTTGCATTGTATGATGTGTTGATAGGAGGACTTTGCAAGCATAAAGATCTTGAGATGGCTCTAAGTTTGTATTTGGAAATTAAGGGGTCGGGAATTCCACCTGATAGAGGAATACTTGGGAAGCTAATACGTTCATTTCCTGAAGAAAGTGAATTAAGTCGGATAACAGAAGTGATTATTGGAGATATAGACACAAAATCTGTGATGCTTCTTTACAAAACTTTGTTGGAGGGGTTTATTCGGAATGATTTGGTGCATGATGCTTACAATTTTGTTCAGAACCTCATGGGATATCATGACTCAGATTGTAAGTCTGAGATTATTAAGCTTCTAAAGGATCACAATAAAGCAATTCTCCCAGATTCCGATTCTCTTAGCAGTGTGATTGACTGCTTGGTCAAAGCTAATAAGGTGGATATGGCAGTGAGCTTGTTACATAATATAGTCCAGGAAGGCCTTTGTCCAAGTCTTATGACGTACAATAACATAATTGAGGGGATGTGTAAAGAAGGAAGGTCAGATGAAAGCTTGAAACTCTTGGCGAAAATGAAGGACACGGGAGTTAAACCAAGTCAATTCACACTTAATTGTATTTATGGTTGCTTGGCTGAACGATGCGATGTTGCAGGAGCACTCGAGCTGCTGAAAAAGATGCGTTTTTATGGATTTGAGCCATGGATAAAGCATTCGACCTTCCTTGTCAAAAGGCTTTGTGAAGATGGGAGGGCCGTTGATGCTTGCAAATACCTTGATGATGTGGCTGGAGAAGGTTTCTTTGGTCACATGGTTGCCTATACTGCTGCAATTGATGGTCTCATAAAAAATGAGGGAGTAGATAGAGGTTTAGAGTTATTCCGAGATAAATGTGCCAATGGTCATTCACCTGACGTGATTGCATACAGTGTATTGATAAAAGCTCTATGTAAAGCATGTCGAACTACTGAAGCTGATAACCTGTTTAACGAAATGGTAACGAAAGGACTAAAACCTTCTGTTGCTGCTTATAACAGTATGATAGATGGATGGTGCAAGGAAGGTGAGATTGATCGGGCCATGTCTTGTATTAAGAGGATGCATGAGGATGAGAAAGACCCTGATGTTATCACTTACACTAGCTTAATCCATGGCCTATGCGCCAGTGGAAGGCCCAGTGACGCAATCTCTCGTTGGAATGAAATGAAGGGCAAAGATTGCTTTCCGAATATAATAACATTCATGGCACTTATTCAGGGTCTTTGCAAGTGTGGGTGGTCAAGTGAAGCTATGGTTTATTTTCGTGAGATGGAAGAAAAGGAAATGGAGCCTGATTCAGCTGTGTACTTGTCGCTTGTAAGCTCTTTACTATCAAGTGAAAACGTCAGTGCCGGGTTTGGGATATTCAGAGAAATGGTTCATAAAGGAAGATTTCCAGTTTCAGTAGATAGGAACTACCTGCTTGCTGTTGATGCTACAAATAAATTTGTGGAAGACTATAGGACATCATGTTATCTTACAGGTCTAATAAAAGACGGTAGATTTCCTGTTGTAGAGTCTGTGAGTAGAAAATGAAGCACTAGTTGAAACAGAGGCTATTCTGGGCCAGAATGGAAGGGGTAATAGCCAAGTAATGAAAAAGGTAACAGTTTTACTGGTTATGTCAACTAATTTAAAAAAATTCTGAAGCAAGGCTTGCGAATATTAAAAACTTGTTCAGCTCTTAAGACTTCATAGAAGATATTTAGTATCAACATTGTAACATTGAGGAAGATATAGTTTAGAGACCTGACATTAGTTTCACGTTTCAGCTTTGGTTTGAAATTCTGTTAGAAGACATCCTGTTTCCTTTCTTGCAGCTTAAATTGTTGGCAACTCGCTCCCTATAGTATAGAAATTGTTACTTTAATTATCCTGGATTAATTTTGCATAGGCTGAACCCATTGCTTTCCGTAATGGTATATAATATAGGGAATTATGAATGCCTTGGATGCTATGTTATATATTTTCATTTGTTTTATAGGAATCATGTCGAAGAGATGAAGCTACAGTTAGCTTATTGAAACCACAGGCTGATGAATGTCGCAGCTGGAGCAAGTTCAGACCAACAGCTGCAACCACACAACTTGGTTCAAAGCCGTATGGTTTAAAGGTCATGTTCCTAAGACAGCTTTTACCTTCTGGATTGCAAACTTCGACCGTATACCTGTGAGAGCTCAACTGCTTCCTGTTGTACCTGTAACACCCACACAGAAACAAGAGATCATCTTCTTCTCCAGTGTGATCTAAGTGAATAGGTATGGATGTTCAGCGTTTTGGGCAACCTGCATTTGCTACATTCCTTACTAAATCTCTTTCAGCCCATTGTAGAAATAACTCGGAATCCACCATTCTGTTTATTTGTCTGTTAATATGTTTGTTTCCTTGTAATTTTTTCTATTCATTTCTGACTATTACTTGTACATTAGATGAAGATCAAAAAAGAAGGAGATAGAATTACAAATGAACCGTGATCTTAGTTTTGCAGACTGAAATAACAAAAAAGACGGTTCGTTGTGACTCGTTTAGAACGTTGGGGTCATTTGTCATGTTTTACAAAAACTCAGGGTCTCATTTACAAATGTCTTAAATCACGAATTAAAACAAAACCGATTCGAGCCCAACGACAAAAACTGAAAGTTGAGCAAAGTACATACATGTAAATGTAAAGGGGTGAATGTTGAAATCATCATCGTCTCTTTTCGCGAACTCGATTCTGCTTCAACGATGCAAATCAATGCCGGAGCTGAAAAGAACGCACGCCCTCCTGATCACGCTCGGTCTCTCCGAGGAAGAACCTTTTGCTTCTCGAACGCTTTCCTTCTCTGCTCTGTCTTCCTCAGGCGACGTCGTTTACGCTTACAGATACTTGTTAAAACTATCCAATCCTCCGTCTTTCGGTTGGAACTGCGTAATACGAGGGTTATCATATAGTAGAAACCCCGAGAATACGATCCGTGTGTATATCCAGATGTTGAGGAAAGGGTTTTCACCAGATCACATGACTTATCCGTTTCTCTTGAAGTCGAGTTCTCGTCTCTTGAACAGAAAAATTGGTGGCTCTTTGCATACCTGCGTCTTTAAAACCGGGTTTGAGTGGGATTTGTTCATATGCAATTCTCTCATTCATATGTATGGATCGTTCCGTGACAATGCTTCCGCGCGCAAGCTGTTCGATGAAATGCCTGATAAGAACTTGGTCACTTGGAACTCTATCTTGGACGCGTATGCCAAGTGCGGGGATGTTGTTTCGGCAAGACAGGTGTTCGATGGAATGACTAAGAGAGATGTCGTGTCTTGGAGTTCTATGGTCGATGGGTACGTAAAGAGCGGTGAATATAACGAAGCTCTTGAGATTTTCGATCAGATGATGCTAATGGGTTCATCAAAGGCAAATGAAGTCACGATGGTTAGTGTTTTGTGCGCTTGTGCTCACTTGGGTGCGTTAAATCGAGGAAAGGCTGTACATTGCTATATACTCGATAAGCAATTGCCCTTAACAGTTATGTTGCGGACATCTCTTATTGATATGTATGCTAAATGCGGGTCTATAGGAGACGCTTGGGGCGTGTTTTGTGGAGCAGCATCCGTTGAGGAAACAGATGTATTGATGTGGAATGCTATGATTGGAGGGCTTGCGAGTCACGGGTTTATAACAGAGTCGCTCCAATTGTTTCACAAAATGCAAGAATCTGAGTTTGACCCTGATGAGATAACATTCTTGTGCTTGCTTGCTGCTTGTTCCCATGGCGGATTAGTGAAAGAAGCTTGGCATTTGTTTGGTAGGCTCAAGGAAAGCGGTGTGGAACCAAAGAGTGAGCATTATGCTTGTATGGTCGATGTGCTTTCCAGGGCCGGTCTAGTTGAAGACGCATATGATTTCATATCCGAAATGCCGATAAAACCGACGGGTTCAATGTTGGGTGCTTTTGTTAACGGGTGCATAAACCATGGAAACTTGGAGCTTGCGGAAACAGTTGGAAAGAAGCTTGTAGAGTTGCAACCGCGTAATGACGGACGCTATGTCGGGCTAGCAAACGTTTATGCGATCAACAAGCGGTTTGGCGCGGCTCGGTCTATGAGAGAAGCAATGGAGGAGAAAGGAGTGAAGAAAACTGCAGGACACAGTATAATTGAATTGAATGGAGCACCACATAGATTCATAGCTCATGACAAAACACATTTCCACTCCGAGAAGATCTACGCAGTGTTGCATCTGCTTGGAACTTGGATGGATCTCAATGTTAACAATGATTATAGTGAAGACTATCATTGTCTTTGTTCTTGAGTCTATATTACCGTAATATATATACTTATTTCCTTAAAACTTTGAGGCGTGTTATGCTATTCTTGTCACGGCAAGTTATGCTATTATTGTCACGGCCTGCTATTCTTGTCAAGAATGCTATTTTTGTCACATCATGTGATGCTATTATTGTCACGGATGTGATGCTATTATTGTCACGGATGCTACTTTTGTGACGGCGTGTGATGCTATTTTTGTGACGGCGTGTGATGCTACTTTTGTGACGGTGTGTGATACTATTATTTGTCACGGATGCTATTCCTGTCACAGCGTGTGATGCTATTATTGTCACGGATGCTATTCTTGTGACAGCATGTGATGTATTGTCGCGTGTGATGCTATTCTTGTCACGGCGTCTGATGTGCGATGCTATTATTGTCATGAGGCGTGATGCTATTATTGTCACGTACTTAACTTTGTATTGGCAACAACTTATTCGATTTATTCAGTCCAGCATTTAAACAAAAATTGTATATATCTCTTCTCATTGTCAAATCTTTTGACACTCTTTAATTGGAAAAAAAAATATCGATTTGGAAAAACAACCCCAAAAGAGTGTGCAACCATTAATGGCGAGGAATCAGGGTTTTTTTTTTTAAGTCTTCTTCTCGAAGATTTCAAGATGGAAAAAAACGTGAGCTAGTGAAATTCACTTCACTGCTTCAAAAGACCTCTTTCTTGAAAGAGATCATACATCGCCGCTCCGATCTTAGCGGGAGATTCAACAACCTTAACTCCGGCATCATTTAAACTCTTAATTTTGTCCTGAGCTGTACCTTTACCACCGGAAACAATGGCTGCAACAAACAAAACCCAGAGAAGTGAGTGACAAGCAACGAACCAAATGTAGTAACTCCCGGTTAAGGCACTAGATGGCTTGTGAAAGTACCTCCAGCATGACCCATTCGACGACCCGGTGGTGCAGTAAGTCCAGCAATAAAAGCAACAACAGGCTTCTCAGTACCACTTTCCTGTTAACATTCATCAAAAACCATCTATTGAGTTTTACTTTTAAGAATGAGAATAGAGAGATTCGCAGTGGTTTTTATTACCTTTATCAAAGCTGCAGCATCTTCTTCTGCAGTGCCTCCGATTTCTCCAATGAGAACGATACCTGTAACAGCCAGCTGTTTCTTAGTTTCCATCTTTCGGGGATCAATGGTAGATTAAGCTACTTTTACACTAAGAAAGGAGATTAGGTAAGCAGCAAGTGGTTGTTCTACTAAATGATGTTTACGGTTAATCTATTTAGAGGGAACAATGATTTCAGAAAACCCGAGTTAAAAACATTACCTTCCGTTTGAGGATCAACAAAGAATTTCTCCAAGCAGTCGACAAAGTTTGTCCCGTTAAAAGGATCCCCACCAATTCCTACACAAGTTGATTGGCCTAAACCAACTGCAGTTGTTTGAAAAACCTGCATGAAAATATAAAACGAAACCAACGATTAGAATTCCTAACAAAATTAAGGCATTTTATAAAAAATCCATTACCACCAAAAACACATTTACATAAAATTTCAAAAGCTCAATTAGTGGCAAAAAAATAATATGTCAAGATGGAGACAGAGAACAAAACATCAAAAGCAAGACATAAAGGAAGACCTTACAGCTTCATATGTCAAGGTTCCAGATCGCGAGACAATCCCAATCTTCCCTGGCTTGTGGATGTATCCCGGCATAATTCCAATCTTGCATTCACCAGGCTTGATAATCCCAGGGCAGTTTGGACCAATCAGCCTAGTTTTTGATTGACTGTTAAGAGCATGCTTTACACGTACCTAAATAAGAAACATCACAAGTTCCAAGTCAGAGAGAGAATTATAAGAGCCAAATTATATGAGTGAGTATGCAAGCCTATGCAATGACCATTAAAGGAGATAAAAAAAAAACCAACAAAATGAAAGGCATCATCCTAATGGATATTTTACCATATCATGTTGAGGGATTCCTTCGGTAATGCACACAATAAGATCTAACTCAGCTTGTATACCCTCCATGATAGCAGCAGCAGCGAAAGGCGCAGGAACATAAATCACAGAGGCATTGGCTTTCGTCTCAGCCTTGGCTTCAGCAACAGAGTTGAAAACAGGTAGACCTAAGTGTTCTGTTCCACCCTTCTTAGGCGTCACTCCTGCCACCTATTAGTACAGAATAAAAACACACACACAAAAACTATATTAACAAAACCATTAGCTTTAGATCAAACCACCAACAACGCAGAATAATAATAAACAATTTCATCTCCAGGATCTAACGGAACTTTGGTGATGGAAGAGCAAAGACTAGTGTGTTCATGGTAACTCAGAGAGTCCTAACCTAGACATTGCAATAACACTTGAGGTGTCTATCCAGCTAGAAACGAGAATAATCCTAAACAATGTAATTATGTTCATTTCCGCACAATGAAGAACTGCTCAATCATGAGTTTACCATTTTGGTGCCGTACTCAATGGCTTGTTCGGTGTGGAAAGTCCCGTTCTTTCCGGTGATACCTTGACACATGACTCGGGTGTTTTTGTCAACGAAAACCGCTGCAGGAGGCGGAGGATCGGACGCGAAGGAGCGAGATTGGGTCAATGAGCTGAGAGACTGGCATGAGGGAAAAACCTCCGAGCCGCCGATTGAGCAACGGCGAGCTTTTGATGAGAGAGATCCGAGAAGCCTTGTGACTTGCCTAGACATGATTGGTCTCTTCTTGGTTGTCGATCAGCCACAAAAAAAAGGTTCCGATCCGAAATCAAACTTGTGGAACCCTAACTGGTGTGAAGGCGAAAACGGAAAATGGAGCAAAGAAATTTCAGCGAGCTTCGTTTGAAGAATCAGCAGCCGATCAAAAGCCGACAAAAGAGGCTTCTTCCTTTAAAGGCTTACACTTTTTTTCTGAAATTTAGCCCAAACCCAATATCTCTAGAATGTGGACTTTTTCGAGTTTTTGGTAGCTTCTGCTAATTGACTGATTAATCTTCCAAAAAAAATTAATATTACTTTCGTTAAGCTTCTCATTTTTAATATTGACTACCCGTCAAACACATAATTTATTTTCATTGATTAAATTTAATTTTTTAGTATTTGTTTGAAAAGTTTCACTTGCCTATGATAGAGACGTGATTTCCACAGTAAGTCCATCGTTAGGAGACAAATGGTGTCCTATTATCTACCTAAATGTATCACAAATGCAAATGGCAAACAAAGACAAACACAATTAGAGTGCAAATGCAATATATTGAAAGCAAAATTCAACCATTTTCTTAGGTGTATTTACTCGGCCAAGAAGTGATTCACTGATTCATGACCCACTTGGGCTTTTGAAGCGGATCAAGATTCAAACGGATCAATAACAACAACCTGTCAATACATATAAAACTCAAATATCATCTTCTAAGTTTCATTTCACTGAATCATGTTCGAAGCACCTGCATACATAAGTGGCAACACAGCCCTGAAAGAGTACGCAAATCACAATTCATCAAAGCATATATGCAACAAGTTCAATGGATATTTAAATTGACCAGAATCACTCGACATAAATAGTTTTGAGCAATGGTTTTGAACAAACTGGAGGATAGTGTTGGGAAGCTCAGTTTAGTAGCGGTATTTAGTGGAGTAATCTTTTGGAGCAATGACCAACCCACGACCCTTCCTTGCACCACGGTAGACGGTTTCAATGATATCAATGAACTCTTGTTTGTCCTTGAGAGCCCAGTTGATCTTGTTGTTGTTGCCAGTTCCGAGATCGATCATAATGTGCTTGTTCCTAAAGAAGAACATGACCGTTGAGGGATCGTACAGCTCGTACATGGTGTTGAAGTCAGGAACCTCAGTTATGTCCACGAGATAAATGACTGCAAAGTTCTTGATCGTCTCAGCAACAGATGCCAGTACCTCATCCATCTAAGATATTCAAATTCACTGAATCAGCAAAAGCAAAATGAAGCAGAGACCACAAAATTATAGGGAACAAACAGAAACAACTAAGGATTGTAAGTGACAACCTAATCTTCGTCATTTCCGAGCTTAAGATCACACGAATGGCTAAAAATTTAAACAATCGACACAAAAGATTGGAAATTTCCCAGCACGATAGGATCGAATTCGAAATTTGGAACTATAAATCGAAGAATCAAACAGATAATCTAGTTCAAGAACAAAAACGAAGTTAAGAGGAAGAAACGATTACAGACCTGCATACAAGTCTCATCCCAATCATGGCCGAATCGTATGACCACGAGACGCTCTTCCTCAGCCAGAATCGCCTGATCGACAGCCCAGCCGGAGTGCAAGTGCGGTAGAAGATACGACATCCTCAACTGTGTCTCTCGACGATTCCGATCTGGTTTCAATTTCACTCTTTTGCTTTCTTTCGTGCCCTAACCTTATGTTATCGACGATGACCGACCAATGATAACCCGACCCGCCCAGAGTGACTTGGGCTATACGACAGCCCAATCAGATCGAACATTTAGGCCCAATAAGGATGAGAAAAATGGACGGTGAAAAAGGTAGCTGAACACCATAATCTGGTATGAGTCATTCGTAGATGATTAAATCTCAAAAATCTAATTATCCTATCCAATATCCTCATAGAGGTCAGTGCTTTGATTCTCCCCATCAACTCCATTTCGAAGCTTAAATCTCTGATCTCTACCATTTTTTTCCCTCGAAATCTCTCTAACGATTCCAAATCTCACTTCTCTTGTGCAATTGCTCCAGTTGAATCCATGGATATCGCGTCTTCCACTCTCTGTCAAGCTCACAAGATTAATCTCACGCGTCAACCTTCTTCTCGGGTCAACACCTGCTCCCTCGGTTCGGTCTCCGCTATCGGATTCTCGCTTCCGCAAATCAGCTCTCCGTCTCTAGCTAAATGTCTCCGGAAACAAAGCTCCTCGGGCTTCGTAAGAGCTTGCGTAGCTGTTGAACAGAAGACCCGTACAGCTATCATCAGAATTGGTACAAGAGGAAGGTAAATTTCTCTCTTTTTGCTTTCCCTCGTCTCCGCAGAGATCTCTGAGCTATTTTTTTAGTCTCTGAGCGCTTGAATGCTAATGGGTTGGCCTTAGTTTCCTTTATTCAGATTCAAAATATCGATTTTCGACTGGTCCTCTGGTCTGACCCGTTTCCTCGGTTTTAAAGGAGTTATAGTGGGCAATGTCAATCGCTTGTTTATGTAGATGGTGGGATGCAAAAATGTATAATTTTTTGGGTTAGAGATGAGACATGGTTCTTTTGGATTCTTCCTTCGACAATCTCTGCATTGTATCTAGTCTCCGCATTGTATCTAGTCGCCAAATCTTGTGTTATTGACTTTCCTTTTGTGGTGAATTTGAGTTTTAGCCTTCTTCGTATTTCTGCTTATATACTCTCACTATGTAGGACAGTCCTCTAGCACTTGCTCAAGCATACGAAACACGAAAAAAGCTCCAGTCAAAACACCCGGAACTCACTGAAGATGGAGCTATTCACATCGAGATCATCAAAACCACTGGTGATAAGATTCTCTCTCAGCCGCTTGCTGATATTGGTGGGAAAGGACTTTTCACCAAAGAAATAGACGAGGCCTTAATTAACGGTCATATCGACATAGCTGTCCATTCGATGAAAGATGTCCCAACTTATTTACCCGAGAAGACGATTTTACCTTGTAACCTTGTGCGCGAGGATGTTCGAGATGCGTTCATATGTTTGACTGCAGCCTCGTTAGCCGATCTTCCAGCTGGAAGCGTTGTGGGCACAGCTTCTCTCAGGAGAAAGTCCCAGATACTCCACAAGTATCCTTCATTAACTGTAAGTGGTTCGCATCTTGTCACAACATAGATAGAGACTGCCATTTCTTATGGATCAGTTTTATGTTTCCTTATATTGATACAGGTGTTTATTGCCTATGCAGGTTGAGGAAAACTTTCGCGGTAATGTGCAGACAAGACTATCCAAACTTCAAGGAGGGAAGGTCCAAGCAACTCTCTTAGCACTAGCTGGTCTTAAGAGATTGGGTATGACAGAGAATGTCGCGGCCATCTTATCTCTCGATGAAATGCTTCCAGCTGTAGCTCAAGGAGCAATCGGAATTGCCTGCAGAACTGATGATGATAAAATGGTATGTCAATCTCTCTTGTAAAAAAAAAGTATCATTCGTCTGAGCTAAACAGAGGTTTTATATCTGACATGCTTGTAAAGAAAATTGATTCTATTGTTGTTTTCCATGCAGGCAAATTATTTAGCCTCACTGAACCACGAGGAAACAAGACTAGCGGTTGCATGCGAGAGAGCGTTTCTTGAAACGCTGGATGGCTCATGCCGTACTCCTATTGCTGGATACGCGGCCAAGGACGACCAAGGCAACTGCTTTTTCAGGGGATTGGTTGCTTCCCCTGACGGCACTCGAGGTATGATAAACATTCTTTCATATACGCATATAAGATATAACACAATTCCACATGAGAAACATGTTCATTTCTTATCTGTTTTTTTTTTTTTTCTGTGACAGTTCTTGAGACATCAAGAAAAGGTCCGTACGTGTTTGAGGATATGGTGAAGATGGGAAAAGACGCTGGGCAAGAACTGCTTTCTCGAGCTGGTCCGGGTTTCTTTGGCAACTAAGTCATTCGAAGAAGAAGAGGAAGAAGAAGAAGGTCTATGACATGGACAGAGTCTAGGATTTAGGAGTTTTCCAACAACATGGGGATCTTCCTTGAATATCTGTTGTAACTTTTTTGATTTCTGAGGGAAAGATGATAACCTTGTTTTATTGATTGATTTGTTGTATTTAGATTATATTGCAATTGTAGGCTTTTTCATCCCACTATGAAACTCGTTCCAAAGAAATTAGAGGAAAAAAAACAAAACCGGATACTTTAGCTCCATCTCTATCGATATTCCTCTTCATCAACCGGAGTATACCACTCCGGTCTTCTCTCGAAGCTACTCAGTCTGTAATTCAGCATCAATTCTTCATTACACAACGCTCTTGTAGCCACTAGAACAAGCGTCTTCAGTACAGGAGCATCCAAACTGCTATTACTCCTTGTCATAAACAAGAAGCTTTCAGATTTCATCATCTTTAACCCTCCTTCGTTCCTGAAAGCTACATTTGGAATGCAAGCTCGCATCGCTTCCTCTGACAAAAGAAAGTCATACGGGCAAATCATGATATTAGGATCCATGTCTTTACTCGGGTGATTAGCAAAATGACCAAACGCCAATGGGTTTCTCAATTCAAGAACTGCTTTTACGTTACCCGAGCCTTCAAGCGGCTTGCTAAGTATCTTCGATACCTTGTCTGAACCATTTTCCACGGTTTTAACATTTGCTCTGACCTCAGGCGTTGTAAAAGAGCCGTTCCATACTTGCCGTGATTCTCCTCCACAACCCCATGGCTGAGCATTTATTACTGTACCGTCATATCTAGTGATCAGATATGAGTTGTGTGCATCGACATTTGGATATCCGGGGATGTACCTGTGGAAAGCAGGAGAATAAACCACACCAGGGTAAAAGGCCAAGACAGCTCCAACATCTGCTTCACCATCTATGAAACAACCTTGACCCGCGTCTTTGTGAGGTATTAAGGATGGTTTGATCTTAAGAGTGTACCCAATACGATCCTTTAGTCGTTGCGAGACTTCAGCGAGTTTAAGCGGCTTAGTCTCAGGAACAACTGTGCTGAAGAAGAATCACTGAGAAATGATCAAGATAACAAGAAACTGAATTTGCGTAAGTTCACTACACATACTATTAAGACTCACCTAGCTTGTCTGCGGTTGAAAAATCATTTGTTTTGTCGCTATCAGGAAGAAGTATCTCGTCCATAGAAGCACAAAATTTTTCGAGTTGGTAGTGAATGTTCTCTTGTACTTGTTTCTCTTGCTCAGATAAAGTGGCTTTACCGGCCATCTCAATAATTTCTTCTGCATCAGCCTCTTCAGCGTCTCGTCCCAAACGATTATAGCTATAACACAGAGAATCCTCATGAGTGATAGAAAGTTTGTTCAAACGTAACTCATTACAAACAAAAGACCAACCTTGTAAACATAAAGAGTTTGTTAATGTCAGCTTCAAATTGCAGCTGCCTTTGATTCTTAGCAAAAGTGGTACTCTTTGCTAGAACACCAATACCCTGGAAACATCACAGACCAACAAAAAAAAACATATCTCAGCACTTCTTGGTCGAAAATAGGGTAGAATTTGGATAAGATTGTGGTTTTCAGTCACACTATCACATCAAAACTCCTTCTTCGATTAATATATGCCAAATTGATCATATGAGAAACTTCAAACTACATTTACCGAGAGATTCAATCAGTTTCATAGTACTCACATATGTTCTAAGTATATCTTCCAATGCCAAAAGCTACGAACATAATCAAATCACACATAGCTTCTAATTCACAGGAAGCATCTTATAGGTTTACTGAAAAGAAACATCATTTTAGCAAACTCGAAGAAAAGGGATTCATTTTCACCTGCTGAAATTTGCTGAAAAGAAACATCATTTTAGCAAACGCCATTATTTGTCTTCTCTCTTTGAATTGACGGGCAGAGAAGAAGATGAATCGCAAGTGCTTCAGTTGAATTGAAGATCTCTTCAGCTGATTTACAAAAGGGAAGTGACACGACTCAGAGTGCCTCAGCTCACCGTTCCTCCATAGCTGGGCTTATTTCGAATAAATGGGCCTCAATGGGCCGTTCAAAGCTATATTTTATTTACTATTACTAAAAGTAAAACAGTCTAATAAATTCAGTGAAAACAAAAATTGAGTTCCAAATTTTATGAACTAGACAGAAAAGAAAACAAGGTACACTATTTGTATCCTACTTTTTGAATGATTGTACCGACAACTAGGTACAAAAATCATAAGACTCTAATCAATGCTAGCAACAGAATAAAATCATAAATCTAAGTACATTACTTTTACGAAAAACATGAAATTCCTATTAAAAAAAACCTCTAAAAGTCATATCACTTTGAGATGCTATTAATTAAAATAAATAAAACATAAACATCAAATCATTATCTCAAATCTATGTTGCATAACTATTCAAATCAAAACGAATTGGAAAAAAAAAATGGTTTGAAACCCAATCAAAATCTATTTTTGGTTGAATCAGTCTTAAGAATCCTACGTGTGCTAATTCCTTCATGGTTCAATTAGTGTTGACTTTTAAATTTTGAGTAAGAAATTATTTTTTAAAAAAGTAGAAAACCAAAACCAAACTAACTTCATAATAAAATCCTTCATTTGTTGATTTGTTTTGTCAACTAATAAAATCCTTCAAATAAACCGCACCTTAGGACTAAAATTCGAACCCGAATATTTTGAGTAAATTAAATCAGCATCGAAATTAGAAAGGTAAATACTAGGTTTCAAAAAAATAGTCTCCAAAACTGTAGAAATAGGAAGACTATATATGATATAATTATACTAATTCCAACAAACACCAAATGTTTTTATTGATCAATTGAACCTCATTATATCAATTGGGTAAGTACCAAGCACTTGCTTCAAAACAACAACAACTTGCCATGACTTTGGCGGTAGTGATCAGGCGCGTTTTGAAGGCAATGGGAGGGAAGAAAGAAAGTGAGAGAATAGGGAGAGAGATTGAGCCGGAGCAAAGACCGGAACCTGGTGACCAGCTCCTCTCACGGTGGCAAATGTTAGTCCTCCGGCGTAAGTCTCAACCCATCCAGCTACTTGACTCTTGTAGAACCATGACCTCCACGGTGACACCACCTTAGCTCCCATCTTTTTTATGCTATAACGCGTAGATGTTACTGGAACTCTCCCATCCGTGTCTCCACTATATAACCAAAATTGTAACCAATTTAAAACAAATTGACAATATGTGGAGCTAAAAAGAACATAGATATATATATATAGAAATATACCTATAGATCCAGATGCGGAGGCCGCCGGTCAAAAGCTTCTGAATGATGGGAATCACGGTGGATGGAGCATCACTCCATTTGTTTATCACACCGCTGAATCATACACATAAACTTTGTTCATTAGAAACGTGGTCTATATGTATTAAAATGTTATACTAACGCAATGACTTTAACGTTTAGAGTAAACACAATCAAATCTCTCTAGACATTGATGTTAGTACTAATTAAGAAGGAGTAACCTGCAAGGGGTGTACGCATAATGAAGGTTTGTGACGTTAGCATGAAGCGCGACCTGCACATCTTTCCGATTAAAATAGTCTTCGGCATAGCCTTCAGTGCATGGATCGTACCCGGCCGGCAACCTATCCCACATGTCCTGACCATTTAGAACCATCAAAACTTAATTAAGTTTGAGATGAAAATGATGTTACATTACATTACAAAAAAGTTATGTATAGTGATTAGTGAAGTATACGTACGGGTGAAGTAAGGAGGCTAGGAGACACGACGAGTTTAGGTTTTCTTGGAGAAGAAGACGACGAGTAAGAGGAGAGGCAAACGGGAGTATAGATGCTGTATATATCGATATCGTTGTAAGCTTCCATGAAAGCTTTGATATTTTCGTAGCATTCTAGGGTCTTGTTGGTGGTTTGCTCCTCAAAACGGCACGAGCCATGGACGTTGTTGTGGAGCTCGTCAGATACAATAGCGTGGCTCCATGCATAGTCCACTAGTCCTGCCATGTCTGTTTCCTCGTTGATCACTGCGTTCCCAATCTGCAAACGCAGTCACCAAATGAATTAGTAATACCTTTTTTATCTTTACTTCTTCTATATATCACAAGGAAACAACGTTTCCTTGTATTGCAAGTAACACTTTCTATTAATAATGCATACCATGAATCCCTTGAGATTGATTTGAGATCCTCTTGTAACCTTCTTGTTCCGGTCGTAAATTAGCTCCGCAAGCTGTGGAACATAGTGACCTAATATATATATTGCGTCGGTCACTCAGTCATAGCAACCCAAATCAAAACAAGATTCATTCAAAACCCAAAACAAAACCGGCCTAACTTAAAACGGGAATAAGCACTTACCGGCGTAACTCTCTCCGGTTATGTAAAATTCGTTGGTTCGGAACTCGGGAAATTTCATGAACCAGTTGGTCAAAAACACAAGAGAATCCTCTGCAGTAACTTGATCTCCAAGTTTTTGAAGATCCATCGAGTTATTGGTATACGAGAACCCAACCCCGACCGGTGCTTCCAAGAACAACATATTGGCCTCTGCACAAACATATATTTGTATACATAAATTAAGTCATTGTTATTTTTAAATACAAACATCATATTTTTAAATGGAAATTTAATTCGTTGTACCTTTGTTCCAAGAGAAATGATTGAAGGTAAGGTTGTCACCATTGGTGCGAACAAGGAAAGGGCCTAGTTCTTGTGCAGCTCCATAGGCTATCGATGAGCAACCAGGTCCTGCATATTTGACATCCGTATATCTAATTTAGTTTTAAAATTGTAAACACTTTTGATTTGATCTTACTGATCTTACTAATCAAATTGATGAAGATATTAGAGAGACTTCTCCAATTCTGTAATACAATTCACTACAAAAGTGTTTTTAATTAGCAACATTATCGCTAAACTGTAGTTTATGACGGAGTTGAGGACTTGTCAGCATACGATTAAATTTGACGCAAAAAGTATATTATTATTTGTTTTGTTTGATAATATAAAAAGTAGACGTTAATATATAGGTACTGTCACGACTCACGGGTGGCCAATCAAAATAGAAGATCAACTTTTGTGTAGAGAGACTATAATTTTGCAATTACTCTGATTACATTTTCTTCCAAAAAAAGAAAATACTCTGATTACATTGGATTCGGGTGTTCCCGTGACCCTTTTAATCATGGCGTATAAAGGTAAATGCCCCATTCAAAGGAGTATTATTAGACTTAGGCTACAATAATTATTAGACGTGGACAACTTGTTTGTCTGTTTCTAAGTGTATTTGAATAGTCAACATCTTATCCGATTATTAGCACCAATTTTAAAGACGAGGTTGAGATTTCTCGTATCCCAAAATATCCCAATATTGGAATACGAACCTTGTGTGGAAAAAGACAAACAGTCTAAAGTAAATTCGTCAAATTAATGAACAAAACCAAGAAAAGAAAAAAGAACAAGAAAACAAAAACCTTAACAGCCTAGAAACAAAATTTAGGACACTGACTGAATGTTGATTAACAAAAAAAATAATAGACACTGAATAATCTGTTAAAGAGCCGGTTCATGTACGTCAGTGTTCTTTTTAACCGGATGTGAAAAATAATGTAGAAAATACAATGCTGTTTTTTTTATATGTTTTATTCGTTGGCGATCTTCCTTCAGAACAGAATTTGGTTTAGATTTAAAATCGATTATTTTTACATCAAAAAAGTCATTAACTTAATCAAATCGAG